GCTAAGAGCTCCCGACTACAAGACCTTTCTTGTTTAACCAGAGAGTCAATGTGCTTTGATGTAAGCGCCCAATCGCAAAAAGTTTGTTGGTCGATTGGGAAGTCAATGAGCTCTAATGAGAGCTCCCGATAACAAGACATGGGTCTTTTATGCGCTTTGATATAAGCGTGGTCGATCGGAGTCACTTAGCTCTGGTGCAAGGTCCCATACACAGTGGTACTCCCTATGTAGCGAGCCGCTGAGCCCAAGATTTGTGACTTCAACTGAGGTATAAATATTCTCCGAGTATTAGCCTGTCATAATTCGATGTCAACCTTTTGTGTAGTGGAAGTGCTACGTAGCTCCTTTTTCAAGCCCCTTTTTGAAATCTTCTCTACTTTGTTAATTACCTCAGCAAACTATAAAAATCAGACTAACACGCCAAAACCTATTATGTAACGATTGGATTTTCAGTTATCACATTTTTTGCTAACGCTAAAAAGTATATTTAATTAAAAGTGGAAACTGCGAGATTTTACTAAGCTCAGCAAAGCGTAAATGCTACCAGTTCCTATTTCATCAGCCGTGAACAGTTGTTGTTGGATCATAACCGTAATTAGTATGAAACTGTAACGGTCACCTGTCACGCCATTTGTTTAGTTGGTATCCACCTGAGCTTTTTGGAAAGCGATTAATCTTGTAAAAGGCGAAATTCTTTACTACCCAATCGTTGTATTACAACATAATCCTTTAGATAATTCATAGCATTACCTAATCCTTTGTACTTTAGGCTTAAATAGAGCTGTTTTGCAAAGTTTTCCTTGGTTGGAGTTCTTTGGTTGAAGCAGATTAAACCTACGTCAGAGCCAAATTTGTGGTGTTGAAGTCATTGTCACAACGATAGTCAAAGGCGGTGATAGATTCCGGTCTTCACCCAGCCAGCGAGTGTTCCTCAGAGACAAAAGAAAGCCCTTCCGATCAGTTATTGAGAGTATTTCGAGTTATTCTCCGTCCGTCACGTAACTTGTGATACAGGAACAGCACAGGAACGTGTTTTCATAATGAACCAGGTGCAACGGTTCCTAAGTCACCTTTGCTACGGTCAAGTTCACTCCTTTTCAGGAATATATTCAGCTACAGCAACCTGTTTTATGTGAAAACAAACATCAAATGTTATTAACATATTCGAATAATTAGCTGAATCAAGAGTTCTTCTTTTTTCGATAACCTGCTTCCTTTATTTGTGCTCCAGAAACTGTAAATAATGTTTTATGAGAAAGGTACAAAGTGATCGAAATATGTCCTATTTTGAATGAAATCTGATTATACATGTTGTGACAAAAACATCCGGGAAGCCATAATTACAATAATATTACCTTTCCATGTAAACAAACCATGATAAAACATAAAAAATGAAAACATTTATTCTAACGCAGTTTGACTTTCCTGCTTCTTTCATTCTAAATACAGTAGAACTCCGCTTACTCGAACTCTCAATTATTTTGAATTTTGTTTTACTTAAGAAATAAAGAAGCCTTGACTGTGCTCTGTTCTGTTCTAAATCACTTCGTAGGCGGCTGGAGTACGAAAGAAGTAAGAAAAACACGGTATATACTCGAGAATTTCCCTACTTCTTGAATGCTGTAGCCGCTTCTTTAGTGCTTTACAACAGAACAGAGCAGCTACAGGGCTTCTTTGTTTGTTTCATAACAAAGAAAATAACAAAGAAAATAATAATTTTCCCAATTTAATTTTCAAAACAAACTTTATTTTCCAAACGCACAGAGGTGGCCTGAGCGTGCATCTGCGCTCTCATAAAGCACGCTAATTAAAATAAGCCATTTATAATTATTGTTAAAATGGTTGAAATGTTTTGATTAATTGGATAAGACTGAGACAGTTTTCTCAACTCAGTTTATAATGTAAATTAAAGCTAAGGCTGTCAAAATTGTCAAACCATCAAAGTTCGCAAACTGAAATTGTTCAGCAGGTCGAATTAACCCGACGCATATATGTGTACTTTTTTGTCACTGATTGGTACTCTCGCCCGAAAGAAAGAGAACGTCTTCAAGTTGAAGCAAAAAAGGATCGAAGTGAGCAAGATGTGTGGCCGTAACCTTTCAGAAATCTACAAATGGGTTGATAGTAAAATTACTATAAAGTTTTAAATATTTTTTTAACACTTATATTTCAGTATAAAGCACTAAATAAAGTGGCTCACTTGCATAAAGTGTCTTGTCCGTGACTGAGCCAATACCAACATCAAAACATTCCTGTTTGCTGCGCGAAAAGAAAATTATTAGAACTTTCTTTCAAAGTATCGACCGCTATCTCCGCAAAAATAAATATTAACTCTCTGTTCTTAACTATAAGGAATTCCACGAAGTACAAGACAATTTAAAAAAGAGTCAGAAACAGTTAAAATCTAAGTATCGGCAAAGGAAATCAACCAAGTGAAGCACTATTTATGTTCATTGTCTATGAAATAAAAAGAACTGAAATTACTTTTAGTTTAAAGATATAATATTTATGTTCTCGTGGCAAGAACAATATTTCACTCATTCGCTGCGCCCACTCGTGAGATATTCTTCTTGCCACTGGAACATAAATATATGTTATTTGCCGGCTGGGAGGTCCGTATGGTGAAAAACTGTGACCGAGGTCTTGAAAATACTGCCCGAGGCCGTAGGCCGAGGGCAGCATTTTCAAGACCGAGGTCACAGTTTTTCACCATATGGACCGACCCTTAGCCGGTAAATAACATATTTATTGTTTTTAAACTTGACGAAATTCTTTCCGAAAGAACCCGAATGATTTAGGGCTGTAAATACGGCAAGATCTTCCATAAACTGAACAATTTTTGAGTGAGTAAATTGTAGTTAAAATAGAGGTGATGCAAATTAAAGAGAGATGCCTCAGCGAAACATTTTCATTTCCGTAACGATAAAGGTGATTTAAAAGGCTTCCAAACAAACTTTGAAACATTATTTTTACAAGTATCTGTCACAATCTGACACCTGTCAATTAGAGAGCGCGCAAGAAAAAAAACATTTGAAAAACATCAGAACTAGTTTGGCAAGGTCTGTCACGACAATGTTTTCTTCAAAATCAGTCAATGATCTAACGGAAAGTATTATTCACTCTCATCGACCATTCATTCATGTACGAAGATTTACCTCTGTTCATTAAGTAAACGGCGAGTAAAGTAATTGTGAGTAAATTCAATTTTTTTACTTTGAAGTTGTGAGTTTTACTTAGAAGTGAGAGTTTGCTCGTTTGTTTGCTGCAATGGCGTGTGTGACTCTGGTCTTTCCTTCACAAAAACTAAATTCGAACGGCACACTCCAACGAGACACAAGGGAATTTAATGCGGCCTTTTCTCAAAAAATTCCTTCAATTTCTGTTGTGCAATTTACGGTACAAATGTCTAAATATAACGGAATTGGAAAGACTCACCGGGAGCGTATATTTGTTGTAGAACTTAAATTAAAACTTCGCTCGCTCTTTCACTACGAACAAATTGCTCGAGAAAATTCAGATATTAAATGAATGAAAGTTCCATCGTTCAGTTTAACTGTAACCAAATACTTCACGTTTCAACTTTCTGGGTACTTTTTTGTGAACGATTAAAATTAATTGCAGACGGTTTTTAGGCCGCTTGTTAACCAACGTAATGACACAATTGTTTATTCAAATTCATTCTGAAACCAATATTTTTCTGTCAACCAAAGTGATTTGATAGAGAGAAAAGAGAGGATTCATAAGTTATTTATCGGCTTGAGGCAGTGACCGATGTGTTTGCTTAAAAATACTGCCCAGGGGGCAAAACGAGGTATATTTATGAAAAAATGACAACGAAATTTGGGATGTACTCGGCGACTCAAGAAAGCGTTACTGTGGCCCGTGGGCAGAGATAGGAAAATACTGACCGGGTAAAGAACCAATCAGATTGCAGGATTCGTTACTGTGCCCTCTAAAAAAACAATAAATTCATATATCCTTACTGCTGTCTAATATCCTCTACATATGGATTCTGTTATCGTGTCATCTTGGAAAGCAGCTCAATTTGTCCAATTATTCTTGCTCAAAAGATTTCGTCACTGAACGTATATGGCCAAAAAATATTATCGTTTAGAGGAAACGTACAGTTTTATGAGGGTCCCCAATAGGGTTCTTCAATCCCGACAATCCTGTGCTGCAACCCAGCGGACAGTCGATCTAGGAAGAAAATCACTGTGCCCTCTTCTGCCGGACCAGTCGTCCCTCTTGTAGCTTCTCAATTGCTTCTCACATTTTTGAGATGCGATTGCAACGTACCACCAAGTGGTCGCATCCGAGATTAGGGCATTTTTCAACACGCCATTGACAGCCAGAGTTGGAACAGTATATTCCTAAAAGCACGTCCAGACTGGCAATCGGATGAAGATAGTCGCGGTGGAAGGGGTTGGTAGCAAACGGAAGAAGGAGCTGTTTTTGCCAGTTGCAGTCTGCTAGCGAGATGACGGACTTCAGTCATGCACCTAAAATGGCCACACGTCAGGCCAACTTGTTTGATCATGACTTTTAGGCTATGATTGAAAACGAGAAAAATCACTGGTCATTTAAATCACCTGAATATCACACTATGACTGTTTTCATCAGAAAGTGTTTTTTTACCTTTTCTATCCACAAATTTATTTCTTGAAAATACGTTGGAATTCACCAGGTGGAATTCAATGTGGCTACAATGCATAAGCTTTCAGTGAAGATGTTCATTAGCTGGAATTCGTGGAGCATGTGGGTCAATCTCTCATTTGAGGAGAAAAAGCACCGCAGAAAGTGCCCTATGTATAAAAATAACGAAAGGTTCCTATCCTGAGAAAATAATTATTTGCAAAGCTGAGATGGTTGATTATACATTGGACTAGGGAGAGTAAGATTTCAAGGGAAGGTGGAGGTTTCGTTTGATTCTCGTATTTAATGTACGTGACATATTGTCGTTTCGCCTTATTTTGGACATTTATGCCTTGTTTCAGATGGTTTTAGATAGTTTGCGAGTGGCTGTTGATGTTTTTGAGATGGTTGTAGGTGGTTGCTGAATTTTTGAGGTGGTTGTAGATGGTTGTAGATGGTTGTAGGTGGTTGTAGGTGGTTTCAGCTGGTTTCAGCTGGTTCCATGTTTTAGTACTTACCCCAAACAAACATTCCTGCTCAACAATATGCGAATATAATATACGCACAAAAGCGACAAAACTAATGGAACAAATGAAAAAATAACAGCTGATAATGTAATATGTTTGAGCAAAAACATAACAAATGTAAGCTTAATAATCACGATAGAGGTCACATAAATATAACAATTAAGTTTATCCTCACTCTGTTGAAAGTCCAACATGGCATCTTTGTCGTCGTTTCCTAGAGTTTGATAACGAGGCACATTGTCTTTATAAGCAAATGTTCTTCGGTAACTCTGTCCACATTTTCTGTTCGCTGATAACTCATTTGATTTCTGATTTGATTCTAATGAGACCTTCGCTAAATCATTTGATTCTTTTGCTACTTTGAGTTCGCGGAACGACCCGTTTTGAAATATACGCTCATTACACAAGCCATCTTTTAGAGTGGGTCTATCGCGAACGGTGTGTGGGTCTGTATGCTTGAGCGTAGAAAAGATGACACCATTCGCTAAGATATTCGACAAATCCGCCATAATCGACGTGGTGGAAAGAAGGTTGCGCCTCTATTACGTGTCTGCGGTATTCCCCATTGCACGTGACTGGGCTTTGTGGAGAAACCCAAGGGGGAAAACCTATAGTCGGTCGCCCGACTAAAAAGTATTCAGATTGCGCTCCGGGTTACGAAAGCTGCGTGAGAATCTTTAGAAGAAGAAAAAAAGGACAAAGAAGTTGCTAAATCAGCGCGTCTAAAAGCCTAAAAAAAGTGGCAATGATTGCCTGGACAAGCCTGAAGTTGTGTCTGAAAAGCCAAATTCTACAAGTTAGTCTACGTGTAGCCGTACCCTTCCCCCACCAAGGTTTCACCTTAGGGGGAGGGTACGGCTACTTCATAAACTGCTTAAGAAGAGGGTTGGTCGCCCTCCGCACTCTGTCAGTCTCTGGAATATAGGGATAGGAAGGGAAGAGTCATGGCTTTACTCACGAATTTGAGGACTCCGTCCTTCGATTGATGAGCCGAACAAGGCCCAAGTTCTTAAGTCTATCACTAAGAAAAGTAAATCAAAGATAAGCAGAGTATCTTGCGCAATTGACAATATTCCACGCACCCTAATTATAGATGAACTCCACCAGATTTTGTCAAAACACGGACGATACCTATTCCAGAGCTATACTATGCTTTAGTTTAAGTCCAGGCCTTGCAAACCAATAACCTAATAATTCCTTGATCATTCGAGTTACGAATTATCATCAGCTTAAACGTACCTTTCTCCACAATGCTTGTGTCCAGTGAAACAGTCAACCTTGAGGTGCCCCGTTGGCATTAACTGTCGGAAAACTGACCACAGGGTAATTTAGGGATGTAAGCACGCCGGTGGTGAACAAAGGAGTAGATCAAGCACTGTTCGAAGCGCCTACAAAGAGATGGAAGAAGTGTAACACTCATAGCAAACGAAAATCAGATTTTTTGTATTTTATCGTCATTCCAGGTTACTATATGTAGCATTTATAGATAAACAGCATTTATAGAAATACTCGGAACTTCTACTCACCTCACGATAGATTCGAATTTCTTACCGGACATGACCATGAACAGGAAGAACTTGCCTGCCTAGTTCACTTATTTTTCACAGATGCATTTACAGAGGAAAGCTGCACGAATGGAGGGCGGCAAAACTTGAAGGTAACGCCAACGTGCTTGGTCCTTGCAGGGCAAAGGTGGTCCAGCTCCAAGATTACAATGGAAATGAGGTGCTGCTTAGATCTTACTTGGATATCAGCCTGCAGAATAGTTACTGGTAGATACTCGAAGCCCAGTTCGAAACCAAGGTCTGTGTGGTCTTCTGGCCATACTGTTAAGAATTGTCTCACCTACCTCTAGTAACTTATCAAAGTTTATTAACATTTTCATCGTGACGTCACATGCATCAAAATGTTATAGTACCCGCTAATGACTTAAACTCGTTTAACTCGAACAAAATCCGACTTCCCTCGGATTTGACCTCATTTTATGTATCATTAATTATTGGCTGACTCGAATTCTATTGACTGTAGCTTTCCGTCAACTCGAACCCATTTTATTTTCACTTGAATCAAATTTTCCCCAATAACTCAAATTTTAAGTGACTACGTCGCGCTAAAATTTTCATCTAAAAACATCCTCATTGCAAATAACGCCCTAATCAAAACGACTTGACCTGTGACAAATCTCTTCAAACCGAGCAATTCCACAGACAATTCTCTTCGAGTAGAAAAAGTTAACAAAATTTTTACATTGGTAGATTTTCTATCCTCCAAATTCCTGTGGCTCCTTTCAGTAGAGGTTAACATCGCTCTTTTGTGTGGAACCATGAAGAGATTGTCTCTGAGAATAAATTGCGTTCGGACCTGTCCACTTCTGTGTGAGGAAAGGCGAGCGACGTATCAGCAGCTGATTGGCTTTATCAACACACATGAAAAAATACGATATTTTTTCACGTCTGTTGTTACGGCTTTTCACAGGGCCGGAAATCCCTGTATAACACCGTAGTTTATGTGATTAATAGTAGAAACCCATCAAGCCGAAAAAATTTGGACTTACAACCGTTCGACCGTACGTGCAACGAACTACGTTAAGCATGCGCGGGCAACTGCATTGCGGGCACTATCTTAGCCATTACGTAATGGATGGTCGAAGGATAAGGTAATGCCTAGGTGCTATTGCATGCGTAACTTGAATACCCCACCAGTGTGCGCCAGGAGACACCGCTTTAAAACCCTCGCGCCGGTTCATTGTTCAAATAACATTTCAAAGTGTTCGTATTCTTCAACTTATTTCTCGTCCTATCGTTTGGAAAGTTTGATACAGTCGTGGTGTTAAGGGAAAGAAGTTATCTTATGTGTTATGTTTTCTCTAGAGAGGTTTTAAAATGATAGCGAACGGCGCGCGCAAGTTTTTATCATTCTCTCTTCAGTTGACTACCGCAGGGTTTATTTTATTCATTTAAAAAAATCGCGCTTTGTCGAAGATGTGTTGTTTTACCCCAAGAACGGAGAAGTGGCCTTTCCCAAAATTGAAATAAAATAAGATTGAGTTAGCGATGTTCATGTTCACATTAAGTCTGGCGCGGTTATTTGATTTTTGAGAATAATGTCATGTGAGAACCCGTCAAACATTTGCGAATGGAGTAAGTCCTACAGTGGGATGAGTGAATTTCATTGTTTAGCCGTAATGATTTTCAGCGCTACTTTTTCATGCTTTCTACTCGATTCGTTCGTACTTCAGGAAATGGTTTGTCTCACAAAAAAAGGAGCCACTTTCTCATTTTTAAATTAAATCAAACTTTATTTTTTCCTTCCACGTTCTGTGTGAGCGCTCGTCTTTTCCTTTGGTCTGGGGACTGTATGCGGAGCTTTTAATCATGCGAACGTTTAGCGTTTCACAAACAGTCTTTACTACTCCCTTAAATTCTGGACCTTGGTCGCTTTGCAAAATTTCTGGAGGGCCGTGTTCGATGTAAATGTCTAAAAGATGTTCCACCACTTCACTAGTCTCTTTTGTTTGAAGAAGGCGTAAGAGAAGAAATTTACTGAAAAGCTACTGAAAAAAGACGACATAGATAACAATGATGGTAAAGCAAGCTTAAAACAGCAGAAATCGCCAGAAACTACGAGGGATACACAGGGCATGAGTAAGTTTTATTGATTTTACGAGTAAAATATTCATATTTCGAAATATTTATCGTTGTAAATCGACCATATTTCGTTCCCCATACTATTCCTTATAACGTGTTTAAATTTTCAACGGTTCCTCCCGTAACTTAACACTGAGTCACACAACGCGTGACGCGTTCATGAATTCATCGTTGGCTTTTTCTCGAGACGTGAGCTTGGGCCGCCTGTGGTAGTACGCACTATCCACAAGCTGACGGAAACACTCGACTTTTTCACCACATTGCAGTTAGTTGCCTTTTCTACCATTCGTTTCTTCGGCTGTCCAACTGTCGGATCATGGATTTCTTTTACGACATAGATGTCGCTCTGTAACTTCCGATAAACCCGTTGCCTTAACCTTTTGTCACCTTTCTTAGGCCAATAGTGCAGTGATTTCTCTCCAATTAAGATCTATAGTGCATCGTATAAGTCATCGTCCAAAGGCAGATTTTTTTGCTTTGAGGCTAAGGGAAAGTTTAGCCTGTTAAATTCGCAATTTACTTAAAATCCACCCTTAATTTTTTTAACCTTCCTCTGATATGTAAGTCCATGCTATTCCTTATTTTTTGGTGGGGATCATTTGCGGTCCGCATTGGGCATTATTTCCGGTCCGGGATCATTTGAGGACCCGTTCAGTGCTCAAATCGGGCTGTTGATGACCAATCCCGTTCGAGAATTTTGTCATAGTTTTGATTAATTCATGAGAGCGTCATGAAAATTTGAACACGTTATAAGGAATAGTCGAGGGAACGAAATATGGTCGATTTACAAGAGGGTAGCAAAGGGTTTTTGCGTGACGCGTGATGGCCCCAAAATTTAACCTTACAAGATACACTTCATGTGTGGTCCCGAGGGAAATAATTGGTTTTGTTTTCCCGAGAAACATCAGGACTCTCGGGAAACAAAACTAACTAGTTTCCCTCGGGACCAAACATTAAGTGCTTTGTTATATATTTAGACTTTCCCTTAAACAATCATATGACAAAAACATGCTGTTGTGTTCGGCGAGCGGGCAACAACTGCACAATTGTGTCCCGGTCGGGATACATTTGAACTAAGAATCAACCAATCACAGTGCTCGTTTTGTTTAGTGAAAGTCTTGGAAAATAACAATGATAAATATTTCGAAATATGAACGTTTTACACGTAAAAATTAGTAAAATTTATTCACATCCTCCGTGTCCGTTGTAGTTTCTGGCGATTTCTGCCGTGTTAGGCTTGCTTTACTATCACAGGTGTGCCCTGAAAAAAAATTTCTTACTTCCGCTCAAGCGTGGGCGACGCCTGTCAGTAAACATCCCATCGTACACCGCTCACTTTCTGTCTTCAAGGCTGGGCAGCAGGCTCAAAGTGAAACGAAAATGTTTTTGCCACTGATTTGTAGTTTATGGCTTTTTGCTACCTCCTCTTCGGGTATTGAGTATTCAAACAATTTATTATGTAAAGATGAAAACTACGAAGTCCATTGGAGGTTCGAAAACAATACAGAAACCTTCTATTTTAAAGTAAGGGCAAAAGCTACAGGCTGGATTGGATTTGGCGTATCGAGATTACTATGGCCTGAAAACGAAACATTACGGTGGAATATGTATTCCATGAGACATTACGATGTTCTTGTTGGCGGTGTTGACGATAGTGGAAAAAAGTATTATAAGGTTAGTTTTTAGGTTCGTTTGTTCCTGTCTTCACAATGTCCTTCCCATGTTTTATTGATACCCGAAAATCGACTGCAATCTCAACGGTATCTGCGAGAACAATTTCATTGTTAAAAATACTGGCAAACCATTTCTGCAGCGTTACTTGTTTGTGACTTATTAAGTGAGTTGAACTTAGTTAAGAAATCGGTCTTTTTTTTTCTGTTGTTGTTTTTGCATGTGTGTTTAATTGGGCGTGAATGTGAAAGTACCTACCAGTTCTTATTTTGTATTCATCGGTTGCAACATTAAAGTACAGTCGAACCGAGAAACGTTCAAGTTACTGAGGTGTACCGTTGAGAACAGATTGATAGAGATGAAAAAAATGTTGTTAACTGTAGTTCTGTTCATGTGGTGTAAATTTTTATCAAATCTAATAATAATTTAGTGAATATGGGTTTTACCATTTCTGCATCCTTACATGATTGTGACATACTAGGCGGGATGAACTTAGTCAAGAAATCGGTCTGGTTTTTTTTTTGTTTGTTTTTCGCTACGTTTGTTATATTGGGCGTGAATATGAAAGTACCTGCCAGTTCTCATTTTGCAACCATCGGTTGCAACTTGAAAGTACTGTCGAACTGAAAACGTTCAAGTTACTGAGGTGAATAGTTGAGAGCAGATTGCTAGAGATTAAATAGATTTCATAGAGAACTTAGGCAGCAAACCTGTGAAAAGATTCATTGCACTGAAATTACACGTACCCTAATTTAGGTGAAAACTTTCTCAAACCGATACATTTTGTGATGAGCAAACAATACCTTTGGCTGTTTATGGTTAATTTGTGTTTTGGACCATATTACCTCACTGACTATTTTCACATGTTATGTACTGATAAACACTCTTCAAGCCTCGAGGGTAAGATTATACAGGAAATGTCTGGAATGGAAAATGAAAACAATCAAATTGGTTGATATGAGATTGTAATGGTTACAGTTATGAGGAGTGAACTATTTAATTAAAAACTAAACAACTTCGTTGGTTTCTGACCAGAATTTAGCTCAGAAAAGCCACACAAGAATTTTGAAAGGTTAAATTCATTGATTTATTAACCCTTTACCTCCTAACATCAGTATCCATATTCTCCATACTATTCACTATACATTTCCCAAGGTGTTGACAAAGAGAATTTGTTTGATAAGCAAGAGCTGCTTTGATTGGTGATCCTCTATTCTCATTACCTTAATGTTTGATTCAAGGTTGTTATTGTAAGAAGAAATTGGATGCTAGTCACTCTATGGGGTTAAAGGGTTAAAGGAGTTTTATTGCTACATTTAGTATCCAATTCTTTTAACCTATTGACATCTGATGCGCCCTCATGGGCCTGGAAACAAAATCCCTCTGAAATTTCAATGTGCCCACATGCACCCTGTTAGAAATGGCTTGTTTTGATTGGTTGTAGCTTAGAAACAAAACTCTCCTGGGTATTGGAAAGTAGTGGAACATGAAATGCAAGACATAAGCTTTCATTTGAGACCAAACTCACTATTCAACATTCACTGTGCAATTTTTCACAAATTTTTCTTGGTTTTGGACATGGCTTCTGGAAGAATTGATGAAGGTCAATTTGGCAAAATCTCTGCACACCCCCATACTTCATTATGCATCCATACATGGGGCTTTTTTATTCAGTGTATCATTATTAAGATGTGCTTACATAGTGAAGTATGGGGCTGTGCGGAAATTTTTCTGAAAATGCAAAAAATACATCGCTGTACATCATGAAGTTGAGTCAGTTCTCTAGCTTTAGAATTTTTTTTGAGAGAGCCTGATGCTCATGTTGAAAAGAAAATTTGACAGGGGGAAAGAATATTATTTAACATGCAACTTTGTAAGGTTTCCCTTCAGTAGAGTAAATTGAAGACATTAAAATCTTAAATTATTTTGGCAGTGGTCTGTGTGTTCACTGGAATTTCAAAAGATGGAGCTGAGTCAAAGCTATTATGCCATCTTCCAATGTGCACAATGTACAACCATTTCCTGGACTTCGTGTAGCTTTTTTCGTTGATTCAAAGTGAAATTTCAGAACAAATGAGTTGGCAGGTAGCTACAGAAGAACCATGGGAACATTTTTAAACATGCCAAGTGACATTATTTTACCATGAGCAGAGATGAAAATATCCAAAGAGAAAACAAAATGAACTGTTCAATTTTTGAAGGTTTTCACACACAGTCAGATTGTAAGCCTACGTACATAGTTGAATGATGGTTAGTATTCAAACATGTGTGATGGTTGAAACTATCATCAGCTGTCATGACTGTTTGAATGGGGCTTTATGAAAAATGATAAAAAGCCATGTACTAACTCTTGCTCTAACCAAACAGTAAGCATAAGAACACAGTCTTCCTCGCTTTCTACAGGAAATGCAGCTTTCTTTTAATAAAACTTAAGACACTAAGTGTTCAATGGCTGTTTTCGAATCTCTCTTTTTGTTTAAGCCTTGGTGAGCACGTTTATGCCCTATGAATTTAAAACCTTTGTAAAAAAGTTCAGAATGTGATTTATCTGTGTTATTAACACATGTGCAATTTTGATTTTAAAGTTTGATATCCAACTAGCATTGAGAGGAAAATATTTGATAATTTTAGTTCAGCATAAAGTTGCTTGAAAATTAAGTAGCTGACAATGTACTTCTATGCATAATGAATGTATGTAGAACATGCAAAACAAGCATAAAAAGGAAACTGTGAGTGAAAGAATAAATCTAACAAACTAAGACTGCAGATGTGAAAAATAAAAAATGGTGAATACTCTAGTACTAAATTAAAAGTGACTATTATTTTCCATGGAATTTATTTATTTGTTCTGTAAATTTTACTTGGAATTTGTAATTGTATTACACTCCTCAACCAGCTGAAATAATTGTCATTTTGTTTGGAATTGCATTTATAAAATGCTAGAGTAAGCTTTGTGACATTACTTTGCACTGAAATTTTAGCAGCTGGGTTTTGTACATATATTAACTATTTTTTCATTTGGCTTGGTTCACTGAATGTATTCATTGATTTTTTGAATATGTCATTGATTCATTAAATATATCAGTAATTACTGGTTCACAGAGTTTATTTATTATATGGACGTGAGTGTCTTATTAAGATTTAAAACACTCATAGAATCAATATGACCATTACATCAGGGAACTGAATGATGTATTTTCCTATGTAACTTGAGTGACAATTATAGTTTTCAAGGAATTTCTCAAAAGTTGGGATGAGATAAGGTGAATTTGTTCTGTTCGTGCTGAATAGCCTTCAAAGGTTTGTAGTGAAAAGAGGCTTCAATAAAAGTATCTGTTGATTCAATTCAGAGTCAGTAATCAAATTTTTATTATTTTAAGCTTATATTTTTGTCTAACTGATGGTGTTACATGTAAACCTTTGTATAATTTGGGCAGAGTCTTTTGTTTCTTTTAAAACTTAGTATTTGTATACAGCCTGCTTTTCAATCCCTATTAGGTATATTTAACCACTATTGTTACTTTACTATCCATTTAATGAAAAGAAAATTACACCCTAACTCAAAGATATGAATTTTATGTTCTTGTGGCACAAATAATATCTCACTCAGGATTGAGATATCATACATTGATTGACCAATTAAAAGTCTAATAATGCTTGGTTCTCTGTAAATTACGTGGCCTAACATATCTTTTAATGTGCTTGCCATCTCTCTCTTTCTTGGGTAAGGTAGATTTTGTCTTAGACTTGGAAGGGATAAACAATGTTTATTATTGATGAAGCTCAGCTCCAAAATTTAGAGTATGTGCAAGTTGGTTGCCTTTTCTTTAAATGCCCCCAAGCATCTTGTTTGTACAAGTATGGTATGACTCTAATGGGCTAACTTTTTCTAGGATTTTATGACAAATGGACATGTGGCTCCAAAAGAAGATGGTCACGCAGACTGGAATGTCTCAAATATAATTGAGAGTAATGGTACTACAACGATGGAATTCTCTCGGAAGAAAGATACTGGTGATGCTAATGGTGACAATGTCATTGAGGTGGGTTAATTAGTGAGATCACTTCCTCTAAAGTTTGGTAGATTGAAAGATACCCCCTATATATAAACAATAGCCTCCATTTGGTGCAAAAATATGTACTGATGTTTGTCTGTGGACATTATTAGTTCCAGGATGCGAACACTTTTCAGAAAACAAAGCTCAAGGAAAACTGTGAACTTTGAGGAGCAGATAATGTCTAAGGACAAATATACAAGCATATTTTCATGGTGGAGGCTATTGTGTTTATTATCCTTCAAATATTTTTACAATGTGCGGGAAACATGTTAAAAAGAGGAACTAGGAAAACTATTGATAGAAAACTAAGTATGGGTAATTGAACAGGGCCAAGAAAAATTAAGGATTAATATCAAGGGTGTTTTGAGAAGTTGTATATCTGCATTAATTTTGTAATGACATCACCTTGTATTGCATTTGGAATAAAATCTGCTTTGGACCTTTGACATTTTTCTCCTTTCATGGAGGTCATTAAGTTGACTGTTGGGCTGAAACCCCCTGGCCATAAGGGGAAAGAGGTATTTGCATTTGTGGATTTGATATATATGTAAATTTCCTTATGAAGTTAACTTTGTCAGTGTGAAGTCTATGCTTTTAAGGTTAGTCAATCACACCTGATAAGATTTATCATTCACATGTCTATTGAGTCAAAGTATTTTTCAACCTTGGAAATATAAGAGCTTCTCAAGCACAGGATTAAATTTATTTATCATTGCCTTCTTCAAACACGTTGGTTTGTCTTCTACTGAATCTTGCAGCATCGTGTTTTGCTCTGTGTAAATTTGCCAATTCTTTTCAACTCTAGGAAAAGATAGAGCTTAGGTATTCAGTTAAAGTCTGGATAGGCTGGGTACAAAGGGACTTACAAAACCCAAAGGATTCAATACTTATACCTCAGTTTTAGATGACATTACAAGTTTGTCATCATGGACAGTATCTTACTCAGTGTTGTTACGTGATATTGACCTGAAGTTCATTGTTTTTCAGCCTGGTCTGAGAAGGATGGTGTGTGCTTACCATGATACTGTTGATTATAACATATCTATGAGCAAGTTTACAAAACACACATGGAATGGCTATGAAGATATTGAATTTATTGAGAAACCAAAGGAAAAAGCTGTGCTTGCCTATCGTGCAACCGAACCACCAACCACTGGGGCCAGTACACTAGCTGTGTCTATTGTGGGCCACTTGTTACTTATTGTTATTGCAGTCATTTTCTTCTACTAGATCATGATGATGAATCGTCTCCTTCTTTTGCTTCTTGCCTATGTTGTTGTAGCATCAGGCATTAAAGAAGAAAGATCTCAGGATCTATGTTCATCTGATGCCCTTAAAGATTGGAATGATAGAGAGAAAGAGAAACCTTTCACTGGTGCACATAATCATTTTAAATTACAATCATGTACAAATAATCTGTTAAGATTATAAAATTCCTGATTTTGCTTACATGTTAATATATCTTAAACCTCTTTTGACAATTTTGGAATTGAGGTAGGTCAACTTTTGAAAGACATGTTCACTATTAACATGTAGTGCACATGGTGGTATAAAGCCATAACTGCCTTTGACACCACAAGTCTGGTGCATTTGTAAACATTGAGGGGTGGTTATTTAAACTGAATTTAGCCATCATCTAATGTAACTGCATTCTAAACCATTTTTTCAATTTAGCCAAATCTTTAATCAGAACATCTAGTTTAGTGAATAGTGTCAAGAGGGCCAAAAGCTAAGGAGAACATTTATTTCATTATTAAATAATAATTAAACCACAGTTTGAGTTTGATCTCGAGTAAATAATTGGCCTTTAGTTTGCGTTTAGATGAAAAAATATGCTTTATAGTGTATTTTGAAGGTAGATATCTTATGCTATAAACCACATATGTATTTGGGACACATGTTGTCCTATAGTTAGGCAGGTGTCCACTGATAGCTTTGACCATTAAAGACGTGTGCTTGTCTAAGTTGAGATGAATAATTCCTTTGTATTGATCAGTCCACCAGACAAAATTTGTTCCAAGGAAAAGCCTTCTCCAGAAATTATTTAGTTTTTATTTCAACCATTTGAATTATCAATGCAAGTCATGGTTTGATATTCTATAAAGTAACCCTAATGTTCATTGCATGACCTTGAAGCAGCTGCTGTGTCCCAGGTTATCAAAGAAAATTATTCTTTTATGCCAGAGTACCTTTACAACTCCAAATTGCTGCGATAGACTTCCAACAGCAGGGAAAACAGGTTTGAACCCTGGTTCAGAGATAGGTAATTGACCAAAGTGCTAAGCAAGATTCAAAGTGGCAAAGTTCATTGACAAATTCAAAAGAGAGCATCCTGCTCTAGTCTTTTTAATTTTTTTATATACTTTTTTAAGAGTTAGTTACTTGCCTGGTTGTTAGCTCACATAATCAATAGGAGGTTGAGATGTGTAGCCTGAGAATTTGGTCCAATAAAATGCAGTAAGTTTTCTCCCTCTAGTAGGTTTTATCTGTTGATGGGTGGGAGGGGCCCTTAAATAAGCAAAATGGAAAATAATTTGCATAAATTCTGGTATACTGCCATGTTTTCAGGGGCAATGTTCAAAAGCTTAATGCTTGAATGTTTAAGCACAATATATCTGACTCTAAACATGGTCATAGTTTGTCCAAAACACAGGTAAATGGGCCTAAAAAAAAGAGAGCAACAGTATATTGTCTGATTTTGCCATATAAGAGCTTTCCCACGGAGAACTTTTTGACAAATTACTGTAATAAAAATTAATAAGACTCCACAAAAATTATCATGTCTAATTTATTTGACCACAATACACTTAAATGATTGACTGAAAAAAGTTAAGTGAATTGTCTCTAATGCTTATCACAACGAAAACTCAAAACAACAACAATCTAAAAAGATAAAATAACATCAACAGCTAATTTGGGCTGAACAGCGACTGAACTTGAAGCAAGAGCTAACAACCTCAATATTAATGAGAATACTTTTTGTAGAGCAACCCAGTCCTTAATTAACTTGAGTATAGTCGTCTTCCAGGACTGCCACTAGGGCGTGGTGATAGTGAGCGGCCACGTTGAGCCAATGGAGAGCGCGAGTGGCGTCCTCTGGTGGCAGGTGAGTGTGACCTCCTTGGCGAACGTGACCTAGACCTACTGTTGAGAAACAAACACCTTGCTCAGTATAGCCTATAGTTCTGGGCCCAGTTGTTCAAAGGCCGATTAGCTCTAACCCAGGGTTAAATTTTAATCCAGCTTTCTTTATTTCTTTGTTCAAAAGTCTTTTTGGGAAAATTTTCACTATTCTTTTAGAACATCCAATGATCAAATTGCAAGCAAAAAGATTTGAACTGAATTTTCTCTTAAAATTTTCAGACCTGAAATCAAATTTCACACTAACCCTGGGTTACCTTAACCCAGCTTTGAACAATCGGGGCCTGAAGTTAAAGTGGGGGAGTAATGGACTTAATAAATTTTCTAAAAGAAAGGACACAGTTTGAGTAACCATTTTGATAACAATGTGTTAGAACAACATGGTTGAGCATGTTTGTGAGAAAAGTTTAGCACTATGAAGCAAAATTGAGATAGCCAACCTTGTTCGGCGCCGTGGTGAGAGTGAGCGGGATCTTCGCGGTCGGTTTCTCTATGGTAAACAAATAATGGTAAATTACAAAATCAAGTTGCTCTCAAAGGTTGTTTATGCTCATCCAAAGAGTTGGACAGCCCCAGGACTAAGCCTTAAATACAGATTTCCCATAATTCAATACTATGACAACAAGGCAACAACAAAAATAAGAAAAATTTCAAGGATTAACCTTCAAAGGTCTCACATGTAGCAATTCATGTCTCCATATCAAGAGCATAGAACCTCAAAGCAAGCAAATTCCCCAATATAGTTTATAAATAAGCAGGAGTTTATTTACTAACCAATCATGCTCAGAAGCCTAGATGCACTTTTCCTAATTAAGGAATCAGAGCTACAGGCATTTTGCTTCAATAACACTAATGGCTGCCTTCTAACAAGCTGTGAAGAGAAGACCTTTTAGGAAACCCACATAAACCAACCATAGAGAAGGGGAACGTGCACACTTCCAAAATCTCAGCATGGCTAGTTGCGTCACATTTCACATGACATGATCAATTCAATGGCAGCAAATCTCTACACCAAAATTGTAAATCACTTCATAATTACCAAAATCTGTACCACAGGTTAGCTAGATGATAAAACTTCAAGTCAAGTAAGTACTTGCTAAAGATCTTGCCACAGCTCTAGTCTGAAGTTCCATCATTCAAATGTTTAAGGCATTATTCAAAAGTTAAGTAGCATAACTAATATTTAAGACTTGAACATGAATAGCTTTCAGGATTACTAACATACCTCTGTCAGCCTTATGCGCTTTCCCAGCAACTCAGTACCATCTAAACGTTTCAGTGCCCTTTGCATGTCATTAAGGCTGGCAAATTCAACAACCCTGAAATATATCAAACAAGTAATTATGTCAATATATGCCACTAATAAACCATTTTACAATATCATGCAATGGGATGCATTAAATATGCAACAACATTACCACCAATAATGCTTAGATAAGGTCAAAGGATTTAATGCAAAACTAGTAGCTAAAGTACAAGAAAATAAAAGAATAGTGGTATAATATATCCCTTGTTCCATGGTTTAACACACAATATGAGTGGAAATCAAATAAAAACTGTCACACAAGTCAGTATTCCTGGAATAGTGCTTTTAAATGCACTATAACAAATGATGCTAACCCCTCTCCTATTCTATCTCTATGGCACTGGGTAAAGGTCACTTCCCCTGCTTGGCGCATGTAATCTTTCAGATCCTGCAAAACAGCAAAGACATTAGTACAAAGTACAGTGAAGAGTACTTTTCTTTGCCTGTCCAAAGGAGATGACAAGTTTGTTTGATTGACTCTATAAAAAGACATTCATGATAAAATCGGGTAAAACAAGACTTCCAGTTAAATATGTAAAAAAAAATTAACCTAATAATTTACACTGTAGGTGCTGAGTGTGCAAACGGAAATGCAAGTTACACCTTTCAGTACATTAAATGAATTACAAAAAAAGGCATCTTATGAGTAACACAATACATTTTGACAAGGGCACTCATTTACACTAACAAATTAAATATTTCAAACCTTTGAGCTGTACAAAAAAATCCCTAAAGAACAGAGATACGAACCTTACCTTTGCAAAACTAACTATTAAGACCAAGAACTTCAAATTAAACCGAGATGATAACCAAGGCCTTCATGCCATACCAATTCCCATGTCAGCTTGTTAATGAGCCAAAAGGGTTGCCATGAGCAAACAGGGCCACTGAGCAACCAAGCAACCACACCACGAATTGAATGATCTACACAATCTTAAGACGGCAAGCCAAGTGTCATATTTTATGCCAGGGCCACTAATTTTCCCCTTTTTACGCACAGACCAGGTCATAGATCAGGAATTGATTTCTGCCTAAAACCAAGCTCCCATAAAGTACCTTACCACTAAGTACTGTGGCTAAAGATGGAAGAAATGGAAGGAAGGAAGTTACTGATATGGTACTTAAGCCTACACCAGATTCAGAACTCTAAATAGACTGGACAGTCACTCTGACTTAACTGTGAAAGTTACCATACTTTCGTTTTTAAAACAACACTCTTGCATGCTCATTGGCGAAGACCAAGTATTTATCAGGCTATAGATCACGCTGATGATGCAGCAGCAAGCCACATTGGTATGGGCTTCTACCTGTTGTAATTTGGCATTACTCTGGCAGTGTATTACATACTTCTGAGTCCAGGAATCAAGCATGAACTTCTACTTAATGATGTATTCAAAAGAAATTGACAAAGTTTAAGAATGTACTGCTTATGAAACTTTGTTCTAACAAACAGTTGCACAAGGAAAAGCTAAAGGTAAAAATACTTGTTCACTTCAAGAATGAGGCCATAACTCAATCACAAAATGAATGAGATTTCTATTTGCATTCTTTTTGATCAACTCTTTTAATCATTTTTGTTAACCCATTAGAAAACTTTTAACGATTTGGGAGGAAGACTTCCATGGCAGAAATTGAAAAAAAGTTTTGTTGACAGATATGCACAATTGGTCCCTGCTAGAAGAGCAACGTGCTTTTTTGAGACAAAACTAGATCGCAAGTGCATTCATTGTAAACTCAGGCACTTAAAATAGTAAAATTTAGAAGTCTGACATACTTCACATTAAGAATTTCTTGTGCAAATCAAATTTGCAAAATGAAAGGTACTGTATAGGTAAAGCAAAACAAATTGTAAGAACTTTCATCCTTTCATATTAGTGTTTTCACATGCTTTTTACAAATTCTTGAAGCCTTAATGTGAAACACTTTCTCTCATCCTTGCATTTCTGAGCCTAAAAGGCAAGTTGTGAATAAGCCCATATAACTTTAGCTTAGGCCTCTTCCTTAGCAGGAAAAACTGTTACAATCCAGGGTACAATTATTATCATTAACTTTATGTCTTTGCTTTAAGTGTTGCTGATGTGACATTTCTTGGAGAAAAACATACATAGTGGCAGATATGACCAGTTTTGAGACCTCCTAATTTTTCAGCTCAACTCCATCTATGTTCACCAGAGTCTGGCCATTGACCTTTGCTTTCTCTGAAGAGGCCATTGGGCTTGCAAAAAAAAAAAAAAATTGAAAAACCAGGTAGAGTTCACTGACAACTGTTTAAGGAGCTGAGCTGTTTATATTTCCATATGCATATAACATGAAGATCGCTGTTCTTTCATAAATATATTCACCTTCTAGCTTAACCTTTTGTGAGGCCTACAGTAGCTATACAGTTTGTGCAACAGTAATAATAAAATAATGTTGAACATGAAATTCACAGCACAGCATTTTGGGACAACATCTGTGGATGAGTACGTGACTAGAAAGACATACAGTAACTATAAATAATTACTTAACAAAGCACTGGCTGTTTGAGCAAGTCAGTTTTGCCCTTAGGTAAATTCCTTAAGCCATGTTTAGTAGGGTTGAAAAGTAATGAAAAAAACAACAATTTTGTCATTCATCACCAGTGAATCCTACAAAATTAAACAGGAATACATAAGGAAAAAGGATAAATTTATGAAGGAATAATGAACTTTCAAATGCATGGTAGAACACACAAGATGTTACAGGTGATAATAAAATAATGTTCTTTTAGTTTAAGACATAACTGCTGCTTTGATCAGAACTTAAGTTTTACAGCAGCATGAAGTTGGCATTGCCATGTAACTTGAATTGCCATTTAACTTGCATAGGGCAAATGAGTCACTAGAAAAGGTCTTGCTTTTAGTTCTAATTGTTTAATAAATTGTTTCCACAAGTTTCTACTGTTGTAAACAAACTTGCTAAGTAATTGACAGTCTTGTGTAATCATCTGCGTGAGAATAATCCTGAAATGACTGTTGTTGGTGAAAACTAGTAAAAGTTGACTTCTACTCTAAGGAGGTCATCGTCACAGGAAAGTGAACAGCTGTTTGAGGATAGAGTTTAGCCTGTTAGCTGGAAGACCCACAAGGCTCATCAAATGTGATTGGTCAGTTTTGTCCATTGGTAATTAAAATGTAACATCATGTTATCATATTTTGCACCTTCTGAAGTAGGTCTCACAATTTTGCATCTCCCTGATCTATGTCTAAAGGTTGAGGGTACTTGCATATTTGAAATATTTTCTTTTGCTTTAATTAGTATTAATAGTTCACATCAAGGAAGGCTTTGTAAACCCTTAATGAAGAGGTACAGTACTATCCTGGATACAAATAATGAGAATTAACCCTGTCTAATATTTCTCACCTGCCAACTTGCACGTGAGGACAAATTTTCCACTGTCAACTTGAATTCAGTGTTATAAGGTGCACCATATCTAAATAAATGTAGAATCTTAAAAATGGGTAGTCATGGACTACAGGTGGCTTCTAAATGAAATAAAAATCGAAAATCACCGTACAGAACTGGTCCTGCTTACTGGAATTAAAAATGGAATATGACTTGGACCACTTACCACTGTGGCTACTCACATAAAGTAGTGACCATAATAACAACCACATGACTGTGAAAGGCAAAAAGGACACTAACAGTTATCTGTTCGAATGGGGAAACTGTTTGTTATCTGTTTGTCATCCATTCAACTGCCTAAAAAAACAGTTCAAAGCATTCTGCAAACCATTCAAACATTTTGCATATCTGTTCGAAAATCATTAGCATCCATTCGAAGTATTACGACATCTGTTTGAACAGTTCTGACACCTGTTCAAATGGTTTCAACATCTGTTTGAATGGTTTTTACATCCGTTCACCAACTAGAAGTGTCTGTTTGGAGAACTGCAACATCCATTTGAATGGTTTGATGTCTGTTCTGTTCATCCGTTCAGAAGGAGAAAATTAAACTTGTCATTTCTTTACAGATATTCAGTATAGCGGTCGAAACATTGCAATCCACATCTATGTGACTAAATTGTGAGACGAAAGATTAACTCAGCTGTCATTTTAAACCATGATGATAAAACAACTTTCATGGGATATTCAGTAGTTTCAGACAATAACTAAAAACATTATTTCACTGAGAAGTTGAAATAGTCTCCATTTTCGATCCTGAGAATAAAGACCTTGAAATTCACAACAATGGCAAATGAAATGGAAACAATGCACAGCAACATTGCCCGTTCCATGATTAAGCCATGCGCTCAGAATGGTTTCGCAAACTGATTAAGCAATTTATTCATCCAACCAGTCATACAACTTTGTATATTTTCATCTGTTCGACCAGCTTGCCAGTCTGTTTGACATTATCCATTTTACTCATCCGTTTTAACAGCTAAGCAAACCCTTTGAATGGCTAATCAAACCATTCAAATAATTTATTCACCCGTTTAAATGGTTTGCCCATCCATTAAAAATTTTTACTCATCCATTCGAATGGCTGAACAAACCATTTGAACGCTTCAAGTACTGTTCATTAACTGTTCATCATCTGTGTGTTTTTGCCATTTGAACAGTTTTCCATTAGTGTCCGTTTTGCCTTTCAGGGTCACATATATGAACAAAATTGTAGCAAAAATTTACCACCAGCTGAAAGGATTCCACTCCAAATAAAAGTGAATCTAACACAGATGCATGTACACAACTAATTTTTTTTTAACCACAGAAAAACTACCTTCACACTGAAGAGACAGGTGCTGTAAAACAAATTGTTCGTGTAAGGTTTCCACAAAAAAAAGGGCAAAGCAAGGAGTTTAATCACAATGAATGTAGAGAGGCACTTTGGTGTCTGTAAAATTGAGATTTGCCTGTCTTTTCTTACCTTAAAATTTATAATTATTCACATCACTTCCCAATTAATTAATTTTTCACTAGAAATTTCTAAGTCAAGGCAAACATTTAAGACACTTCATGAATCTCACATTAAATTACATCCATGTGATCAAAAGACCATTAACATGTGTGTTACTGACCTGTCTCGGAACCTGAATCCACCACCTCTTCTCATTCCACTTCCTCCACCACTACCACCTCCTCCACCACCACCTCCACCACCTCCACTCCTTGATGTTGGACGGGCATGTTCCACTGTTATTCTTTCATAAAAAGAAAAACATGTACATATGTATTTCCCTAAAGAGGCTTTTATTCCCATTCTTTTAGCACAACAGCAACATGTATCTTGCTCTTTCAAGTCAAAGAGAACATTTCTTAGCAAAATCTATTGACTATGATACCTAAACTTGAGGGTACCATAGATCTTCACTGGTGTTCTTTGAGCAAAAAAATTGTCAATGCACTATTTGAAGCATAACTACCTTATGATTGTTGCTACAGTCATTAGTTTATGAAATTCCTTGAATTTTCCCTGACGAAGGCAAAATTTCCCCAACTACCGTATTTCTTCTGTAAGCCAAGACCCTGAAAGTTAGAGACCTTCCAACAAACTCGTGTTGTTCAAAAAATAAATAAATAAAACCATCAGCTGTAAGCCAAGGGTGAAATTCTTAATAATAGCTGGCCATTTGAGTGAGCACACCACATGGAAAACATTGGGAAATGGCTCACTGAACACAAAGCTAATGAATTAAAATAAACACAAAAGAAAAAAAGAGAATCAGTGAAGATGTTAATACTACTACCTAACTGTAGAAACACAACAATACTCTCAGTTACTGTAACCTAACAAACATTTCAATCGAGTATCTCTTTTGTTGCTGTTATTTTTCTTATGATGCCAAAAGCATGCTGTTCTTCATATACTAGGGCTTTTAAGACAAAAGTTATCGCAGAAGCTGGCGCAGTAGAAAACAACTCAGAAATCCCTCGAGATTATGGACTCAGTGAGTCAATGGTGGGATGCTGAAGAAGAGACCAGGTAACTATTCTTTCTGGCAAGGTAAAGATGTCTGCAAAATGTGCAAAAATGGGCTGTTTCACTCCCAAGTATCCCGAACTAGACAAGCAGGTGAGAGAGTGGTTTTCATGGCAGAGTGACCAAATATTTCATTTGAAATGTAAAATGAGAAGAGTTTTGCCAAATTGAGTGAGATCATCTTTCAATGCATGGGGAGCAAAGAATCTGATTGGTGGTCAGAGCAGAGATACGTTGTTGTCATGACAATTTTAAAACATGTCCTGTAAAGAGTGCTGCAGTCACAGAATTTACAGTCATTTTGTATTAAAATTAAATTTGCAATTGTACTTGTTTTTGAATCCCAAACCCTCGGCTATAAGCTGAACCCAGTTTCTTGTGAAAATACCTCCCAAACTTTTGTGTCAAATACTGAAAAAAATTGCTTGGCTTATAGGTGAAGAAATATGGTAACTGAATAAAAAATTTTACAAACCAGGCATGTTAATGGCCTCAGTTATGTTAGTGGCCTCCAACCTCCCTTCACAGCCATCCCACCCATAAATTCACGTATTCAGCTGTGGTTTGATGTGCAATAAAAAATTGCACAAAAATTGGCTCTTGAAGGTCTAAGGTTTAGTTGAAAACACAAGCCTAGAGATAAGTACTACAAGACCCAGAGCTGGGTACGTTATTTGAACATACCTTTCTCCCATGAATTCCTTGTGGTTCAGTTCATAAACAGCATCATCAGCATCTTTGTAGTCATCAAATTCCTAAATTTTCATTGACAAAAAGAATTAGGCTAATTAGCCCTTTCACTCCTGGTCCGGCCAAAACCGGCCAACCAGAAACTTGTTGTTATTCCTAGACCGGCCAAGAAAACTGTTGTCATTTTCCCCTTCTATCCCCTCCCCCAGTGAAGAATATATGTGACCCTCCATGGTAAAACGGACACTAACGCTTTTCCGTTAAACGGTCTCGAAAAACGGTTGTAAACGGATAGTAAACGGCCGACTCGAGCCTTTAAACGGATGCCATAACCGCTTAAACGGATGGCAAAAAATTTAAACGGTTGACCAAAGTCCAAAAACGGATAGATTAGGCCTTCAAACGGTTGACCAAAAATAAAAATGGATGGTACGAAACGTTAAACGGTTGACCAAAGTTCAAAAATGGATGGCTCACACTGTTAAACGGTTGACCAAAAATAAAAACGGTCAGCCCGAAACATTAAACAGTTGATCAAAGTCCAAAAACGGATAGCTTAAACCAAGAAACGGTTGACCAAAATCGACAAACGATGAGCAAAAAATTAATGTTTAACGGCTGTGGTTGAGCTGGCGAGATCTTCTGCGGAAAAACTTTCAGAGTGACAACGGATAATTATCCTTTAAAGCGAAAATATTGAGCATGATGATTTAAAAAGTAATAACTAGCATATACTTGCGCATTTTACTTCTGGGTTAATTACTGCCGCTTTTGTGTGACATTCATGAAATAAGTGCAATTTACTGAGAATAGTTTCGCTGCCGAATATCCAGAACGGCTACCGCGAGAAACTCATAATCTTCTCCTTTGTTTATTCTTATTATTATTGAAAATGAACTTCATTTTTTCCTGTTCGGAAGTTTTGCGAAACAAAGTTGCATATGCAATGCCGCCACCTTGTCTGAAGCCGAGACGTTTCAAGGTCAAATTACGCAATGAAGTTCCATTGCAAATAAAAGGTCAAATCAGTGTCACACACCAAGTGGGGCCGTTAAAATGATTGTCAATAAAACCAAGAAAGATGAATCAAGATGATATAAACAGAAAGAGAGTAGCTGATTTAGCAGTCCATCGACTGGGGGTCTGCGAAATATACCAACCCGGATATTTCAACTTAACTTGTTTGTCAAAGGATGCGACGGAAACTCGCTCACTATGATCACGCAAAAGATAAAACCAAAATAAGATAGGGTCTTTCTGTATTTCAAGAACTGGCGAGTATCGAGCGAACATAAGATTGATACTTCGAACTGCCCATAACAGAATGATAGGCAAACAGTCCAAAGCTTTCCGTGGAACTTTAAACGGATAGCTTTTTTTTTTAAAACGGGTAAGCAAGTCATTTAAATGTTTTTGCTAGAGCGTTGAACAGATGCAAATTTTTTTAAACGGATGCAAATTTTTTTAAACGGATGCAAATTTTTTTAAACGGATGAACACACCGCTTAAACGTTTTGGCAAAAGCGTTCAACGGATGCAAATTTTTTTAAACGGATAAGCAAACCGTTTAAACGCTTTCATGAACCGTTTAAACAGATATAAACGGATAGTAAACGGTTTTGCAGCTTAAACGGAAAAGCGTTAGTGTCCGTTTTCCCGTGGAGGGTCACATATGTTTATTAAATATTTGCCTATTGTTACTAAGGCATTGACCTATCAAATTGTCATTACTGCACATAAGTTATGCTTCCTGAGGATGGGATAGACAGATGTGAACATGTTCTTGCATCATGAATGCATGCACAAACATGGCAACAGCGATGATCAGTTTCTGATAAAAAAAGGATTGAGCAATTTCGTCCGTGAGTTTGTAAAACCGCTTAGTTTATTATCAACTTGGAGTCAATAAAGCAAAGAAACTTCCAATGTAGTGGCTATTTGCTTTATCAGCTCCAAATCGATAATAACCTGAGCGGAAAAATGGCAAGGTGTGTAGATCCTTTAGAAATTAGTTTAGATGAATACAGGGTGATTTTTGGTGATTCAGATGAAGAAGGTACCAAAGATATTGAGGAGATGGTTCTGACATTGATTTTTTGGGTATTGATGAGGATGGTGAGGAAAGTGATAAAGAAGCGGATGGTGAAAGTGGCAACAAAGAAGCCTCTGACAGCAACGATGAAAAAAAAAAACAAAAATGGACAGCTGACCTCAGTAACATCGTTGTTGACGAATTTTCAGCTCAATCTGGAATCGCTGTCAAGTCAACCCCAAAGCTGATTATTTTTTCAATTTAATGTTTGACAAGGATCTTTTTGAGAAAATCATGGAGACAAACCTCTATGCTCACCAAAAATTAGCTGACAATGAGCAACGTCTTGGTAGATGACGCAATGTTTCTAAACCTGAAGTGAAAGCTTACTTTGGAATGTGCCTCATCATGGGATGAATATTCTTCCCAAGGTCACGACTACTGGTCAACAGACATTTTCAAGGGCAATGAAGGAATTAAAAGAGTTATGCCTAAGAACCGATTCGAAGAAATAAGTCAATTCCTGCATCTGAATGACTTGAGTCGGGAACCCGTGCGAGGAGATGTTAATTTTGACTGTCTGTACGAATGCCGTCCTGCTTTGAATGCTGTTTTAAGAAATGTTCAACGCTGTTATTTGCCCACAAAAAACCTTTCGGTTGACAAGGGGATGATAGCGTTTAAAGGCAAGCTATCATTTCACCAATATTTACCAGCTAAACCAACTAAATAAGGAATTAAAGTGTGGATGGCAGCTGATTCTTCGAACAGTTATGTTGTCAATTTCTCTGTTTATTTAGGATGTGAAGGAGAAATTCAAAGACGTCACTTGCTGGGATACAATGTTGTTATGGGTATTACCCGTCCCTTTTTCAATAGAAAACATCATGTTTTCTTTGATAATTTCTTTTCGAGCCTGACCTGTTCAATCATTTGCTTGCACAAGATATGTATGCTTGTGCAACAGTAAGATGTAATCGCAAAGGGCTGCCTGCTTATGCTAAGGATAAACTTTGCGAGCCAGGACAAACAATTACACAGCAAAGAGGAAATCTTTTATTTACAAAATGGCACAACAAGTGAGATGTGGCCTTTTTGTTGTCAAATGTTTCCCCAGAAGAGCCTTCGCGGACCGTACAACATCAGAAAAGAGGAAGAGACATTGACATCCAAAAACCGCAAGTATCAGATGTTTACACAGCAAACATGGGTGGTGTTGATGGAGCTAACCAATTTCGGTCCTATTGCACCATTGGAAGACAGTCGCAAAAGTGGTATGGGTACATCTTTTAGTTCCTTTTTAACGTTGCTACCTGCAATGGTTATATTCTAGAATGCTGATACCTAAGGATGCAAAACCTGCGAAAACGACCACAAGCCCCTTTTTGGCTAGAGTTGGGTAAGCACCTGATAGATGCCTACTCTTATCAAAAGCGAGCTGTGAATCAAGTACCAGCCCTAGAACCCACAAGAAACCACCAAGCGATTCAAGAAGAAGGCTGAAAGAAAGAATGTGTACAATGCAAATCTGCAGGTCAAAAAACACCAAAAGGCTATCCAGTTGAAATGAGAAACAAGTGCCAACAGTGTGGTGTTGCGTTATGCAAAGTGCGGTGCTTTACCGATTATCATAGCAAAAACAATTGATCATATAAATCAATTTTACAATTCTTAATTTCCAGTTTTTTCAAAGTGCAGATCATGTAAATACTCACCAGAAAATAAAAGTGCCATTCACTTGTTCATATCATTGTACTTTTTGAAGTTTTAAACTTGTAATTTGGTCTTTTGACCCACCAGGAGATTAGACTTCTACTTTGGTAATTTGGTCTTTTGACCCACCAGGAGATTAGACTTTGACTTCGGTAATGGCAGCAAATTCAAATTTCATTACAAACAGGAACATGCTATACATTTGAGTCTCAAATCACACAACTAACTTGAGAGAGATTTGCTTTTCCACTTTTTTTTTAGTTAATTTTGGTTTATCATCCAGACATCAAACACCTAAAATGTGACTTTGCTGATACTGAGTTCAGAGTGAATACTAGGTTTGGCCAACCCTGTAATAGGTCTTTCAAGGGGCATGTTGTTTTACATCGCCTAGATCTTTCCTGTTGTTGTGTGAGATGCAGAGTTGAAAAAGCTTTGAAAATTATCTTAAAGTTGTATGTTTGCAAACCTTTATTTCCTTCCTTGATGGGCCAAGGAGATCATTAATGATGTGTGGGAATATGAAACTAACATTAGTTGGCTAATCCCAGCATTCATTTGGATGCAGTATTAGTAAAGTGGTGTATTACTCCTTCACTAGTTTGTATAGGTAATCACATGATTTCGAGTGCAATTTGGAATAAATAAGCACGAGTAAATTTTTTTAAAGACTAACAAAATTGCATGAGCCCATAGGGCGAATGCAATTTGTGGTCTTCGAAAAAATTAACAAGTGTTTGTTTATTCCAAATTGCACAAGAAAAATCATGTGATTACATGTTAATAATATACATGAAAAAATGAGATAGCTTATCATAAGTAAGCATAAGCAAAGCGTGAGCATCAAGTACAAAAATAACATATTCAAACCATGCATTCAGTCGAAACAACTGCGTACGACCAAAACAATAATATGCAATGGTATCTTCACTTCTTTATGGTGCAAAAAAGTTCAAAGTCCGGACAAATAGTTCAAGGAATTGTTCTGTCTGTGTCCGAATCATGTTTGTTTTTTCATTTCGATGTTGGATCGCTCCAGCAAAGTGTTAAGCTGGGTTGGCTAGTAATTTTTGGTTTCCTTAGCAATTCCCTTCTCTAAACATCACTTTTTCCAAACCAACAACCAAAAAGCACTGCTTTTTACAGTGTTTTCATTGTTTGAGCTGTTATTCAGCTGCAGTGGCAAAAGAAAACCTACTTTAAACACCGGCCATTGTTTTGCTTGCAAATTTTCAAATTGTTGCGACATCCAAGGTTTGCATTTGATTGGCTATCTGTGAGTTTCTTTGATTATTGACCAATCAGAATGTCTGGTTTGTTACTTTCTTTGCAATGAATTAACCCTTTCCTGCTCTGAATTAACTCTCTTCTACACTGAATTACCTGAAAACTGCATTTATCTTAACCAATCAGAACTGAGTAATTTTTTCCTGTATATTATTAGTACTGAAACGACTATGGTTGTTTTGAAACGACTTCAAGTATTTCACAAGTATTGAATCAACTTCAGTTCATTTCAAATTGACTTGTATCAAAGCGACCGTAAATAGTGCTTATCCAAATGCACAATTTGGTCACCCTGCAGTACATGCACTGATCTAGACCCTCTTAAATTTGTCCAATTTTGAGTAAATTCGAAGAAAATCGCTCTTGATTATTCGTCTTTGCTCTTTTTTTTAAATTCCATTTGAGTTTATCTTTGATATATCTTCTTCACTAAGGTTCCTCTTCATCATTTAGGGTCCAGGGGAAAATTTCTTGATGAGAGCGAACTTCTGAAATATCGTTCTACACATTCGTACTAGTAAATCGGTTATACTGAGACTCAGGAAAATGAAAACTAAAGCTGTCCTTCCTTGGAAGATTCCATGGTTGTTGTCCTTCGGTTTGCCGATAAAGCGCCCGAGAGAGCCATTGTTCTTAAGCTTATTTCTTGTACTAAACAGGAACGCAAACTACCCATTGTTTTTTCGTTTGTAGTAAAACCTGAGATTTGAAGCATTTGACTGGGTACCAAAAGAACTAAATGCCTCTAAACATTGAAAGAGTTTATGCATAGATTCAACGTAACACTTACACGATTTTAACCGCGTTAAAGGAGCTACATCATAACTTATAAAAGCTTACCACAAAGCCAAATCCACTCTTTAAATTAATCTCTCGTATACGTCCGAATCCACGGAAAAACTTCTCAACGTCTCTCTCCTTACAGTCTCGAGGTAGTCGACCAAGAAAGACTCTTGGGGCTCTGTCTCTACTCATGATGCGCTCTTGCTCAGGGACGCAACAAAGATAGGATTTACAAAGAAGACTTTGCATAGTATCCCACGAAGCCTTGCGAATATCCAATTGCGCATGACTTCTCAAGTAACAAACACCACACTAGTCGCTGGCTCACTGTTAGAAAGTCTTTCGCCGATTGGCGACGATATTCAGTTAAAGTCTGGTAGAAAATTGGTGTAAAATGTCTTTAGCTACATATGCGATATTTTTGTAAATGAGTGAACTACCACCCGACGAGGTATGTACAGTTCCTTATCCATGCCTGCGTTTGATAACTGTAGTCATAGGTTCAATTGAGTTTTAGGTTAATACAAAGAGGTTCAACTCCGACACTCGTTCGCCCATGAAAATATTTTGAACTGTCACGAGTGCCACAACCTTCCAAAACGTGATTCCAATTTGTTAAAACTCCACTCCCTGATTTTCATTTGTTTGCGTTGTGGTAGAGAGCAACAGTTTTGGGGAAGAATGTTCCATGAGCTCTCTCAGTGACTTCGAAATTATCACTTCGTGACAGTGATCTAATTTCAACCAGTTCTGATGCTGACTTAATGATAGGTCATATCATCTCGGTTTGCTTCTTAACACAAAGATCTTGAGAACTGCTTTGTTGTTCTTATCCCATATCTTATATACTAATAAATGCTGTAATAATCGCTTCATAATGAACATAGCTCCCAAAAATACAGAGCGTCTCAGAGGGAGATGGTTTGCATCATGAACTGAGATGAAATCTTTGGTAAAAAATTGGCCATAACTGGTCTACCATAAAAACGCAACCCAGCAACTGTATTTTTAGTGATTAATTGATTCAGCCAGCCGTTTCTTGTCTCCAAAATGAAAGAATGGTTTTTTCATACACTTAAATTCACAAGTTACTGAAATCATGAATGTTTTTCTTTTTTCCACATCTCTTGGACTCACCAGTGACTTAACCAATGTTATGCTCTACTAGTGTGAACAACTTGCAGACTCTCCTCAATAGACTGTACACATTCTCTATTAAAGGGATTATGAGAATAGATTCTAGATCAGGGCCATGCTGATGATCAGTTCTTTTGGTCACACAACCTTTCTTGTGATCATAATGTGTCAGTCTCACAAGGAGAGATTTGATAATGATCAGTCTTGGATGTAAGGTTAAGGCTTGTTAACTTCACCAGCAGAAGTTTTCATTTGGTGACAACTATTACAAACAAACTAATAAGGTAGCCATGGGTACTAAAATGGGACCTAGCTTTGCCAATCTTTTCTTAGGTTTTATCAAACACCAATTATTTTAGTCATTATACCATGACCCCAATAGTCACTACATTGAGGACTGCATTGATGCTACCTCCTCTAACAGAAAGGAGTTCATTCAATTTATAACCGCCGTCAATTCCTTTCATTTGGCTCCAAAATATACATCGGAAATTTCTGACACTTCTTTGGCTTTTCTAGACATGAAAGTTTCAGTTTAAGGCAATGGTCCATGCGCTAGTGTTTACTACAAACCTATAGATTCACATAGTTACTTGTTGTATTTATCTTCACATCCATCATGCATCAAGAATTTCATAACTTTTTTTATCTAGTGACGTCTCTAATTTTTCTTAAAAAATCAGAGGCAATGTGTCAGTTTGGCAATAAATGTGGCTATCCTGTGTCTGTTGTTCAAGCAGGCCACCACCATGCCCAACAAATTGATCAACAGTCAGCACTATAAACGACTGATAAGGAAATTACTGACCACATTCCATTCACCCTCACATTTCACCTTCACAGCCATGCACTTAATGATTTGATTTCTTCCGATTTGCTGGTTCCATTAGAACTCTGATATGGACTCTGAAACACTCCCAGTTACAGTTTTCTTGCTTTGTGCGTGTGTTGTTTTAGTCTGAGTACGTTAAGTTTGTCAGACTGACAAATTCTTGTCACTAATTTCTTATTGGCACAGGCAGTTTGTGTGGTTTTTCAAGGTTGTACTTGTTTAACTTCAAGACTTACATTAAGTTGTTGTCACAGTTATTGGAAGTCATTTTATATTGATGACTAGTATGAGGTGTCTCTCACATGTCTAATCCATCCCATTGGTATCAAGTGAGCAGAGTAAATCATATGTTGGTCCATACATGTGCTATAGGGGTGGGAGTAAGCACTCTGGTCCCATTTACATGTATCTATTTTGGACAGATGATTCAATTCCTTAAGGCCAGAGATGGCAAATATTGTGAGTACACTGAACTTGTGTCACAACTTGAGGTTATCAAGGTGATCAGATAAGCATCCTGAGTGGTTACTATGGCTACCCTCTGAAGTGTTGTATCTGTCATACTGTGAAAAACATTTGGATCTATGACTTCAGTCTGTTTTAGGAGTTCCTCTCCATAGTCATCTTTCTACTTATTTTCTGATTTTTCGCTCATTTGTAAAGGCATGTAATTGGTAAGGGCTGCAGTCTTTTCATGGTCCAATCTTGTTATGGCATTCCTTCTCAATTTGTAACTATCTCCTCTCTCTCTAAGTCATTGTTCAACTTGTGAAAGTCACAGGTCTACTAGCTTCTTTCTCCTAGGTCATGAGAGGGTAGTATTATTGCTCATAAATTGTCATAGTTAGGAATGTGTGTAAGATATGTAAGGTAGTATTATTGCTCATAAATCATCAGAGGTCAGAATGTGTCTACAGTATTTGAGCTTGTGTTTCTTGAAGACAGCACTCCAAGCTGGCACTGTTTTGGTTTCCATGGAAGCCAGAATTTTTTCGTAGTCCTCTATTCTGTCCTTCTTCACTGTTTTTCTTATGTCAAACTACTGTAGTTGGCACAAGGATTTCAGTAATACATGTACAGTGTTGTTGGGTAACAGTTAGATGATTAAAGTAATATCCTTTTTTTCATAGGTTAGGCGTCGCCGCCTGGCTAGGTTGAACCAAGGTACCATGTCATCATCCCATCCTCCATCTGACAGTCACTCTATTCCTGTAAGGACAAGCTTAAAACCCTTGGCAGAAGGTTCTGCAGTGAGCACTCAGGACAGTGGTTATGGCTCTTTATCACAATCTTTCGAGTTTGATGAACAATCACAGGACACTGGTGATAAATGTGGCAAACGCACCTCCCCAACTTGTTCTTCTTCTCCTTCAGAAAATTTTAAATTCAAAAGGACGAGAGATGGATTTGACAAAGATGACACTTCTCATGTTAAGGTCAGGCATTTGACTGTTTTCGTTCATGACATACTTTGGATATACAGAAGTAGTCTTGTAGTCATGCTTGTATTACTGTTAGTGTCATGAAGACTGACACCTTACACCCATGTTTATTCCATTAAATTCCTTGACTCAGAGAGACCAAAATTTCTCCATTTGCCATTATGGTGGAGCTCACAGAGCGTAGCCCCATAATTATACAAAATAGTAGTAACCCATCAAGCTGAAAAAATTTGGATGTATGACCATACAAGGTGCTACTTTTATCATGCATGGTCAACTGTACTGCGGGCATGCCGATGCCACAGCTTTGTTCAGTAGTCCAGTGGCCAGTGCACTGGACTCCAAGTTGGACGACCCAGGTTCTAGTCCTAGCTGGGGCAAGGCGTTTTGCCCTTGAGACATGTGGGGAAAAAAAAAGCAAGCTCTGCTTTTAGGCTTGGCTAAATCTATATATTTTTGTGGTTCACCCACATGTACATTCTAGGTAAATCAACTTGTAAATTCTGCTTGGTATTACCCATGTTACATGGTTACATGCTAGCACAGTACATTTAACTAAAAGTTACCAATGATTGAATATAACTAATTTTATTGTTGTTTTAGCTTAATATCTGCATAAAAAGTGATGTATGATAAGTGGTATTTGATTTTGAGAATGATATCTCCCTCTTTTTACAGATGAGTAGTGTGACTGATGAACATATTGTAAAAAGTATTTGCAGTATATTTAAAGTTTCCTTTAAGGTACTTTTTTTCTGCTTATAGTCCTAATTAAAGTCTTGTACATATATATATATAACGTATTTGCTTTCCATGGAAACTTGTATGTATGTATGTATGTATGTATGTATGTATGTATGTATGTGTGTTTACCAATTGCAAGAAGTCCTTCCATAGACACTATTGTTACAGTATTATTTTAGTCACAATTATATTGTATTATTATTAATAGTCACTATTATATTGTATTATGGTCTCTATTATATCATTATTATAATAGTGACTATTAGTGACAGCCCAGTGTTTATGCTAAAGGTTTTTTCCCCAAGCTTTAGATTAAATTTAGGAGAACACACATGTACGTGTAATTCTGCTTGTAAACACATGTATACTAAGTAAAATCAAGTTCACTGAAAACATACATTTGCTGTGGTACTTATACTTCAAAATTGCTCTGCCCTTGACAATAATTTAAGTCATAAATTGTCGTGTCAATTAACGTGGTGAAACCATTCAGGTGCATCCATGTGCAAACATATGGTCTATTTTCAGAGCTCAGAGGTTTCCTGTGACACAGTTTACTTACCAACACTAGCTGAGGATCTTAGTCTAGTGGATCTAAGCTCAGGTAAACCATTCTTTGCATTTACTTACAGTACACCCTTCATGACAGATATAATGAGTGTTATTTGTCTCAAAAGCTTACTATTGACATGTAGCTAGTAATTTAACACATTTAGAAATGTTCTGTGCTGTTAAATTTACATCAAGCTGATGAAAACTAATCACTGACTGTACCTTCTGACTAGTCACTTCATTAGTACAATATCCACATTAGAAATAAATTGAATGAAATAAAGTTTTTAACCATCACACAGAGTACTATTTAAGACTCAAAGAAGTTTATTTTGATTTATTATTACTCCTATCAAACTTACTTTATTATTCATTTTGATTCATCACAACTAAACATAATAATCATACTTTTCTCTGTGACAGGAACTGTTTGTAATGTCATAAACCAAGTGATCATGGAGCGTCTAACCCAGTTTCGTGCACATCAAGATGGAATGAGTGTTAGTCCTACACTTACAATTGCGCAGGAAACCTCGCAAATGGCTATTGATGATAACTTAACTGACTGCAGGTCAACTGAATGTATCAGTTTATTAGGGGAGGGCAAAGCCAATCCTTCACCATCAAACTGTGTAAAAGAGTCAACCACTGTGTATCAGTCCAAGCTGCTTAAATATTTGGTTAATAGCTATAATCATTCACTGAATGAAGAAAAAAACTATCCCAAGGTAAGAATGGGTGTTAAATCTTTTCTGCATCTGGTATTAAATGGAAAATAACTTTTTCAACATATCAGATTTGTGCTTCAAATTGAAACTCTGTCTTAGCAAAGTGTATAGACTCTGGAACAGAAACTAGCAGAACTGTAACAAAATTCATGTTATACTATGCTCTTTTGTCACTTCATAATGCCCAGTTGACACTAAGCATTTGGCAGTCATGGCAATCAGCCAGATGTTGTGTTTGTTCCTATTGCCTCTCTAACGTTTATGACAATTTTACAAAAGTAAAGGATCCTTGCACAGTTAGATCTGTAAGGCAGTACTGGGGGCTAACTCAGCCTTTTTGGAATGCTTTTACTTTCTCACATATTAAAGATTATTGTTTTAAGAGCAATAGTCTGTAAATATTGAACCAGGTCAGATGGGCAGGTTCACAGATTTGGCTCAGATTTCATTTTAACTTGTTTAGGGGTTCTAATCATGAAATGTATATTTTGCACGGGGAATTACCACTCATAGAGATGCTATCCTGGACTAATGGTGTTTGCAATTCATGCTGTATTTCCTTCAAATGATATTTCTGACACATCCATTTGAACCAGGCCAGATGGGCAGGTTCACTCATTTGGCTCAGACTTCATGTTAACTTGTTTAGGGGTTTTAATCATGAAATGGATATTTTGCACAGGGAATTACCACTCATAGAGATGCAATCCTGGACTAATGGTGTTTGCAATTCATGCTGTGTTTCCTTAAGTTGATATTTCTGACACATCCATCTCATAAGTAACCATTCAATGATGAAATATGAAGCACTTCTTCACCATTAATGGAACTCAGGAAAGAGCTCTACAGTAGCTGACCTCTTATTTTTCAAGAAACTAAAGCTTTCATATGTTTTCATTATCCTTTTTATTTTAAAATTTTTTTATTATATTTCTAAATTTTGGGACACATGGCAAACATTTTTTTTCTTTTTTTTCTTTTTAACACACCCCTTCATTCCATGAAATTTCAGAAATTCCATGGCATTGAGTAAAATGAAAGATTTTTGTCAGATTATGGATAGAATCATATATCACATTTGAAACATTCAAGTCTTTCCAACAAATCTGTAAGGAAATATTTTGTTAACGATATAAAATCTCACTGAATTTAGCCTCTATTACAACCTTAAAGGCACTCTCTACTGTTATTATGTTTTAGCCCTAAGAATGAGGGGTACTAATTACAGTAGAAGCTATTCTTGATCAAAGCTGACTTCTAATACCAGCTTGAACAGCTTGTGTAATGATTAATAAATTTTGATGACAGAGATCCCAGGAGGAAAGATGGATAACGTTGTTAACTCAGGCTCGTCGCCAGTGTGTGTTGTTTTCGGTGCTTATTCTTCAAGGATGTTTTTCTCTGGACAGGTTTGTTTTGCTCTCTCTAAAAATTTGTTATAATCAAGTGTTATCACTCTGTGTGATGTATTTAATTATATTTATGATCATATTAATTCATATTAATTCATTTTGCAATTCTTGTTAATGGTAGGTCAGTCCTTCAGAAATCACCCTTGGTACACTTATTTATCAATGAAGAATGTGACATTCCTTTCACTTTCCTCGTTGAACTTGTCACAACAGTAGCAAGTGACTCACATTTATGTATGAAGGTAAAATATGCACTACTACTATTGATTGTATGTTTTTCTTTAACAAGTGTTGACACTAGAAAAAGTATTTAATAACAGCAGAATTTCTCATTACTTATGACATGATAAATGTAGTAAAGTTTTACAGTACATTTGAGCTAAGAGGATTTTAGCACTACAGCTAATGGTCAATGTTAGGCAAAATTTCAGGTATTGTATGGCTGGCAAAAATGCTGATGGTATCTTGGGATTCAGAAAGTTATACACCTATTACCATGCTTCTCAATCTATTTTGTTGCAAGAATCAATTATTCCTCATGAGAAATGCCACCAGAAAATCTCTCAAACTTGAGTATGTGGATGAAACCATCCATACAGAGCGTCTGGTGGGGATATTAGTGGGGAATTATGGGGAAAAAGGGTTGATTGTTTAAGGCATTGTGTGGGATTGGGCAATGAATGTTTTCATGGGAATTTTTTTTTTGATGTGCAATTGTTTGTCCTACTCATCAATTGTTTCATACATTTGAATGTTTCTATTGATGCAAAATTTAGTAGTTATCAACATTTGTCATGAGTCCTGTAGCTTGTTGTTCATTCCTAAGGTCAGGAGCAGGAACCTAAAGGCACAGCCTAATTTTCAGTTTCTTTTATTCATCAATAGACAATTGAAATTTACTAAAAATTTCACCATTGTACATGTGAAACTCCTTAGTGCATCATGGTTGTTTACATAACTTGTTCTTGTGTTCAGCACTGTGCAGAGCTACTAACTGAAGAATAGTATTCTGAGCACAAATGAGGCTGTTCAGTGAGAGCTTTGCCACAGTTTTTTGAAAAGGAAATGGTATCAAATAACCACAGAGGTTCTAATGATATTGGTTATGACAAGTAAAAAATGTCATGTTGTTTAGAACCCTATTTAATTTGAAATTATGTTCACATTGTTTCAATTGATAGAATGACAATTAAGTGATTTCATTAGAAAATGTAACTTTTGCTAATATGAATCAAACTGATTTAATTTCCTGTGCATAGATTTTTAAGCCAGTGCTGTTGAGCTTAAATCAAGAAATGCAAAATTGTCATCTTGCAGCTGAAGGATTTAAAGCTCCCCTGTTGGTAAGTTGGTGACATGCATCAGTTGTTTCATAAATTTGGTGGAAGACCATTTGTATTCTTTTTGTTGACTGATGTTTTTGTAGGATACATTAAACGATTGAAAAATGGCAATGAAAATTGATGGGCATCATCCTTTGAACTTGAGTCCTAATATATAAAGGTTGATGAGGAGTTAGAGATAAAGAGTGCTGAGAATCAGCCTTGATAAGTATTCTCCCCCCCCTCCCCCTGATGAAAACTGAACCACAGCTTGCATGTAAGTATTTTTCTTGATTAGTGCAACAGTTTTTCAGACATAGAGATCAATTATATTTTCAAGCAGTATGAACTGTTAATCTTTGTAACTTTGATCTATGTGTAACCTTGGGAAATATTTAGAGATGTCAAGTATTCCTCTTTGTCCTAGGCACTGTCAAAACTGTGCGATATCCGCCTGGGAACAACTTCAGTGAGACCTATTTGTAACTTGGTAGGTAAAAAACATAAGGATAATTGTATCTCAAGGTCCAGTGGATCTATCATCAATGCAACAGTAATACCATTTTAATGTAATTTTTCCTGAAGACCTCATCTGCAGGGTCTGTATTAGATGTAATCAACAGAGTTGTGTAATTTTCAAGTTTGTGGAAGCTTCATGTGAATGATTTATATATGTATTCATAATTGACTGATTAGTAATGTCAACAAAATTTTGTTAATATCTGAGTGAATGGTTGAGAAAATTCAAAAAGAAAATGAATAATGGTCTCTCACAATGTAGCTCTACATTCATTCACCATCACTACACTGCTAATTTTTTTCATCTCTTTCTTCCTGCTTATTATCTGTCATAATTTAGTATAATTAAGCCTATGAAAGAGGAATAATTGTGATATGTACACTGAATAAGAGACATTTCAAGGTTGCAATAAGACCCCTCTACTATTTTCTTGACAAATTGAAAAGATTCTCAGCTACATGAGTATGGTGAATTTCTGTTTATCTTATACAATTCTTTACATCTTATAGATGGTTGCGTTATCCAACATGTGGATCCCATCACCCTTATCAAAAGCTGAAGGAAAAGAAATTGAGAGACTGTCTCTCATTGGACCATTTCTCAGTCTGTCAGTATTTTCTGAAGAATGTGTAAGTTATTTGTACATCTGTTATTATATCAGACAAACTTTACTTGCTAATTTCCTTCCCTCTAAAATTTTCTAGAGAATGTCTAATATATTTATTCATTTGTTGATATATCAGAAAATAAAGGTGCTAGTTCTCTTCACTCCAAAATTGCTTCTTAAAATGTAGTGTGTATTGCTTTGAATGAAGTGATTGAACGGTGGTTACTTTGGATGGAGACTCTGTGACTGTGAAACCCCTAATTCAGCCATAGGTCAGCTTTTTATTCTTGTTCATCCTCAGCCGCAGATTGTTGATCGTTACTTTTCCGAGTCATCAGAAAATGTTAAGCTGGTGAATGTGACTTTGAGAAGTGCCCTTCGCATTGTTAGGGTAAGCAATCAAATACAACCCTCACAGCACATCTAATTAAATTGATGTTTTTATCAGAAATGAATGGTGACTTCACCTGTTCTTAATACAAAATTGATAGAAACAAACAAAATGTTTGTTACCTAGTCAACATGTTGTCTCAATAGTCTTTGGAAGCAAGCTGTTATACTTCTCTTTGTTAATTTTTTACACTCGCTGGTGCAAAAATGAGATTGTCTCCATTGTATTCCTACTTATGATTTTGACTGTAAGATAAATTAGAAATCCAACGAATTTGGCTTTACTCTCATTAAGTGCCTATGCGCGAAATGTCAGCATTTAAACTCTTTACGGTGGCCAATCTACCTCGTCAACTCAGGTGATAAGACCAAATTATCTTGTTATACCCTCCACTGACGCAACACCACATTACCTTGGAACATAAAATAGTCAAACTTTTAGAAACTGCACTTGCCAGTCACCTGAACGATTTGTTGAGGAATTGCTTTATAAACTGAACACAGTTTTCCTTCTCAATGGTAATGATAACTTTGTGGGTTTTGAATTAATGAATTTTTATTTCTTTTTTACTGTACAAATCTGGGAATGCCCCTACCAGCTTCTCACATTGCTTGATCCTTGTGATAGTCAACAGGAAAATGATGATGGTAATGGTAACAAAGATAATGGTGATTATCATGTGAGTTGAGAGTTACCTTATAATGTAAATGTGCTTACTTCAAACAGACAGAGGTATTCAAGATAATTCATAGTATGCTTGTGTCTACGGAGAGTCGGGATGCTTGTTTACAATTCATTGCTTCAGTCTTAGCAAGAAATTACCGCAAGGCACAGCTACAGGTAAATTACATTTTGTCTTCTTCCTGGAAAGAACTGGTACAGTAACTGTAGATCGGTGTTTAGATAAGATTTCTGGGGTTTCAAAGACTTCAGTGCTTCATAACATCTGGTCCTGATAATTTAAAAAAGTACGCAACTGTAATTATCACTTGTAACTAGCCCACCTCCTCATTAAAAAACCAAACGTTGACAAATGATACTCTTTTTAGGTTGATGATAGACAAGTTGCTTCCGATGGATTTATGTTAAACTTCATGACTGTATTGCAACAACTGTGTGCAAAGGTTAAAATTGAGAAGGTAACAAGTGTATGTTGTTCTACACTGACTTATATCAAGACTCAAAGTTGTTTTAGTGAAGAGAAATACATTTTTAATGCTTTTTTTTTAATGATTTACGAGTGATCAGCACTTCACGAACTGAAATAGTAACAACTTCTTTCTTTCTCCTACGAGTTTCTTCTGACAATAGCAGACTTCATCAGGGAGTTTTTACAAGAAGGAAAATAGTCTTGATTATATACACATAGTATGCGTTTGGGGGTCACAGGTGTATCTATGATGCCCAAAGGCATCACGTACTCGTACATTCAACGTCCGAAAATGACACGCATGTGCAATACCTTTGTGACACTTTGCCGATACTTTCTGCTTTCTTCAAACTTTGCGTGAACGTCGAATATAGACATGGCTTTTACTATATATATGACAATCTTTTGATCATATATGATATGGAGAAACACCACGTCAGGTAAGGAACCTGTTCTACCTTTAATGATGTTTCATAAATGTTAAGGGAACAAAAGGTCAATCACGTTGAGTGAAAGAGATCGCTTTTGAAGTGTCACCTTTATGATAAATGGAAATTTTTCTATTATTGTGTTCAAAGTGTGTTAGCCTGTTGCAGGCGTGCATAAAGTAAGACGGAACGAGATAGTAAACGGCGCCATTGTAGCGACGGAGTTACTTAGGCAGGAGGCTTGGGTCGGCTTGCGTAAAGGAGGGAAGCTTGGGTCGTAAAGAAATTCTTTACAAGACCCGAACCAAGCCTCCCTCCCTCGTTTACGCAACCCGACCTAAGCCTCCCGCTCTTTCGCTCCGCCGCTACTATTCCGCCGTTCGCTATTTCACTCCACTTTACTCACTGAACGCTTGGAACAGGCTCATGGTGTGTTTATGTGAATAAGTCTCGTAATGATGATGGTGAGGAAATTCAAATTTGTTTTGATTTTCTTACAGGTTGATAGTTTGTATCTTCATCATCCCAAATCAAGAGTGAACATCTCACAAGAGTCCAGGTTGAAACTTACTTCACAGCAAGTTAAAGAATGGAAACAGGAACTAGGTATTTCTTAGGAGTCTGTGTGATCAGCTATGAACCAGAAGAGCGTCATCGACGCATACTGGGAATCTAAGTCATATTACACCAAAGATTATAATATGTGAAATTATACCGACGTTCCTTTTAGTTTAAAGGTAACCTTTTTACACAGTTACGATATAAATGTTCTCAAAAATATTAATCTTGTTGCCCGTGATTGATGAAGAAGTAGCCAAAACTTTAGCATTTTTTCATACATAAAGAGCTGTTTTCAAATGAATGTCAAAAAAATCCATGATTGCCTTAGTTTTGCTCAACTTCGCTCTATGATTGGTCTCGAAAAAACTCGTGCCACCTTCCCATTTAATCATATTAAAAATTAAAACCAATCCTGATTTGGATACTGGCGTATTCCCGCCTTTCATGTGGTTTCCTGCTTTTAATCGAGGTTCTAATTGGCGGCTGATGATGATGTCAACCTTTGCTTCAATTGGCTGTTGTGAATATTTTGTTTCGAAACTCAAGTCAAAACTGCAATAAAGGTTGAATCAATAGTTAAAATCTCTAATGCATGCTGTATTTTATATGAGAGATCAGTCAAAAGCGTTTTCATTTATTGCAGATAGTAAAAATGCGTGGTTGGAACCAAAATTTCCCACAGAGTGTTTCTTTATGGCCATTCAAGCCCATCATTTAGCAATTTTACCGGCTTGTAGAAGACATTCTCGACGACAAAAAGCTCACCGGGAGTTAACACGCATGATTGAACATCTGGAATCCCATGAAAGCGAGTGGATAGATACTCCGATGGCCTCTAGAAACAAGGGTCTGTTAAAGAAATGGAGAGAGCAGATCAAGGTAAACGGGAAACAAATTCAAGTTGTGAAAATCAACTGTAGAGCTAGTTTATATCTTCATTTTGTTTATTGACGCGGTTGATAATATTTCGAGCTCTACAAATTTCTTTTTTGTCATATTTTAACTTCAGAAACTAGAAAATGGTAAGGCTTGCTCGGATGTCGTTCTACTTGATGATGAACTTCTGCGTGGCTGTTTAAAGTTCTATGGGTTTTTGGCTACATGGATCTTGAGACTAGTGGATCCTAACAAAAAAGGGTAATTATAAAGAGTTAGAATTTTGGTCAATTGTTACATACCTGTTGCTGATGAATTTTAAAGGATAAACGTTATCTGATGTTTTCAAAGATTTTCTGCTACTTTTGCTTCCTCTTACTAATTACCTGTTTATTTCGTATGTTTTGACATGGTGTTCTGTGTGACATTTTCATTACTTTGTCACATATTGACTCCTTTTCATTTTGTTGTTTGGAAATTTGTTTGTGCAGCTTTGGTATATGTCATTTTTTTGCAGTATTAAAAAATCCTCTCTGCCTCCTCGCTCTCCCCGCCTTTCTCATGATGACGATGACGATCGAAACTTTTGTCCTTTTCAGTATTGTATCGTCATGGTTAATTTACTCAACTGTCATATTTGATGGGTCGATAAATGACTCTTGTCACTGACCGTTCTCACTGATTCACTTTTCTTATGGCAAATGGGTTTGAGACTTGTTTAAAATCTTGACTGCATGTAATTTGTTCTCTGAAGGATCAGTATCCCTTTGCCAGAAAAGATTGCCATGGAGCTTGCGTCCCTTCCGGACTATTTTGTCGGTGATGTGGCTGAGTTTTTGCTCTTTGTCAACATGTAAGTATTCATATTGAAGCCTGTATGCATTTATAGGTACTGGAAAAGCCTTGCAACATCAACGCTATTCAACCTAAAGGAAGCTAGCTTAAGTGATACACAGCCAGTGGCTATCCTTAATTTTTTTTGTCTAAAACTGTGTAGATAAGCGTTTTGCGTAAAATGGTTAGGACAGTAAGAGAATGACTATAAATTGCAAAATTGTTACAAAGAGTCACTGAAACAGATTGCAGTATTTAGGGATTATAATTGCACAATTTACCAGGCATGTATCAAATTTCCACAAGTTAGGATTTTGTGGGTTTCCGTTTTACGCAGGTTTCTCTGCACAGTTGTACAGATCGTATGCAGTACTGCGGACAGTTCCTTTAGTTTGGCGTAAATTTTTTCGCAAATCACGTTCCATAATCAGTAGAACTAACACTTTTAACAGATTAACTAAGGATAGACAGCGGGCGATAGGAATTACAGTCGTTTCGCCAGCGTCTTAAATCTTAAATCTTTTATCTTAATACTCAGTTTTTTTTTGTGAGGTTCAACAAGGACTTTTAAAAACAATTCAATTTTAAAGCTTTGACATACGAATCGTAGACGAACTGACATATTGGACGTAAGCTAACCGACTCTAGACTCAGGCGAAACGACCGATTACCGGCGATAGAGCCAGTGCTCCTACTCCGATTTGTTTGGTCTTCTCAGACACTGTCAGATTTTTCTCACCAAGCAACCTAAGTTGCAGCCAATGATTCTTTCCATTGAATGCGATCGAATATGACGGCCTAAGGATTTGAAAAAAGACATGAGAGGGTGCCGTCGCAGCATTATGTGTACCTTGGTTTTCTTCTCACTCTAACAGTCTTAAAATCAATAATTTTGGAGCTTAAGGTCCTGTGAAATTGGCAAAGTGATTTATTTGTGTTGGGTATCGAAAAGCCAGTTCTTAGGAAATCTGTGAATTCTGTATTGTTTACCTGTAAGCCAGCTTTGTTTATTTGTGTTACTTAGCCTTACGTGCTTGAATGTTGTTCCCAGCTCCCTCTGAACTTCCATATGGGAACAGAATGGGCATCACTGAAAGTAGAAGTGAAACATGAAAAGGGTATCCCTTTCTCCCGATTGGCCCAAAACGCTATAAAGTCTGCTGGGTAGCAGATATGGCGCTGGAGAGCCAACTTTGTAGCAGCTTATTGCTTATTCACCACAAACATTTTAATGTACTTTGTTTCTTTTTACAGGCATGCATACCACGTGCTGGAGGATCCTGCCATGAATGACATTGTCACCTTTTTTGTTGTATTTGTTTGTTCACCAAACTACATATCAAATCCTTATCTTGTGGCGAAAATTGTCGAGGTTTGTGAAAATGACTTGTAACCGATTACGTGTTCTTTTTCGTGACACGGTTAACCCCTTATCTTTTACTGCAGGGTTGTTTAGTCTAGTCAAATTAAAGAAATGCTCAGTGAAGAGGTTATTTTGACTCAAGCACCAGAGCCAACTGGTCAGCTGTTAAAACTTTTATATTTGCTACCCGTCTGCTAAGATCTGGTGTCCCCTTCCCCGCACCTCACCTGCGGCGAGTAAACGTTTTTGTTCAGTAATTTGTAAGACACGTCTAAACGAACTTGACAGCCTTCCAGAAAGTTTTTTCCCGACAAATTATAAACCGTGTTGATATTCCATTTATTCACGAAAATAAATCACTCTGTGTTAAAGTTCGTTTTTATGGAAAAGTGTTCAACTGACAGCAGCCTTTAGTCGAGGCTGTTAGTTTTTTGTTTTTGAACGTTTAAATTTGGTTGAAGTAAAAGGTAATGCGGAACAAAAAGCGGAACATGGCATGTGTGGGTCGTCGTCACCGGCAGTCATCACGGGATATGATTGTGTACATTTTAGATTGTGGAACTAGATGCCCATTCCCTTCCCTTCTCCATTCCCTTTCGTTTACCAGAGGGGAATGGAGAAGAAGATCCCTTAAAGGGTTAGTACTGTGACACAACTTTGCCTCACTCCACAGCTGACTGTAAAGGCATCTAATGTTATCTATTGGGGCGGACTGTTCTGTATTTGTCCTCATGAAAGGAGGTAGCAATGCTGAGCCACCCTTAGGGACAGCTGATCTTACTTGCCAACTAGATCGAGGACCTTTGTCAGATCAATGAAAGGGATGTAAGTTGCAACTAGTCCTGCAGCGAACGTAGTCAGGAGATCTTATCCACGGTAGATCTGCTTTCTAGAACTGCACTGAAGCTCTGGATAAATTTACAAATCGAAGCTTTGCTAGTGTGCCCAGATGACACGGGCGAAGACCTTGCTGACATTTTTGAGGAGGGAAATATCTCTACAGTTGTTACAATTGCTACATTCGCCACATTCTTGTATAGGTTCACCAACGTTGGCGTCGCCCATGTCGTATGCAACTTGTTCCTTTACTCAGCACAATCTCTGGAGCTCATGTAGGGGCTGTAGTAGTGATGGTTTGCCTCTATTTAGGAGCACAGGCTGTTTGCCGTCTTTCTCAGAGGTTTCTTTGCAAATGAGATGGTCTACAGCTTTTCTTAGCTCTTCTGTTGTAGGCTAGTTATGTGACTCTTAGATAATAGTTAGAGTGAGTAGAGCATCCAAGGCGGCATTAGTCACCGCGTTCTGGGTTCCATAAAGCTTAAAGTGGTGCTCAACCTAGCGTTGGAGTTGCTCGCCTAAAAACTCTTTGAATTGGCGAAACATGTTTCTCGCCTTGCTGCACATGGAGGTTTTATGTGACAAGGTTGCGTCACCTGTGATAAAACCTTTTAACAAAAACTGTCCAAATACTACAATGCAAGAGTCACGTTTCGCGTCTTTAACCAGCGTTCATAATTGTGGATATTCATGTTGCGTTTTGCCATCAATATCTCGTTACTTATTTGCTTTGGAAAAAACTTCCGTGCTCTAAAATGGAGCCTGATCCGCCATTTTTTTCAAGTCGCTATAGTCATGCAAATAAAGCTGATTGTTGTCTTTACTTCAGAAGATCAAATCCGTGTTAGCTTTTATGTGAACTTTTTCGGAAAAATTTTAGCAATTTCCGCCGATGAATAACTTAAGTGAGAACAAAAAAATTTCCCAAAGCATCAACCAGGAGCCAAATACTCTATTCCCCTATTTTCTCCTGGGTAGAGCCCAGTATCAACATGAGTGTTTTGCACTTCAGGTATTGTTTGTGATGAATCCCAGCATTCAACCAGCAGCCTCAAAGATCCATGAGATGATTGTCTCTCATCCATTGGCTTTGGACCATTTAGCCCCAGCACTTATGAATTTTTATACAGGTACATACTCCTCTGTCACAAAATATTTGTCTATTATTCGTCCATTTCTCGGACCTTTTATGTATTACATAACATTAGCACTGATTTTTATCGTTCGATAGACTTGCTAGTTGTTCATAGGCGTTTATTAGCGGCATTTTCCGTCGGCTGGGAGCGGGAGCTCGCTGGGAGTTGGTCTGTCTCACGCAATCCCATTTATTTTTCCAGTTACATTTCACATTTTCGCCCTTGAAGTTATGAAAAAATTATTCAGATTAAGACAAAGGGGACAAGGTGTCATCGCTTTCATAGAGGAGAAGCAAAGTACGAGTTGAGGTCTCGGTGACGTACGGTAAAAGTCTTTAAAGAAATAGATGAGAAGAAACTCAACTGGCTCTCTGTGCTCTATCGGAAATTATTGTAATCACTCTCGAAAACCGTCAAAACAAGGCACATTCTGACACAACGGCCAATTCACCAAAATCACTCAGGTACGGAAACAAAACGTCCGGTTTATGGTAAAATACTGATTATCTGCATTTTCTTTTTAATTGACTTCTCTGTTTGATTTGCAGATGTAGAAACGACTGGCAGCTCAAATGAGTTTTATGACAAGTTTAGTATAAGATATCACATTTCCATAATCATGAAAAGTTTATGGCAAGATGTGGGCCACAGGGGAGCCATCATGAAGCAAAGCAGGTGAACCTAAAACTATAATATTGTGTCTCGTTGAACGTCTTAATCATTGCGAAAAGTCTTTGGCGACTGTTAAACAAAAGCAATGCTTATACTGTCCCTCAAACAAACCACGATGGCCACGGACACGAGGTCGTACCAAAACAAAACGTCTTATAGGAATGTGCGACAGCTCGGCCTATTTTTTGACACTTTCAAGATCTTCTTTTTGGAGATTTCCAACCTAACAGCATTAAGTTTAGGCTAGGCAGAGCCTCATTAGTATGTTAATGTCAGGTTAAGTCGCATGTTTTGTATCCATTTTAGGACGGCTCAGTTTGTTCGCTTTGTAAACATGTTGATTAATGACACAACATTTCTGCTGGATGAATCCTTGGATTCATTAAAAAGCATCAATGAAACTCAGCAGATGATGGCCAATGTAGCAGACTGGGAGGCATTACCAAGGGTAAGTCTGTGTGTGTTTGGGGTGTCACATGAGCACACACGCAACCAAAAAAGCACAAAAACTGAGTTTTGAATACAATCGTTAATGATTATCGTTGTCCTGTTACAGTTTTGATAATAGCGTAAATCTTTTGTTTGAAAGGGCGTCGTTATCCATGTAGACGAGGTATGGACACACAAACAAAACAAAAAAACAACTGGCCTTACGTTCAAAATAGTGTATGGCACTGTTGTAACAACTGAACTCTCAATACTTTTGAGACGAGCCCAGACGAGCTATTTTCGTTTTTTATTTTGTTTGTTTTTTTTCCCTGTTTTTGAGAAGTCAACATAATGATTGAAAATAATCGTAAGGAAAATGGTGTTCATTACCCCAGGAATACAAGCTAATTTGACTTTGATCTGTTGACAGGACATGCGTACCTCTCGTCTTCGACAACTTTCCACTGACGAGCGGCAGTGCCGATCTTATCTTACCCTTGCCTCGGAGACATTAGATATGATGCTTTACCTCTCTAAACATGTACAGGCGCCTTTTCTTAGGCCGGTAAGTTTCAACAGATTTTACATTTGTCTTCTTTTAAGGTTTAAGGATTGTGGTATGACGTCGTTTAAGTGGCTGGGGCGTTAGCCATGTTCTGGCCATTTGCCTTACCAGGACAACGATCATATTCAGTTGTATGTATCCCTCGAGGGATGCGATGTGCTTCCGAATGTAATATCTACTGTATTAAGACGACAGTCGAATTAGAATTTCATTGGCTGGAATTCGTTCTATGTTATATTTTACTGTCTCAATTAGTTAGGTGCCATTGGAACAAACGCGTTGCATTTTCTGTAAGTTTATATTGGATTTAGAGTTTTGGTCAATATCGGCAGTGCGACTGTGAGAGTGTTATGAAAACCAGGCTAGCGTGCATGTCCTTGTTTCAATCACTGAAGGTGTGAAATCATACAAATCTTTGTACCGGTCTTCCAACTTTTCGCTTATTTTCTTATTTGCAGGAATTGATTGATCGAATAGCTGCTATGTTGAATTTTAACCTACAACAACTTTGTGGACCGAAGTGCAGGAATTTAAAGGTAATATTTTGTCACTGGATTGATCCTGTACCAGAGCAAGTGGGGGCTTTAGCAAACCTGTATTGGCGGGTTATAGTTAGAAATCGGTTTAAGGACAGATGTTATAGCAGTTTCATTCATTATTTTACGATGGCGTCGATCTTTCTGCAGGTTAAAAACCCAGAAAAATATGGATTTGAACCCAAGACTCTTCTGGATAGATTAACACAGATTTATGTGAATCTAGACTCGGAAGAATTTGCAAAAGCTGTTGCTGGTGACCAGGTATGAAAAGAATCAATAATTCGTAACGTCTGGATGTGGTGTTATTCAATTTTATGAACAGTGATAACGAACTTCCAGTTACACCTAATTACAAAAACTTTTACTGAAAAAAGCAAAAACATGGGAAAAGCCAAATAAGCACAATTAGCATATATAACTTGATTACGTTGTGGTTTTTAGGTGGTTTTCAAACAATTTCCACTGAAATATTCCCACAAACTTTCTGAGATTATCAGATGTATGTTCACAAGTGTCGAGCGATTCCTAAAATGAAGTTGGTTTCTAAGTTTGCAAAATATCAGCGTTTGGGCGCATTGTGAAATAACTATCTTCTTGACTGTTGTTTAAATTGCACTCTCAGGTAAGCATAAGCTCGGATAATTCGATCACTTCAAAAGGAAATAATTTTTGAGAATTTCGTGGCATTTCAAAACAAGTATCAAATACTCATTGGATTTGCACGATCTTTCTGTGGGAATTTAGTCAATATTTCGGACTACTAGGGTGAGCGGAGTGTCGTTAACATGCAGAACACTAACAATTTTCGGAAACGTTTGACATGTCTAGACAAACACCAGATACTCTAAAAAGCCTGAAAGAACCCATCGGTGGAAATTCAGTGGAAATTGCCCGGCTGCCGGACTTACAATCACAGGATAATTTTATAAGCGTTTTACTCCTACTTGTTTTTTTCCTTTTTAAGTATTGCTTTTTGATTTTTGTTTTTTTCCATGACTTTATGGCTATGAGATGTGCATTTAAATTCGTCAATTGACAGTTTAAACATCTGAAAATTTTTATGGTACCACACTGATTTCTGTTGAACTACTTAGTTAGACAGTCCACGTGTTCAAGCCGGCAATTTAAACCTTTGCGGATTTCTCTCCTTTTTCAGCGATCATATAGGAGAGAATTATTTTTCGACGCCGCGAAACATCTTCACAAAACCTTGCTGAAGACAGAGGTAAGAACTGGGCGCATGTAGCGGAATTTAAAAGGACTGAATTCTTCAAATTTGACCTTGCTGCACAATATTTGCTTTCGTTTTCTCTTTATTACACCGTCAACCGTTGAGTAAGTTGGGTTTGCACGAAGAACAGTTTGTACCACCAACAAAGTTATTATCATTACATCATTTGTTGTAAATTTTTTCAGGCAGAGATTTATCGGTTTAAAGAATTTGCCTCAAAGGTAGAAATCAAAGCTGCAGAAAACGCTGCCCGCAATGAGGACTATGATGATGCACCGGATGAGTTTAAAGGTATTATCGCATACCTTGCGAAAGGATCTTTATTCAGACCCAAAAAAATTCTTATGTTGTGTGGAAATGAAGTTGATAACTGAACACAACATATCAAACAGAACGCTACTCGAAAGTTGTTAACAGTCTTCTCTACGATGCCAGTTGCGATTAAGATTGAGCTGACTGTTGGATGACTAAATCAAGTGACACTTGAGCTACTGCTCTCTTGTTCTATGTCGGGGCAAGTTACTTTTCAACTTGGTTGTTATCGGCCTTTGCTTTCAGGACTTCACTCAACTTCAAATATCCAGTATACTTTTGAATTGGGGTGTTGCTAAATGTTTGCAGAGAAGCATGTAAATGAATTATTTTTTTTCGTCGCAGATCCTCTCATGATGACGCTCATGCTTGAGCCTGTGATCCTACCAACTAGTGGTAAAATTATGGATAGGGCAGTTATCACGCGCCATTTATTAAACTCTGACACGGATCCTTTTAATCGACAACCACTTACAACTGACATGCTACAGCCAGGTGGGTCACACAATAACAATGACCTATAGTGACACCTATTGCTCACTTATTACATACCTTTTGCAAACTAGTTGATTATTATTAGTTGAAATCAACGGGGTAATTAAGTTTTATCAACTGAGTTGATAACGTCAATTGGCCGCCGTAAAGAGTTTTAAAGCTGAAGTTTCGAGCGCTAGCCCTTCGTCAGAACGAATGGAGCAATTGTGGGTTGTGCCGGTGTGTGTTTACATGCAGAAAATGGAGCTACGCTATTGGTGTAAACATGGTAACGGGAAAACAAGAATTCAAGAGAACAAGAGTTCGGCTTTCCGAACTGCCAAGCCTCAAAATTCTAAAACAAAAATTTATCTTTCAAATCGGTGCTCTTAATCCCCACGGTTTCAACGAACGCTTTTCATTCAACTAATTTATTCTAGTTTTCCCGTCACCATATTTACACCTCCATTCGGTCTGACGAAGGGTTAACGCTCGAAACGTCAGCTTTAAAACTCTTTACGGCGGCCAATTTACGTTATCAACTCAGTTGATAATACTTAATTACCCTGTTATACTCTTCATCTGACGCAGCACCACAGTTTCTTTGGAACTTAACCCTTTTATTATTTTAAATTAATTGGGTGATCTTCAGTACTGAGGATGAGAAAAAAATACGAAAAGAGCGGCAGTCTTTCTTTTTTTTCTTGACAACCGACTCTATGAAACGCATCCGTTCAATAGACGATACATGAACAAGAAATATACTGTATCCGAAGGCCTGCATAACCACCACAGTGCGGAATAAAAACCGTGCATTATGTATCTAATACCTAAACATAATCACTGAATTTCCTGTAACGAATATTTCTATCCCATTGTTAGCGACTGAACTCAGGATACAGATAGAGGAGTGGCTACAAAACCGCCAAAGAGAGGATTAATCATGAGAGCAAACAGTGACCTCTACCAATTTGCTTTTCCACGTTAACAAAGCGTGGAGGATCTCTTTGCTCATCAAGCAAGGAAAAGTGCTTCATTGATTATGCTCACGGGTGTTATTTTTTTCTTTTTGCCATGTTTTGGGAAATAAAGGTCGATCATCTTCCTCAGTTTACTTTGATCCTTTGTAATCAAAATAAGAGCTTTTTTTAGTTACAGTGGATCTCAAAAGACTAACTGACTCAGTCAAGTACACCGATAATTCCTTTTGAAATACGTGTCAAAGATAACCGCTACTTTTTATTTGCTTGAAATTATTTCAGTCACTGTTTATCCTCTCCGCTTAAAGAACCGCTGCCTTTCTCAAAAAAATATAAGCACGAGAAACCATCTCTTGAGTGGGTTGAACGATGTTTCAAATTAATGCCAATAATCAAGAGGCAGGTTCGTTCCATCAATTAACTACCATTATTCAGCAAAACTATTTTTTATGTATATTATATTTACTGAGGAGAGTTTCAATCAATTATATCTCTTTTGTTTGATGTCCACAAAAAACACTGTAAGGTGGTGTAATTGTTATGAACGGTTGTGTTAGTTTCTATGTCATGTGATATTGGGTGGAAGGGCTGGGTTATGCTACACGTGCAGACACAAAAATGCCACGATACTACAGTACTCACCGGTCTAGGTAGGCCTCTGGTTTTGCCTACGCAAAGGTCAAACGCAAAGGCATATATACACTCAGAGGTAATGTTCCAAATATTGTCTGATAAAGCTGTCGACGACGCCACGATGACGTCGTCGACAGCTGTTTAGGACTAGAAATCGGCCAAGGGTGCTGGGGAGTATCTTTAAGGCAAACAATGGGAGCCAAGTATAACCTGAGGTAAAGCTTGCTGATAAAACGAAAGAATTAGGACTAGGTCCAATTTATAAAAAAAAATTTCTCAAACTACATAAGCTTGCACTTGAGCATAACCTAAGACATGTTGAGAACAATTGTCAGATTCTCATCTTGTCCGTCTTGGGGAAAAAAGCACTCGGACAATCTCTACGTATCATACGTTCCTTGCATTTACGTATGACATGAACGTCCCCTTCCATATTTGCACTTTCGTTTGCGTTGGTGCATGTGCGCCACACATACCAATTTCTGCTTACATTATAAACGCTGTCTGAGCGTATCCTTTATCGTAGAGATAATTCCTGGATCATTCATGCTGTGAATCTATTCTGATTAGGTAAGAATGAAAACAAGTCACTGAATTAACTCGCCTCTACTTGACCTCTTTACGAATGTAGTCCTTCTAGGGAAATATATAAAAATTATTGCATGCATGGATCTCGGCGAATGATATGCGGCAAACCTAGGTACGGCTTACGAATTACAGCTAACTAAACTAACTAATGTAACGCGTATATTTGAATAGTGAATAATACTGTTCCTTCAGAGGTATAATTCAAATTATTAACTTCGCTCCCAAAACATTTCCACAGTTAGTAAGCCAATTTTTTCAAGCTCTCTTAATAGTAATGCTATTTTCTCCTCCTTTCCTCTCGATCACCTCTCGTGCACCTCATATCTTCTCTTTGTTAGTTAATACACCTGGTAAAGTTGACCAGAGAACAGTTGTCTTTACGACTAAACAAAAATAGCATCTTTGGCCACTTATTAATTAGCTTAAGTCCTAAATTCTTTTTTAATCATTTTTTCCACCTAAGAAGCGACAATGTAGTAAGGAACTAAGCTACCACTAGCGGTCAAAACTGAATACTGAGATTGTGTTGCATACACCATCAAATTCAACAATGGAAGAGGCAATCAATTGTCATCGTCTATTGGACGGAGAGTTGAACGATTCTTTGATATCAGCCACCTGACCTCGAAGTGTAACAGCCAGCCAAATGGTTATGATCTGTAGCAGTAGTATGCCGAACGACGAAATCCCGATAGTAATGAGATTGTTTTTGAACCAGTTAACAGCGATCGTCAGACAACCAGTTGTATAGATCCTCTTCTCTCGCTCGATGGAATCCATTCTTCCGACTCCATACCCACACTGGCTGTTAATCCTGTCTTCTTCAGTCTTACAGCATGTTTTCGGCACTCCGCACGCCTCTGCCCCCGGCGAAGAACAGTTGTAGTACAGGTTAGCCTGCCAGTCTTCATGCGAGGTGATTCCGCAACATTTGAATTCAGTTTGTACTGTCTCAATAATCAGCTGCAAGTCTGGTTTATCTGGTTCACGGTAAAGATTAATTGCATCGTTTAATTTTTTTCGGATGTTCTCCTCCACCTTTTCGCGGAAGATGAAGCCCAAAGCGCCGCAAGCAACTTCGATTAACAAAAGCACGCCAACAATGATGGCATAACAGCATAACATGCAAGTGTTCTCTCGTAAAGCGCCTAGACATCCGAGGAAGGTAATGAGAAACAATAATCCGCCGAGAATCACGAACAGCACTGCAGGATCAAACGACAAATCGCTCAAACTTTGGTAATCTACGTCTTTGTCGACCATCATGTACACTCCGACTCCAAGGATTAAGATCGCAGCTAACCAGAAAATAACATTTAAGAAAAACAGCGAGAACTTGATGCATTTTGAAGGATCTTCTGGAGAACTGGATCTTGGACCAATTCTACGGCCTTTGTTTTGCATCTTTATTAAGATGGTTTCCTTATGTTAATTTGCCTTGCGGAAATCTGTTCACAGAGTTGGATAAACTCGGCTGAAATATAGTTTGCCTAGCTCGCTTGATATCCTGCCTTTAATTGCTTGACTTAGACTGAAGATTACGGGTACAGAGAAACAAATTAAATCCCTTTCGTTCGTCTTGCTTGGCTCGATGCTCGGAGGACTTTGGCAGCTGAGAGACTTGACAAGGACTACAAACGATCCTCGACCTCGTTCGTCTGATTCTTGATTAAAATTTTCTTTTAAGCTCCGAATCAATTGTCAACAACTGTAAAAGAAATACACTGTATTTAGGACCTAGGAAATAAACTTCGTTCGGTAAAAACAATGTTGAAATGTCGCCCTTCTATCACACAGGCAAATATCACCGCGTGATTTGCAGTGGGACTTGATGACAGCTGCAGAAACGGTTTAAAACTTACCACAACCAAAGGAAAGTTAAAGTTTGACCGAAAATTGATAAAATTGCTAGGAGCCTGAATCTCCGACGGGTCGTATTCGATAAAAAGTTGACAGGAAAACTGAATCGATTCAAGTTTGTCAGGAGTCTCTTTTAAAAGAAATTTGCATAAAAGAATGCGCAATATGTGTTCAACAGTGTTGATGACTTAGCAACCCAAGAAATCTGAATATTCATTTCATCTGTTGTTGAAATAATTCTCTCCTTAGGCTTAATGACGTCATAGTGTTAAGATTAGATCAAGAGTTTAATGAACAATAGGAACAACATTAATTAAAAGTATGTAGAACTCATCAAAGGTTGCTCTTCACATTAATGTGTTCTACTCAGTCTCTAAGATGGAGTCGCGCAGTCGTTCGCCTAAACCTTGTTCATTTCACGAGGACATTAACGAGTTATTCTTACTTTTATTATTATTATTACTATCATTAAAATTAATGTCATTGTTATCATTATCATTGCTATTATTATTATCATCAAAATCACAACAACTATTATGCAATTATCTCCAGTTTTTTTCTGTTTTTCTGGGTCTTCTAACTTAAGTTCCAGGAGCTCTGGCAGCTTAGGGCCACAACACTTACGCAACTCAAGGGGAGTTTTGAGGATAGCCGACGACTGCGCACCCCCAATTAAGTTAACTGTTTATCTAGCTTCCAATACTAGGTCCCTATTCGAGATAGTACAAAGTGCACGATGGTTACCGCTGTCACTTTTGATGCTCGATGAATTCTTTGACTTCGAATTATACTTTTTCACCTTCTCGGCCCTGATGATATTCTGATCTGCTGACAGAGCTGTGTCAATAAGTGACCACTCCCGAGTGTCTTGATACACTCTTGTAATGTGTGACTGATTGTGTTTCAGTTCCTTCTCTAGGAATACGGTCGAGTCCCAGGTTATCCTCATGGCTTCATTGACTGCGACTAGCGAGGGTTGATGGTTGCTCCTCTCTCGACCGTGTACTTTAGCATTTGGACAAATATTTCGTTTTGGCTCTTTACCACGAGTAAGAGCTTGTATCTTGGGCTCATTCATGAACTGTCTATTATGTGTAAATACATCAAAAGATTAATCAAACTTTCGTTTTGCACTGATTATGTTTTGAGATCTGCGCTTCCGATTGATCAATCGCTCTTTCTGGTTCAAACTTCAGCTCACATTTGACAATCTCATCAAGGTCACTAAACTATCGTATGTAACTGGGTATAGTCTCCTATGATATTCTGGGTGCAGTCTCCTAGTCTCTTAGTCATTGCGACTGCTGTCTCATAACGCAGCGTTGTATGTGTAGTCACTTTCTCTTACTTGTTCATTTTAGAAAAGGAAATATAAAGAAAAGAGATTCGATTATTCATTATTTAATTATTCATTCATTAGCACCTAAGATTACCGCTAATCGAGCAAAAAGCTTTTGATTTGCCTATGAAAATTTTATGATTCTCTAACTTTTGTCTTCCTCTCTAAAACCGGTTCCTTAAAAGGCCTGTATTCTGTGAGCTATCACTTTTAATAGCTTCCTCTTTTACATAACAAAAGTTGTTCGTAGTTAATTAATGAACCCTCTTTGAGTCCTATGAATGGACGTATGTCCCTCGAGGGGTACCTACGTTTAGCTAGCATTTCATAGCGACTACAACTATTTGCTTGTTTTGTAAATGGCTACCCTACTAAGCTACATAGCAGCCATTTTACCACGACTGTTATTTGTGGCTCACAGTATTGTAGCCTTGTGGCTTCTAGTAAAATTCAGTCAAGGTCAGACGATTTTTTGGGGTTTCTGTGTCGGCCTGGTATGCCTGTTCGTGGAGTCCATTTACACCATTCTTGTGCGCAAAGGAGTGGAGTACAAGTAGTGAGTATATCATCTTCTAAATCAAACTGAGTGTTTTTCGAACCTTAACTTTCGCTTTAATTTAGTGACACCTTGGTATGGTTTATAACATGAGACAACTAATCATTACATTGATTAGCAAGGCCTATATTTTTACGGATCACCTTAATTCTAGAACAGCCGAGTGCAGTCAACACTTGGCGTTTTACAATACCTTGAATATCATTCACTCACACGCCTTTTGACTTCTAGGTGACACTTGCTGTAACAGTAATCAAAAACTCTTGTATTTATTTAATTTTGAATTTTACTGACGTTTTTGTAATTTGCGGCGAAACACTTGATTGAGGGATTAAAAATTAAACGCTCTCTCCCCAAGTTTCTGTTTTACGGACGGTTTTAGGGCAAAGTTTTGACAATAATACCTCAACAGGGTGCATGGAATGGTCGAGTTCTGCTCGTATCAGACTGGTATCCAGCTTATGGTATTTTGAGCAAACAGTTTGAAAAGAATGTTCCTTTACCTATCCTGTCTGTGTTGTGGTCTTAAAAGGATTAACACTTGCGATCAAACGTTTCACAAATGGATGATGTATTAGCTAGACATGTAATTTACATGAACTTGCTCATGCATTATATTCCGGAGCTTGAAAAGAATTCATATTTCATAACACAATTAACATACACCGATTTTCTGGAACATGAAAGTCCACCATTTGATTCTAAGCTCGTTTGTGAGATTCGCCATCTATACCGTCACCTCAATTTAAATTTCATGGGTTCAGAAACTTTTCTACAGTTCCATCTAGCGTTATGCTCCTTTTCTTTCTTGCCAGCAGATTCGCGAGAGTTGAGAATAATCTAACATCCAAGTCGCAAAGGCAAATTTTATCACATCGAATCTTTTTTCATGTAGGTATGGAAAAACAATCTTAGAAATAAAAAGAAAAAAAAGAATCTATAGGAAGCAGATCTGTAAAAGTTTCGACTTAAATACTTAAATTCCTTTCATTCCTTTTATCCCCAAATAAAATAGACTTTCTCCCACATCCGATCAAACTATGATCGCTTTTAATGAAGTGTTGCATTACCAATGGTATCGCTCCGATCGATGAATGCTTGATATCATGATAGTCTATTCAAATTTATTTCCTTTGTCAGAACCGTAAGCTGCCAATTACGGTGATAACTGAAGCTTCCCGGCTCAGTTTTCAACTACTGAAGAGATGACCTGACTTGAAGAGAATTAATGTAAAATTTTTATGTTTTTTAGTGAAAAGTCGTGAAAAGTCATCAAATGTTTTAACTAAAAAGAAGAGTATGAAGTCGCTTTAACGCAGTCCGGATGTTTGACGATGTGTTTCTTCAAATGGCATTTATGTTAACGGCTAAGAAAGGAGATACCAAAACCACGTGTGACGAAAGCCTCTAAAAAAAGAAACACATTTTCACTTTGTAAGAAGATTCTTAGGACTCAGTCTTTCATTCTGTCTCACATAATTTCATTGATTTATTCATTGGCTGCCTATTTTTGTTTGGTAGGTTTTAAATAGGTTTTTAAAAAGTAATATTTCCTCACCACAAGGAGTGATCAAAATAAACGAAACGGCGTGTGAATGGCCTGCTTTGAGGATTTTCCAGTTTTTTTTTTCACAGTGTAGTTTAATAGGGCTTGAAGAAGTGCAGCGGAAACAGTTCAAAACTTAAAACTAAGCCTATCCGAAGTTAAGCGAGCGCCATGGTCCTCTAAATAATTATGATTTCGATTTCATGGTGATGCTTGAATAGCAACTGTTATCAAAATATTTAGAAAAGTATTTATCTGACCAGTTTAGCGAGGAAATTTTCTGAGAAACCTACAATATTTGTTTTGATCCACTACGCTGGCGGTTTCATTGGCTTGATCTAGAAAATTTAAATTCATGCCAAGGAATCAATGGTGGGTCAGGGTGATATGTTAGGTTTACTGCAGCAGTCAGAGTATCATTCAAATGACTCTGGATTTTTTCATCACTTTATAAATTTTTCAGTGCCTTAAACTGTTCTAACTATGACAATATATCACTACATTGAAGTTCTAGTCATGCCAAATAATTCCCTGTGCCGCGAACCCCTGATTTTTAAGTATACGTAATTTTCTTAGTGGTAGTTGGTCAAATTTTCATTTTCTCCTTATTGTAGCTTTTGGCCAAGTTGTTTTTTCTACCTTTGTACCCTTCTACCCATTACTTGGTTTGCTGAGTTAACTCTACTGGAAGGAAGACTAAATAACGTAACTGATGAGAAAATAATGATTGTTTCTATGGCGCAAACGGTAAGTCAGTAACAGAAAAGAATAAAGCGATACGAGCGTGACTTTTCAATCGCCTGAAAAGTTGGCAGAATATGATGCAAAAATTCGGGCTGAAAAAATCTTAAGCCACCGTAACATCTGAGCTTTCCTGACATAATTAATGAGGACCTCACCTTATTTCAAAGGATGTAACATGCCGACATGGCCATATCTATTCGACAGAAGCCTTGCCATTCCAAACACGGCCGCGATAACTGGTTTGGCAAGGAGAGAAAAGGAATCTTTTGGAGAGATACATGTAATTTTACTAGACAAGTGTCGTAAGGAAATTGTTCTCGATTTTTTAACCGTGGCGCAAGCAGGGTTTTTTTACGGAAGGAGGACACCAAACTGAGCAGCGTTTTACTGGTATGCCAGATCGTTTTGCCATTTCAAGCACTGAACTATAGCATTTGGTAAATACGTTCACCGAACCAGAGTATTTACCTCAAGTCAACGAAAAAAGAATAGATTCTTCCAAGTACAATCTATATGGTGGTCGGTTGTTTGCCTTGGCTTCAGCAGTAGTGTGGAACTCTCTCACACAGTCATTAAGAGACTGGCAATCAGTTGAAACTTTTAAACGGAAACTTAAAGAACATTTATTTTTACGGGCTTACATGGAAAATTGAATTTTCATTGTTGTTGTACTTTTTGTAAATAATATTTTATTTCATAGACATAGTTAGGTAATTTATAGTTTTTAATCATAATTCCCTTTCGTGAAGCGTTCTTGGACCACTAGGAAAAGACGCTATATAAAATATAATAATAGCAAACAAAACTTTATTCAATACTCATAAAAAGGACCTATGTACAGTGCTTCACTTAAAAAGAATTAAATTTGTACCTTAACATCTGTTAGAAAGAAAAGAAAAAATCATAATGTCTCAATATCTCTTGACGCTATATAAATGTATTACTATTATTATTATTGTTGTTGTTATTATTATAGTCATGCGATAACAAAAAACATAGAAACAAATAGGTTAGTAAGGCCTTGATGTTTGCGATGCATGAACAAAACTTGTTAAGTTCGTGGAATCATCTTTTTCTTGGTAAACAATAAATGTGCATATTGACTTCCTACTTCAGTTCTACGTTGGGCAAGAGGAGCTGAAGAAGTTTTGTGAGATTGGGTTGATGTTAATCATCATCTTGGGTCGGTGGATGCTTCCTCGTGGTGCAATAACACGCGACCAGCTGTCGATCCTTCTTCTTGAATACGTGGCCATTGCAGCTGATATTTTAGAGTTGTTCGAGGCTTTTGAAGATGATCAGGTAAGAGAGTTTTATACCATACGAAATGTGTGCAATAAATAAAGGCATCTAAGCAGACCTTTCACACGAAGGACATGATTCCTTTCACCAGTTCCTAATGGAGAGCGACTCATTTGAGCTTAACCTTTGCCTTCTTTTTGATTAAAGCAAAACAGTAAATGTAACTCCATTTTGGTTTGATTGCAGGTAGCCCGCAATAAGGATATAACATTGGCCACCCTGGGAGTGTTTTCATGGAGTCTTTTTCAATTCACTTTGGTGACTACGTCAATGGGGATGAAAATTGAAGATCAAGAAGAAGAAAATCTACCACAAGTATGAAAACAATTTGTAAATTGAGTTTGAACATCTATATTATCTCATTATTTGCTTTAAATTTGCCACTGACTTTGAGAATTGCTTCTCATTTTCTCCAGAATGGAAACTATTTATGGGTTGAAGATGGTTTGAACAGAAGATATCTCCGAAAAGCTTCTGAGGCTAGGAAACACGAAAGAAAAAAACAACGTAGACAATTGTATCAATTGTACAATGAAGACGAAGAAATGAGAAAACTTGAACTCCAAGGAGACCGATATGGTATCATAGCGGCCATGTTTATGCAAGATGGCCCTTTCCTAATCCTTCGACTTTATCTTGTCTTCAAATACGACTTCCTAATAGACTCCAAATTTTTGTTTTACATCGGCAAGAATTTAATTTCCCTTGTTTTGATGATATATCGTCTTTACGTAATTCACTTTCATAGTAAAGAGGAGGAATTCGCCTTGCCAACAAAACGATCATTTCGAAACCTTTCCTCTATGCTGATAGGAGTTCAGAGGTTCAAGTCAAGAAAATCAAACCCAAGGAAACAAAGCCAGCCAAGCAAGTAAAAGACTTGAGCAGGCTGCAATGGATTTAGAGTGTTTCAACAATACTTGCGTGTTAAAGTGGTGAAAATCTGCTTAGGTTGTCGAAAAGGGCCACTTTCTAACAGTCAGTGACCCTCACCCGTACGATCACATTACAATACCACGCAATCAAATGATTCTTCTCTCTATTTGTTGTAATCTGCTTCTCTCAGCTTGAAGTCAATTGCATTTTATGTGAAATGGCTGAATATAAGAAAACAGTTTTATCTAAATTTTAAATTTTGTTGAAATAAACACATTTTTTCCTTTAAGTTGAACAAAAGACAAAAAGTATATTTAGATGTCATTTCCTTAATTGGAATGAAGAGTTGCACATGAGTGTTTTTAAGATGAGTATTTCTTCAAAATCATTCAGTTTAGATAGTAGCAGAAATAGTTACAAGATTACTGCTTGTCTCTGGACTAGACTCTGACCATCTTGTGAACATGCCACCAAAGATAATAATCTCCCCTCTAGCAACCACAACAGAATGTAAAGAAGTAGCAGGAAGAGAGCACTGCATTTCTGGAGGAGGTTTCCAAGAACATGAAAAATGTGAGCGTATTTGACTACAGTCTAAAACAAATGTTTGCATGGGCAAAAATCCGTCAAGACCTGGCCTCTGCCCAGCTCCAAGACTGCCTTCAGGAGAGAGTACATGTCCTTGATGGCGAGGTACACTAAACACAAGAACTGTGTCCTTGATGTAGACTGCAGGATGACACCATAACTGGGGAGCTTCCCACTGACGGTTCTTCACTTCCAACTCTTGCCAGATCCATTCATTTGTGTCCAGAATCCAAACATCCCCAAATAACTAAAATGGAAAAATGAACCTTATAAACAAACACTATCACAATTGACTTCAATGGACTACTCAAAGTAAAAAAATATCTCTTCAACTTGAAGCACATTATTAACAAGTGCACAAATAAATAAATACAACTTATGTGGGCTGAAAATAAACCAAAAATGTTACAAAACAGCTTCTAGGTCTCATATTCTTAACCATTATTGATAGCTCTCATGAAATTTATTCTCAAGTTGTGTAGCCCCCAAGGGAAAGTTGATGGTAATGGAGGTACATGTTACTGAAGGCTCAAGCTGCTTACAAGGTTTGGGAAATACTTTCCAAGCAGAAAATTGGAAAATAAATGCATCATATTAGACGTTTTGGTGTGTAGTATTGCTGAGTATCTTTACGAGTTGTGTTGTATTTTGCAAGACTGTAGGGTGAGTCAAAATACAAACAACAAGTCAAAATGCCAAGTGACACTACATACCAAAATGTCTAATAAGTTTTTTATTATCTGACTACTTTTTTCAAGCTAAGTCTCTCTGTTCATTTCTCATAAGGCAGGAAAAGCAAAGCAAATTGAGAAGCATAGAATACACAGCCAACTGGTTAAACAGGATTTTTACAGTACAAAATAACCAACAGTCCAAATAACCATACAATATTGCAGGATATTTGTACTCTCTTTACACATTATTATACTCTACTTTGTGCAGTTGGATACTTAAAGAGACTTCTGCCTATTTGCTTAAATTTAAGAATAGAGCCACACAAAACCAACACAGTAATGATAGGTGCCAACAGCCTCTAAATTAATGTTAAATTAATTAAACAAGTCTCATTTTAAGGTCATCAAGATGGGTTTCCAATGATCAAAAATCTACTAATTCAATTTCTTGATAGATTTAATTTTTCAACTTATGTGAAGTTTTTTCTAAAGAAATATTGTAAATACTATGAAACTATACCAATTAGCATTTGGTTCTCACCAAGTTTGGTCCACCACATCCACCAATCATAAGTACTGTGTGATCATCTAACACCATCTAAAGAAGATCAAACCAAGTCAAAATTCATTTTTTTTTCAAAGCTTAAAAAGATTTTAACCTATATAAAGAGATAACACAAGCCCAAACACAAAGATACAAAATGGTAAATTAATATGATATTTTGAGAACAAGTATAGAGATTGAGTGAAAAAGATGAAATTGCTTTAAGGTACAACACTTAATACTCTCCATAAACTATACCCAATGGTTAGCATTTGGCTGGCCACACAGCACCTTAAATCATCCAACAATTTGAGCATTGTAAAGCAAAAGCTATCAAAAAAAGGCTAATGCAATAACTTTTTACTGGCCTTTGGAATTCCCACTAGAAGCAGTTTGCTCCCTTTTATTCTACTGCACCCTTTTCCTGACCCAAATTAAAAAAATTTATTTCCTCCTCTTGTTATTGGTAAACAGGGGAATATTTCTGGTACTTTTGCAAGGCTGAAGTGTCATTGTTATCCTTAATTATTTTGGAGTTTTTTTTCTTAAACAATATTCTTTACTTTTCAATAATTTTAAACTGTATTTGTTTTTTCCTTAGGTATATCTTGTTCCTTAGAAATTATCAGTGCTAGTGATATTGTTGATAACCTTACTAGTGAGGATACAGAAAACTTGCTGCTAAGGTCCTAGAATTTTGTTTATGAGTGGTGTATTTTATGATAAAACACTTGGTCCATACAATAAATAAGATTATTACTCCAATAATGATAAATACTGTGATTTTGTTACTGAAAAGGTAAATTAAGAAAAAAAATCCACTGTATTGCATTACAAGCAGGCAAAAAATTTTTCTTGGAGTACATCAGCTTGAGGCATTGAAATACCTGTGAATGGCCAAATCTTCCAGATGGTTTTTTTCCTCTTATGCTGGGACAACTCCATGTCATGTTTACCATGTCTAAAACCCAAACATCATTGAACCTAACAAAATTACAAGTTCAGGTAAAAACGCATTAGCGACAGTGACCTGGCTCACATCTCACACATTTTAAAATCTTGTTTTCAGCTACTCCTTCTCTTCCTGGAGCTTGCAGCAACATTTACTGTATAGTATAAAAAAAGCAATATTCTGATGGTACTAATTGCATGCTTAATCAATACGGAACCAAAGAAAAGTGCCTAGGAGAAATGCTGCCCAGGGAACCAAACACACAACCTTCTTCAGAAATGTAAACCAAGATTGCAGGCTTCAAAATGCTTTTGATACCAAAGCCACATAGGCCTATGAAATTACTTATTAAATTACAGTAGTCAATGAAGGCCCAATTAAATATACTTAAAAAGACAAAACCTGTGCATTGTTGGTCCTTCACCTCTTTAGAGATTAAAGTTAGGAGAGCTATCAGGAAAAAAGGTCACTTATTTTCTCTTAAATACAAGCCAGACAATTTGCTACTGCATTCTGAAAACCATAGAATGTATGCAGTTGTTGACAGCTGTTGCTGGATGCCTGAAATAATCTTACTAAGTGTGAATGGGAATGGCAAATAAAATTGTTTTCGTGCAACTCAGCATTTTAATAGTACGGAGAAGTACTGATACTGCCTGATGCGTCCAAGTTACATGACTTTTGTTAAGATATCTGAACTAAGAAGCGACGGCTATCTCCCCCAAATTTACACACAACTGCACTGGTCATAAAACTGAAAGATAGTCTGACCTCAAATGTCTTTGAGCTCCTCCAAACACAACCATGCTGTGACCCAAGGCACAAGCTGCATGTCCCGCTCTCTTGCATGGCCGTGGCCCATTTAGGTTAACAGCAGGTGAACTCCATGTCTGACTATGAGTGTTAAAAATGTACAAGTCATCAAAAAATTTTGCTGCAGAATTGATTCCTGTCCTGGCAGGCTGACACCAGCCACCAAATATGACAATATCTCTGTTATCATACGCCACAACAGTTGCACATTCTTTCGGAGGAGGAGGAGATCCTGAACTACGAAGCTTCTTCCACCGCCCTTCCCTTAGATCAAGACAATGTAGATCATTAAAAGCCTTGTTTGATGAGGAGCAACCTCCATATATATACATTTTAGTTCCTATGATACAACAACTGTGGGAAAACCGTGGAAAAGGTGATTCTCTTGACTTTATGCTCACTGTTTGAAAACGTAAATTACCACTTCTCACAGCGTCTCGAAAATTTTGTATGCGTTGATTGCAAATCCTAGAAATCAAACGATACCACAAACGACACACGCATTTAGCGTCACATAAGTCACCATATGGTGACAAGTAAGACATTATCTTTTCAACAATTTCGTTGGGAAGACCTGAAAAGTAACATACTGTTTCGATTCCCATCGCGTCCGCCATATTGTTTGATTGAATATTACACAATAATTCCGTTTAAATGATATAGTATTCTTTCGATTAAGGTCTGAGCTGGTTCGTACCAGGTCCTCGGTTGAGGGTCGCGTTGAGTCCATGATGTAATTGCATAATTCCGAACAGTTCAGAAGATCGAGGTGGTTTGTAGGGATCGGTTAGGGAAAAGAAACAAACAGCAACCATAAGGTAAAGATAGGCAGTGTAATACGAACTAAAATGACGGAGGAGGAGGTGTTTACTGTGGCTCCAAAAGATTCTGAGAAGGATGAGCTTCTTCCAAGCCATTCAAAATCATCGCCAAGCTCAGGCTGTACATTCTGGTTGGTGTTTACAGCAGCTGTTATAGTGTTCGGCTCGTCTTTTCAATTTGGATATGGTACTTCGTGTATCAATGGACCAGAAAAGGTAAAATCTACGGGATACTGCTTTTAAACGCATTGCAATGAGCTATTACTTAACAGATGGTATACTATACAAATGTTATTTATGGCTATTTTATTTTTGAGTTAATTTTCTTATTAAAAAAAAGACAACTCTATGTTAGCGTGTAGAGTGGTATGTTGCTTGCACCAGTCAGATTGCTGCATAAGGGTATGTATCTCACACCAATCAGATAGCAAGGATCATCAGTGATTTCAAAATGGATGTTGTAAATATAGTGCAGTACTGATAAATGGAGTTATGTAATGTATTTCTCAGCCATCCGGTTTTTTTTGTGGATATTGCAATTTTTATTTGCACCCCCCAAATAAATGAGGATAGTGAAGAGGAGAGAAAAAATGAGGAGCTGAGATGCATCTTCATACGTGTTTTTGATTGCTACTTTTTGTTGAATGCATGTTCTTAATTTGAAAAAGATCCAGCTTCCTATCACCTTCGTATCACTTGCTCATTCACTGAGCAGTTTTTTTTTGTTTTTTTGTATTTTATTTGTTTTTGGGTTTTTACAGTTTTTACAAGTACGCAAGATACATCACAAATTTCTACATGCATAAATTTACATTATGCTACTCTATTACACAAAGAAAATACCACTACACTGGACCACGAGAATAAAAGAAAAAGAAAGAAAGAAAGAAAAAAAACAAAAAAAAAAGAGGCATCGTGTATTGATATAAATAATAAATTAGTTCAGCTATTGTTCTATCAGTTGAAGGAGGGGTTTCCATTTGTTGTAATGGATCGTGTGGCTTTTCTTATGTAGTATAAATATGTGTTTACTATGACTTTCATTTCCAATAGGACATAAGAAATTATTTCCGTGAGAACTCGAGTTTCAGCCAGTTAATGTGGTCCACTGCTGTGGCAATTTTTGCAGTTGGAGGAATGCTTGGTGCTCTCATCGGTCCAGTTATTGCTGATTCCCTGGGCAGGTAATTTACCCCTGTATTTGCTTTTGTGTGGTTGTGAAGCTGGTGATGCAGAGGACTATGACAGGTGATATTTCAGAATTTCAGCCAGTTATTCTCAGAGTCAAGTGAACTTTTTTTCTTGTTCAATTGGAAAAGCTCAGCTTGCTTGAACTGATTGTTCAATTGAGAAAAATGCAAGAGTCTCATTGGTGATTAGAGGTTTAGCTGATTGATAGCTTTTTGTTTTTTTGTGTGTTTTTGTTTGCTTTTGTTTGTTTTTGTGTGTTTTTTAGTGTTTTTGTTTGTTTTTGTTTGCTTTTGTGTGTTTTTGTTTGCTTTTGCATTTTTACCAATGTTACAAAGACAAGATGTGTACTTCTCCATGAAATTTTCAGATGGCTATCAAGGATTTTAATATCAGAGGAAGATTGAAAATAGAAATAATTTTTTGCCAAGGGGTGGAGCTCCATCATTAAAGCTGTTGATATTTTTTTTCAGGTTATTTTTAGCATGATATTTATAAAAGCTAAGCTATGTATAGATAAACAAAGATGATGTACTCATAATCATACAAAAATGTATCTACTTTACTTTTGATGACTCGTTGATTTTACATGATCTGTTAGTCTCCTTTAAGAAACTCTTTCCTGGTTGTTCACTTGGTCGCACAAAAGCAAATCATTTTGGGATGATAGAGCCATGGCCATTTAGCTATAATCTATGGCTAATAAAATTATTGATTCACAGCTTACATATGTAAATCAGTTATGTTTGCCATGCAAATTGAAAAATTGACAGTCAAAGAATGCATGTGGCTACTTGTATAGCATAATATGAAAAGAATTGAAAAGAACTAGAGGTTGTATAATGACGCTAGAAGGTAGTTTTGCAGAATACTTGTCTCCCATGCAAAACAGAAAACTTGACACATCCTACATATTTACGAGTACCCTCTTCCATAAGAGAAGATGATTCAAGAATAGATTGTCTAATTGACATTCAACCAATAATTAAACGGGAACAAATAATAATATTAACGATAATAATAATGGTAGCGATAGCAGTTTAATAAAAATTTTCAAGGGGCTAGCTTCATGGTTCTCCAATCCTCTGGGCTGCAACAGTAGGTACCTGAGCTTCTTTTTATTTCCCCTGTCAATTATAAATAATTTTCTTATTTTATTGCAATTCCATCTTTTGGGACTTTTGTTTCATAAAAAAAGACATTTGGCATTTTAGGATATTTCATTAATTCACATCTTAAGATATTCTGCTGTAACTAGTGATTATTTTCTTGGTAACCCAACATAATCAGTGGTATTGTTACTAATCTAAAGTATAGTAGTAAGAAATATTAATTTGTTAGGAAGGTTGCATGTAATTAGTAGCATTTAGTATTGCATCTTTGATCATATTATTTAGTATTGTATCGCCACTTTATAAATATTGTTTTTGTAATTGAAAAAAAAAAATTGTTTTAAGACTCTTTGACAGATCAATTTACTTTTGTCTTATCCAGTAAACGAACTTTGTTGCTAAACAACCTCCCAGCCATGGTTGGATCTTTGATGATGTTTTTTTCATACCATGCAAAAGCTCCTTCATTACTTGTCATTGGACGGCTTGTGGTTGGATTTAATGGTGGTAAGTTTATTTCTAATATTGGTGTACTTATTGTAAAATAACTGCACTATACACTTACCAGGACACTTTTGTGTTTAAAATCTTGTGTAAAATTTGCCAATCTTTGCATACCTTATATCATGACCTCAGTATGAAGATACATCATGTTTATTGGGAGCAAGGATAAACCACTCTTGGGAAGTGTTATAAGTATAATATTTTACCAGTCAGAGATGGTTTTTTAATCCTTTTTACATGCCGTATAAATTAATTTGATCATCAACGTAGTCTGCCTTTGTGAGCATGTGTGCTATGTCAAAAAAACTGTTGTCACTTTGCAAGGTGCTCCACTGTTGTCTAGCTGTTTACAGCATTTTATTCTGTTCTACCCTCTATGTTATTATATATGTGAGATTGAGTTAGTGAAGGAGCGAGTGAGAGTCAGTGTCTGTAAGTAAACAGGGAAAACAAGGCCCTTTTATTGAAATGTATGTAGTGAAGAAGTATGAAATTTGTAGACTGAACTGAGTTTCTGCCTTAGTGTCCCTTTTTAATGAAACTGAACATTCAGTACAGGGGAAGACTGAGTAATATAATGTTTGCAATTGCAGATTTTTAAAATTCTTAGTTTTTATAGTATAGTCATACATATACATGTATCTTTATGTTAAAGAATGTTGACCCATAATAGACAAACTAATAGTAAGGATAACTCTGTTATGAAAAATTTAAAGTACATTAAATAAAACCTCTGTTTGACAGTACATGTGGATGTAGAAGCAGCAAAACCCAGGTACTTATTGCTGCTTTTAAATGCAGGTGTAAATACAGCTGTGGCCCCTGTGTACTTGTCAGAGATTGCTCCTGTTAGATTAAGAGGTTCTCTTGGTGTGCTTAATCAATTTGGAGTTGTCACTGGAATTCTTGTGGGATTTATATTTGGACTTACTCAGGTATGTGCGTAAAATCAGGGTGTGATTAACTATTTATAATAAAATTAATTTTTACATGTCACTGTATACATGAAAATAATTTCCAAAATACTTCCATCCATTGAGAATAATATTATTAGCAAAGCCTTCAGTGCCTACATGTAGAAAAGCCCCATAGGTAAGAGAATACAGAACCATACATTAAGCCAACATCTTTGTGCATCTGTCCAATCACACTTTTTTTCAGATTGTGTCCCACCATGTATGATATAAAGATTTAGCCAACCTGAAAAGCAGAACTCGAATTAATTTATTTCACAGCCTTTCTCTTTTTTAAAACTCTTCAGCATTGGCTGTTGAAGTGCTTATTTAAGGGGGTTTAGGGAACAGTCTGGGAGGGGAGGGGGGGATTGATGGGGTCTGGAGCTAATGGATGATGTTCTCACAGCTTGCAAGGAGATCAACATACATGCTAGTCAGTGGTATTTTCTAAAAGCTGAGGACCTTTATTGATTTTCTTGATGTTTTGACCAGATTTTGGAGGATTGGGAAATTTTCATGAGATGAAGTGTATGATTTCAGTATCAGTTAAAATGATATGATCTACTTTACAGAGCAAGGCTGTTAATTTCAATGTGGGAAAATGAGCAAAAATTGAAAGATACAAGAGATCTAGTATCACATGTACATGAGCACATACTTTTAGACATAATTTGCACTTGCCTTCTTAGAGGTTATTTTTCTTCCTCTCATCCCTACCTGTGCCTGGTTTTGCTGGTCTTAGTATCTGTCCAGGTGTTTTATTTCCCAGATGGCTGGCCTTTAGATTTGTTTGTTAATATAGCTATGTTTGAGTATTATTTTATTATTAGCTTATATCTATCATATAGGAGTTATGTATTTGTAAAAACATTAGTTAATTAATAATCTTGTAACAATAAAGGCTGTCTTTGTCCCACACATTGCTTAGTGTTTTGTTTTGTGGTTGAGGACTTCTCTATAATGGTAAGTATATACAACTGACATGTATAAGTAACACATGTCAAGCATTAAGGTATGATGTGCTTTTCATTACTTGTGAACAGATAATCTTGAGCATTCTTTGATGGTTTTTTTAGTAGTAACAATCCACTTAAAGTTTTCATATTGATTGACAGCTTGAAATTGTAATAAAATTTGCCTGTATTGTTTGCAATACAAATAATATTATGAAATGGTTTAAAAAATTCAGTTCCTTATGTCTGGTAGCTTTGAAAACTTCTGTATCTTTGCCTGAACATTAAAGACATAAGCTATCAGTAAAAGGTTTTCCCATTGTAAGTGTTTCATAAGATCAAATTTTATCTTATTGTTTTTTTTGGTATTTGAAAGCCCAAGTATGTTTTAATCATTAAAATATAAATAAATTCCCCTTTTTAAAACACTTATAGTGACTGTCATATGTATGAGAAAGACAGCAAATAAATATAACAGTATTATACTCCATCAAAGTGTTCTTGTGTAGAATGAAGTTTCACACTCATTGAAATTAACTTGACTTCCTTATACAGGTTTGAAATAAAGAAATGTGTAATACCTCTATATAGGGATGAAAAAGCAATGCCATTGAATGTTCCATAGAGTAAATGCCTAAATCCTATGCAGGGATATAAAAGAGACTTTCTAAAAAAAAAACAAGGGCAATAATATTATAGATTCAGGAGAAGCATATGACATGAAGTAGTTTACAGACAGAAACCTGTTCCACTGATTTCAATCCAGAAACAGAACTCTGGAACTCCTCTCACACTTAAATTGAAACATATTTAATTAAATTATTTACATGCAGGTTAGGGAGGAAATTAAAAGAATGGATATATGTCACACTAAAAAACACATTAATTAGCATTAAATAAAGCAGAAGTATATTAACTAAATGTTTATGCTTCTGAAGGCAGCTATAATATTCATGAATTATATAATTACATATTATGTAAACCTGGTGCAATACACAGTAGTAAATTAAAGCAATTTTATTCCATCCATCTCTCTTTAAGGGAGCCTAAGTATGTGTATTGAATATCAAGTTCAGTACCCTCAGTCATGGTGGCTTTTGTAGCTACAAAATAATCAAATAATCAATGAAATATGCCAAATTATTGAGTTAACATTTTATATGACATCTGTAAATGTTGAATCATATGGAAAGTTTAAAATGTGCTTTACTTGTGATACATTGTAAATAGGTGGATTTATTGTTCTTTGTTGAATCTGTTGCACCTGTGTATTACCTTGTACAGATGGTCATACAGTTGTAAGTCCAAATTTTTTTGGCTTGATGGGTCACTACTATTTTTTATAGTTATAGGGCTAAACTGGGCGTGTTTTGTGCACTGCAAGCTCTACTATCATACTCATATCTGAGCACACAAAATATGTTTTTTATATTAATGTTTCCATCGTGATAAACATTTTGGGGATAGTAGATGAAAAGGAAAATAATATTCTTTGCTTGTAACTCCCATTACTGACCAGGACAGAATTTCTCCTTACCTTGTTGAAACAATGCCAAGCAGACTAGTGATGAGAATAAAGAAAAATATAAATTGGAGGTCGGGTGGATTAGTTGTTGATCCAATACCAAATTCTCCAAACTCATATCATAAGAATTGTGTAGCAGACTGAATGGAGTATTGCTGGGAGTGAAAGGGATGAATAACTGAATCCCCAAAAAGGTGTAAACCAAAGTCTTAACAGTAACAAAATGATCTTTCAGCTCAACTCTGCATGGAATGCTGCTAAAATGTCATTCATTTGAAGGCAAATACTGTAAACGTCCATGTATAAGCTGCATCCGTAGATAAGCCGCACCCCCAATTTGGAAGCGCAGAATTTGGAAAAAAATAAAAACAATACAGTGTGAAGTTTCAGTAGAGTTGTATTGATACAAACAATCAAAGTTTCAAAACACTGACATAGAAGTTGTGTCTATCTTTCACATTTATCAAGTCTAAAGAAAGCGAAACAGAAAAGAAAACAAACAAGCACTGAGTAGCAAAGCTTTAAATGTTGGGATGAGCCTGGGCTAGGGCCTGGCCATCGTCAACTCAGCTGTTCAAGGATACCACGTGAAACAGATGTTTGGAAACTCGCATTAGGCGAAAAACTTCATGGAGAACAGGAGCCTGATAATGCGGTCGACAAATTTGCCATGAAGGTAGCAAAAAACAATGAGAGATTCCTTGTATGTTGGTGTTTAGTTGTTCAAGTAAAGCGAAAATTAATCGCTTGAAAGAACTCTTGGATAGCAAGATTTGCCGATAAACACTCCAAGACACAAACGGCTCCTTTAGGAGCCACCACTCAATGAAAAAGTCAATGAACTACAGCAACATGCTCTCAGTTTCTTTTATGTTTATTTCATGGCATTTTAAGAAGTTTTATGAATATTAATTAGGTTTTTTAGAACTCCAAACAGATATATTCATGGATAAGCCACACCCTTGATTTTTGGCTTCAATTTAATTTGTGAAAAAAAGTGCGGCTTATACATGGACGTTTACGGTAACATTGGAATGCACCTAACAGTAGAAAACATTGAAGTGTGCTCTGATTGGCTACTGAAACTTTGCATATCCATAGTGATTCACCTCCTAGAAAATTACCTGAAAATATTGCAATCATCCCAGTAAAAAATGAGCTATATTTTTGTGCAATATTATCTCATTGTTTTGGTATATTCTAAAACAACTATTCAGCTTAGTGTCAGTGACTAGTGATGGATATTTATCACTTGCACTTTAGTGAATAATTGTTAATTATTTCTTTATAATTATAATACATGTATATACCTTTAGACTGAGGCTTGAATAAATTAAAGTGCTAAAAAGAAAAGGTCAAAAGGAACTTCAAAGGATGCTCCAACTATCAAGGGGTAACAACTCACTAAATATTTTGTCTGTTGATATGCAACTTAGCTTGAGAAAAAAGAAAAGCTCACAATATGAATAGTTTTGATTGATGCAATTTTCATTATTACCCATTTAGGATATTCATAGGTATTTTCAGTTTGTAGCAGACTGCTAAATGCCTTGGTATTACAAAGCCACAGAATATGACAGTCTAGCTTTCAGCATCAATGTTACATGTTTAATTGATTATTTTAATATCCAACAAACTTCTCTCAAGTGACTTTGTTCAGTCTACATTGCAGGTAGGGTGGGGAAGGGGAGAATTCATGACTGTCATAATAGTTTGTAGATCATGAATTACAGCACTTTCTTCTCATCTCAGGTATTTGGCACAGAAAGTCGCTGGTTGTACTCAGTTGGATTTGGATTTGTTGTAGCACTACTGCAAGTCTTGACCCTCCCATTTTGTCCAAGAAGTCCACGTTATCTGTTACTCAAACTTAACAAAGAACCAGAGACAGTGGAAGGTATTGCTGTATTTGAAATCCAGTCACATCTCCTTACTTTACCAAGTATACAGTATCAATGTTTCAGGGTTTTAGAGCTGATTGGCCCACAACCACTGGGACACAGCTTGTCTTCTGTAGCACTAGTTAATTATGAGAAAGGTACAGTATAATGCCCTTTTGCATTGTCTGGCATTTTTCAGACAGTTTGCTGGTCCACCCATGTATATGTGTACTGTATACTCCTGGGTGGAGAGATAGAGGCACTATCAGAGTTAAGTGTCATTCCTTTTTGCTTTACAAACATTGCCAAGAGTACAAAAATCTCGTATTTGGTGGAGTTAATCCAGAAATTGAATTTTATAGTTCATAGGTTTATCATATTTGCCTTTTTTTCAAAGTTTGATAAGGATTCCAAAATAAAGAAAAAAGAAAAACTGGTCTTACAAAGACTGACATTAAAAATTGGAAGCCCAAGACATTCCTTATAGGAACATGTACATGTACAGAACTTAAAGAAAACTCTGAAATAAGGAAAAAATGTAAAAAGCTTAATTTGTTGTTAATTTTATAAAATCCATCAGTCAGCTCATTGGTTTTTGCTATTGCTAACCACCCCAAGCATCGATGAATTTATCTTGTGTCCACATTTTTAAGACAAAAAAGTTTTAGGAATGTAAAAAGTTTGAAATATTTAATATGTTTATTCTTTCCTAGGAAATCATTTTAAAATTAGGCTTTTAAATTAAGGTATAAGATCATTTGATTGTATTTTTTTAAATATAGCCTTGACAATGCTTAGAGGAACCAGTGATGTAATGGTAGACATTCAAGAAATGAGGGTAAGTTTTTAAATAAGTTATCTTTGAAAAAAGGACAAAAGGTAATCACCAACAGATCTCTAAAGTTTTGATATTGTTTGCATGCACTTTTAAGGTACACTTAAAAGTAGTTCACTCAATTAATTCATCAAAACAGACTGAAACTCAATCTTCCACAAGGTTACTGTAAGAGTCACTTAACAGAAAAGGATTGATTCAGATATCTTTCAATAAACCACAAAATTTTGGTGTCCCATCAATTGGAATCATTCCTCGCAAAAAACTCGGCATTTCCAAGTTGCAAATGATGAAAGAGCTTTAAATTGACAACTGATTAATGTGTTCATTTTGGTCTGTTCCTGGCTGACATTTCAAGTGTTAGCCCTTCGTCAGAGCGAATGGAGGAATTATGGGCTGGAATTATGAGTTATGAATTATGAATTATGGTGGGGATATGGTAAATAGAAAACAAGAATAAATTAGTTGAATGAAAAGTGCTTGTTGATACTATGGGGATTAAGAGTGCCGATTTGAAAGACAATTTTTGTTCTAGAGTTTTGCAACTTTCAGAACTGCCTAGACGTAGGGAAAGACCACAAACTGCCATGTGTTACTTAGAATGATTAGGGAGATTAAAGGGTCTAGCGACTGGTTTGGATGTGTCTGTCATTTCTTTCTACGTTGGGAAGGTGTTCTCAGAATCAGACACCTATTTGTCCTCCTGTTTCACCAATGTATAACTTTTTATAATAAGGAAGTCGGGTACCCTACTTCCCTCAATTGAAGTCTCTGGTAATAAATAAGTGTTTTTTTTTTTATTTTATGAAATGAAAAAAGTAGAACTGAAAACATTTCAGGGCTGGTACAAACTTTCTTGTCTTAGCCAAGTTAAATGCATTGATTTGACCAGTCAAAGAAACAATTGGGGAAAAGAAAAACAAATGTTAACTGACTACCATAATCACATTGAAGAATGCAAACAATTGGTCTGATGGTCAGGAATTAAAGTTGCACTTACCTGACCTTGAGAACACAAGATAGTTAGGAATGCTTGATCATAGGTTTACCTGAACATATACACTTGAGTCTGTATTAAATTTTAGATCTGTACAGTGAAGGTTAGTATTCAAACATAAAAGCTGTTGGATTTACAGATTGAACAGGAGCATCAGCTGAGAGAAAAGAGGATTAGTGTCTTTAAATTAATTACAATCCAAGCACTAAGAATGCCACTTCTTATCAGTGTCGTGTTACAGTTAGGACAGCAGTTGAGTGGAATAAATGCAGTAAGTTGAAGTTGTGCTTATGGTATGTATGATGTTTGAATCACCTATAATAAGTAGTGAGAATAAGTTTCTAAAGAAGCTGTGGTGTTGCATCAATTGGGGATATTACGAGTGAGATAATTTGGTTTTAATTATTAACTAAGTCAAACTAGCCCCCGTAAAGAGGTTATAGAGGTGAGATTTTTAAGCATTAGCCCTTTGTCAGAGCAGATTTGTATTTGCTCTGATGAAGGGGTAACACTGCGAGCATCAGCTTTAGTATTTCTTTACGGTGGCCAATTCACTTAATCAACTCAGTTGATAAAACCAAATTATCTTGTATAACCAGTAGTGTTTCCCATTTTTGTGTTATTATTAATATCAGAAGAATATTTGGCTAAGACAAGTTCACATCTTGTGGTAACCTTGGGGATGGGAGAAATCCTCAATACAACTTATGGCATAGGTTGGCCAGGGTATGTCCATTTTATCAGCTCATTCATGCTGGAAGCAATGAATGAATTGGTAGCAATGAATAAGGTATCATGGTGAAGCAGATGTTGATAAAAGTTACATAAGTTACAACTTATGGCGTAGGTTGGCAAGTGTATGCCCATTTTATCAGCTCATTCATGCTAGAAGCAATGAATGAGCTGGAAGCAATGAATGAGGTATCATGGTGAAGCAGATGTTGATGAAAGTTGTAGACTGTGGATACAGGTATTCTGTAAACAGAAGTGGTATTGTAGACTGTGAATGGAGGTAGTCTCACATGCTACCCCTCCCCACTTATTGAAAGTCAAAATTAATTTCAATGAAGCTCAGAAACTCAGAAATAAAATTTTTGTATAGTTTAATAAAAAATGATAACCTCAAGACACATTTCAAACTTCTAAAAATGCAACTTGAATTGAGAAGCCAAAATGTTCACTTCAACACATACAGTAGAGGCAGCCATATTGGTAAGCCATGCATTTGCATTCATCTTCAGTTGGTATAAAGTAATCATTGTTCTATCATTGTGCTTTTCTTTGGGAGCTCTCTAACATACAGTCCACACATCAGTCATAGCGGCCAAGATAATCTCACTAAAATTTTTTTTGAGTTCCAACATTTCGGTCTAGACTTGAGGTTTGCTTAAACAAAAACAGCAATACCAATCTGCTCAGTACAAAATGCAAAATGCAGACTGCAGACCAGGTGCAAAATGTAGACCAGGTACAAAATGTAGACCAAAAATTTGTACTGTTTTTTCATCTGATATGTGATAACATGTCATATTACAACATACCAAGCATTACGCAATTGCTTTTCCGTGATCATCTTTCATGATTATTTGCACTATTATGGAATATCCCTTGACTGTTTCTTGATCACAATCATTCTTAATATAATTTTAAGCCTTCATATAGTCCTCTCACTTTGCGTGTGAGTTGGTTGGTGTGATGTCGTTACAGATTTTACCTTCCTAATAATAGTAGATGTAGATGTAAATGAGATGTCACCATTGAATATTTAACACATGTAATATTCAAGAAACAATTGACAGCTTTGCATGTGGTCTGTACATTTCATCATTCTTTTTAACCAATATGAATTCATTTTGTTGACAGAAATGCTGACTGAGACTAAAACTGTTCCTTCTACTTGATTTACTTTCAACATTCAGGAGTGTACACACACTGATTTTCACATATGTGCCTTGTATTGTTATTGGCTTACATGTCTTTTGAGGAACTGGCAAATTTTTCAAGGGAAAAGGAAAGTGTTGCTTTTGTGACTGGCCGTTTGTTTACTTTTCTGTTGGTTTTATCTCTCATCTGTTTGGTGACACAAATATTAATGTGTGAAAATCAGTCCACATGAAGGCTTAAAATTCAATTGAGAATGATTGTGGCTGCTTTGTTAAAAACCAAATGCAATGACTGCTTTGTTTAAAACAAAAGATATCAAGGAATATTTCACAATAGTGCAAATGATCGTGAAAGGTGAGGGTTACTAATATTTTGCTACTAGAGCAACATTTGATGCCTGATTATGCCCACCAAGCCCACCCTCCGCCCCACACACACGCACCAACAAAAAGGACACAATCTGCCTGATGACCCCTGCCCATCGCACCTCTAGCCCACACAACTTTTTTTCCAATTCCCATCACAATGAATGCACAAGTTTTCTTATCACACAACTTCCCAAAAATAAAAGTAAATTTATTCCACAAGTCTTAAACGTTCACACAAACCAAATACAACTGTACCTATATTCAATAAGTCCAAGAACTCATTACAAACTTAAGCCATAACATGAATGAGCTGGCTCCAAGAGCCCTTTGATTAAAATGATACTAAGAACAGAATGATATAAAACCAATCTTAAAGCCATGCCATACACAAAGGCATCACATGTCTCTCAGAAATGATTCACCTGCTTACTTTACAGATTGTTGTAGTTTTGCAAGAAGTATACTCTCACTTATACTTGATAGAATAGGAAAGAGGAAAGCTGGTAAATTTTAAGCTTGCTTATGATGAAAAGAAGGATGTCTTTTCATCTGTTTCTGGGTATGGGACAAGGAAAAACTTGGAGTCTCACTACCACTGCGCCAATAAGAGACTCTTCAGTGAGCTAAGCCATTACTAGGTTCCTATGTGACACATCTCCTGCATACTGCTAGGATCAGCAATGTTGAAAGTCTTAAGTGAGTGTATATAATAAGAAAGATCCCTAGTAACTGATGATACTGTAGTTTTAGCACTAGCAGTGAAAAGCACTCTTTTGTCATGTAGGCTATTCTGTTCATGCCAACTTAGTATAGTTGCTGATCTAATGCACCTCTCAAAATTTAATACCAACTACTCTCTACCCTAATTTTATTCTATTTCTCTCTTAGGTGTTTTATTATTCAACATCAATACTTGAGAAGGCTGGTGTGGAAGAAAGCAGAGTAGCCTCTTGTGCAGTTGGTGTTGTTAGTGTGGTTATGACTGCTGTCACAGTAAGTTTGAAATGAAATGTTGTGATAGATTTTCTTTTAATATTTGTCAATTGTTTTCAGATCCCATTTTTAATTTTTATCTCCTAAGAAACAGTTTTAAATCAAGAGAAAAATTTCATCATAAATGTTTAAGAATTTTCATGAGGAATGCCCCTTTCTAGTAAGAAAATGCACCCTTCACTTCTAAAATCTTCATTCCCCCACATTATAAGGGAAATGGATATTTATTACCAGCTATAAAATTAAACCACATCACTAAGTGCATGCAATATCAAAATTCTAAGTATTGATTATTTAACCATAATAACAGTTATTGCAAGCCTCCTTCCTGAATGCTCATGTTATGGTACAATTTAACCAACAGAAAAAACACTATATTCCTGAAAACCCAACTACTTTATTAAATAACCTGTAATATCCTTATATTAAATAACATGTAATATCCTTACTGTGGAGTGACTCCTAAAAAACTCATCTAAGCCCACTTCAGATAATGACTTTGCTCACTGCTGACACAAACTTACAATTGAAATGAACAATCCTCCACAGTAGCTCTTGCTCATTACAGCTTTCCAAACACTCTGTTGTTCCTGACAACAATAACTACTACCACATGACTGAGTCTTTATATACATTCACAAAGTATTCTAGAACATTCCAAAATGTAGAAACTTCATCTATGGTATGCATTTCAGCATGACTTCGGCACTGTAACAATTTCTAGATACCTATCTTCACAGTTATTATTCATAACATCTAGAAGGGTGGACTGAGTATATTTCCCCATAAGTGATTATTCCATACCTTTTGATCATCTTTTTCACTCTTTCCATATATTTAGGTATGACATGCTCCTGAAGTGACCTACCATATCTTCAAGATTTTTATCTGACCTTATGTGTTTCCAATATGATGCAATTTTTAGGTTAAAACAGTGGAAATTATTGGAAGAAGATCATTGATGCTTGTAGGATTTGGAGGAATGTTTGTGTTTTATGCTCTGATGACAATATCCTTTCGTTATGAGGTAGGGAGGAGTTCTTTTGTCCATTACATTTGACCATACTAAAGTGGGTAACCTCTATATCATGATGATCTTTTGCCTAAATAATGTTCAAGATGCATCTTTTTATTTACAGAATTTGTCTGGAATGAATTATGTATCTGTCATAGCCTTGTTGTTGCTTGTGATATTTTTTCAAGTTGGTCCAGGTATGTAACATGAATGTAACATGATTATATGTTTCATGGTTCTACATCTACAAAGTGGATATTAATTAACAAGCGATGAAAATGTATGGTTATCATAAATAATACAACACCTGGTTTGTGGTTTATTTATGTTTTATATGGAAGAGTTTATTGCAATCATTTCTGTTCATCGTGTATTATGGTTTAATCAATAAATCAACAAGTTTGAAGGGCTGGAGGTTCTGATTGTAACTCTGTTCACATTGTTGACTAATTGTTCAGCTGATACTGAACTGCTAGCATAATGTAAAGATACAGTATGAAAGGAACAATACTCTAAATCTTATAACCCATGCAATAATTTTCAAGGGATTATATTGGCTACTTAATGTTAGTATTCTGTGAATAAATACCATGTTGTAGGGGCAATTCCTTGGTTCATAACAGCTGAGCTGTTCACTCAAGGCTCCAGAGCTGCAGCTGTTAGCATAGCAGGTACTGCCAACTGGCTTTCAAACTTTGTGGTTGGACTTGTGTTTCCATCAATGCAGGTACAGTGATAATTATTTTTATTATAATTGGCATGTACAGCACTTTCCTATCAGAATGCCATATTTATTCAATCCCACTTTTTGAGACTAAATTGTTCTTACATTTAGGATGCATTGTATCCCTATACCTTCCTGGTGTTCATGGCACTAGTGGCATTCTCTTTTGCCTTCACGCTACTTTTCGTTCCTGAGACTAAAGGAAGGACTATTGAGGAAATAACAAGACTCTTTAAACGTAAGGATGAGGAGGGTAAGTATCATAGCAACAGCCAGAAAATATAGATTAGGATACCGAGTAGTGTGTGAAACACCACTTTACACAATGATTAACAGGCTCCACTGACTGAACCCTCTCACTCGCAAGATCACATTAGTAATTCTCATTGTTGTCTTTGCAATAACAAATACGTGGTGATAATTGTAAATCGATATTTTTCTGCCGCATCTTTTTGTCTTCTTGTTAGCTCTGTCAGGTTATTGACATTTTGAAGGGATGGGGGACCAATGTAGTGGATTTCACATAACACTCGCAATTTGGAACACTGAATGGTGAATATGAGAGTGATCTTCGCAGTAATGAACACTACTTAAGCAGCAGTGAAAATAAAGGCCTGAAAAAGATTCAGGCCTCTACGGGATTTGAACCCATGAGCCTTGCGATACCGACGCAGTGCTCTACCAAAGGAGCTAACGGGCCAACAAATTTAGAGCACTGTTGTTTAAAACTGGAAGTGGAGTTAGATGAATAACATGAAAACCGTACTCATTGATAGCAATTGATTAATTTCAATGCTGAAAAGTTTACATAATGTAACCTTGCAGGAAATACTTCAAGTTCATGTAGCTGAGGTAATAGCAGAGAATGGATCAACAGAACTTCTTAATTTAATGTACACAGTGACTATGAATGTGGTACAAGTACAATAAATAATCAGGATAGAGTTATTAAACGTTATTAATAAGAAAGGTTCGAGAAATGCTAATCAATTGATGTGCTCTGTCGCGATTGGAATGAAAACCTTTTACCTTTGTTTTTACGTAGATCTGTTAGTTTACCTTGGTGTAATTATGGAAAACTATTTGATAAATTTTTACTTGCTGGTTGGTTAGTAAATTATACAGAATTTACCAGCTATGCATTATACTTAATGATCGATGTAATGAAAAGATATTTATCGTGCAATGCCGGCACTTATGCTGTCATATTGGAATGTCTATGTTTACTGTTGTTGAAAGACTTAAAATAGAAACATCTCTGAAATACCTCACGGCCGTTACATGATTTACTAGATACAGAGTAATAACGTTTTGACCAGAATTCAGTCTCGTCAATTACTTCAATTCTTTTGCGTTCTCTAATTCTAAAGAATAATAGTTTTATACGTATAACTTATTACCGCAGACAATTCTATGATCTTCGGCACTGGTTGCTGCATGAGATATTTTTTTTGGATCATGTGTTTTTTATGACATAAATTTAGTTAACCAGTATCCCAACCATTCCTTATAACTCTAATAAATTTCTTTGAATTGAGTATTTCGCTCATTTTTTCCTTTAATGAATGCTCTCTACAAAAAAGAATTGTCACTTATGTTCTACACACAAGGATAAATTTTAGAACGCTAACTATTGATAATATCTACCATAAAAACTATCCATTTTTGTCAAACAAACCATTCTAATCAGAGTTAAAACTGATTATCTCTCTTAAATGTGAGAGGCACGACATATAGCTGCAATGATCACATTTGGGGATACACATTTCCCTTAACTTGGAGTGTTGTGTGAATCAAGTGCCTTACCCCTGGACATTGAAATAGTACTGCGTACGGAGTTGACCTTTATTTGAAAGTACCGATTGCGTTTCGAACATCCTGCCTTTGTTTTAAGCAATAAACTGCACTCTCTATTGGTTTATTGGCGTTATAAACCCACCCTGAATATTGAGAGAAACAGGAAAAAAGTTTGTGTTCTTCCAACATCCCAAGTGGTTATTACGCTTCTAAACCCATGGAAAGTGCGGTCTATTACTTTATAAATTTAACTTACATGTTTCCCTTTTCTCTTGGTTTACCGGTGCAACAAACGAAGGGTTATATTAAAGTTCTAAAGGCAATCAGGTGGACAATCAGACATGGTTTGATGCCACTCTGGTTCAAAGATTTAATGAATGTAACCGAGAAGTTACAATTCATAGACCTAACGTCTTGACACTCCTCCAACGTTTCGACACGACAGGATTTTGACCAATTAGGGCAATAGTAATACCTAAGTTAAAGTTCAATTACAAGGTGATGTCTCTTTATTGGTTTTATGTCAGTTCTTATATATTTTTACTTAATGGTCAATGGGATGAACTTGTGAATTTTAATAGAAGTGAAGATTGATTAAGTCACGTAACAGCTGCAGGTGCGTGATAATACATCCCCTCATACCATCTCAGTTTTTTCGGCATTGTCATCTGTTGTTGACAATTCCACTTTCACTCTTTGTTTTTGTTGGTTTGATTTTGTTTTCCATACGTTCCACGAACCTCGTTTTCTCCTGTAGCAACACATCGCGAGTAGACACAGAGCAAATATTAAAACGCAGCTTAATATAATTACAAGAATTGTGATGAATCCCATTTTATCTTTTTCTTTTGTTTCCTTCGCTATAATATGGTCTTTTACGGTTGTTTCAAGAGTGAATATAAGATATCCAGCTGTGCTGTTTTTCGATGATGATGATAGCGCCATTACTTTGACCTCCATGGTGTCTAGCTCCGTGGTTGTTGAGGACTCCACCGTCAGATTTGCCACTATGCTTTCGTTTTGTTTTAGAACGACCTCATCTGGAGTTACATGGCATGTAAGAGTACCTGGACATGACACCTAATGCGAATGAATATCAAACACATAATCAACCAAATGATCAGTCAATACATAAATTGTATCCACTCTACTAATGAAACTGCAAGGAAAAACAAATTGAGAAAGGGAGACTGTTTACCTATCAATGGACCTGTAAGACTGGTAATTGAAAGAACTCAAACGTTGCCCAATTCCCATCAGGCTTGGTTCAAAACAAACGTGTAAACGTGCTCGTGCAATTTGGGAGTTATGGGCACTAATGATATTTTCGAAACTCAAAATTTCAGGGGCCGTGGGCGAGTACAATTTTGGAACTTCGAAAACGTCACGAGTGATTTTCAAAGGACCCTGATGTTTTAAGCCAATTTTTGATATAGTGTCGAAAGTATTCCGGAATTGCTTTTCTCCGCTCTATAATTAGCGTAGAAGTTCGCGCCACTTTCTCAGCCAATCAGATTCACACCTTAATCATGTTTTCCTGCGCATAAGGAAGTTTTCTTGTTTCTGCTTTGAGGTCTCGTATGTTCCTTGCTACGTTTCCCTTTCAATTGCGCTTTACAATAATGTTAATGTCAGCTACGCCTACTTATTAAAGCTTTGAGTTAAAGATTAATATGACTTTCTAACAAGTTTAAAAGGAAAATATACAGAACGTGAGATGAATGATAATGAACTATTAACTTATATAAAAGCCCTGTTTAAACGGTCACGATAATAGTTTCAACAACCACGCGAGTTTGAACACGAGCTAAATGCACTATCATCAAGTATCATGTAGTTAGACATGTTCAATTTGAAATGATAGTTGATGATGGTTTTTGCTGTTTGAACAAGCGGATGATAGTGAACGATAGTTCATCGGTCAGCAGTTTTGCAAAAAATGGGCTCGAACCGAAATGGCAAGAGATAAAATGACTAAAATAGCCGTCAAAATTTCGCAGAATGTCATGTAGTTCACTCTCATCATCTTCAGTATCTTCAACTGGCGACTACTCCGCTAAAATTTCAAATGCAACCGAAATTGCTGACCTCAGCCCGCGCCATATTTGTTTACAATTACGCGATCTCGTTGCGTGATTTTGTCAACTATCATGAACCGTTTGAAAACATCACAGTCAATGATGATAAATGATAGTTGAAACTATCATGGAGTTTCAAACTATTATGACCGTTTGAACGGGGCTTGAGTAGTAAATATCTGGTAAACTTAAAACAGTGATGGAGATGTTTAGTCGCTTACTAACCTTAAAAGTGAAGTGTTGTCGTCGACCAACGTTAATGACTGTAAAGGTTTCACTGACTATGGCTCCTGTACTCATCAACACCTTACCACTCGACACCACGCTCTTGAGTGCAGGAATGACTTGAACTTTTTTGCTGAAAAGTTTTATCATCTTGCTACTCCAATTTGGTAGTGCACTGACCACTATCTCCTCTTCTGAGGGGCGATTTTGTTTAGTGTTCATGACGAGTTTTAATACAGTTGTCTCACTGTTGTCTAAGTTGACTGGATTTGGTACAAACCGCAAATAGACGTTATTGGAGCGGGAAGCCTAAAACACAATATACCAATACACTAAAAAACGTGTCGAAGACAATAATTCAAAGTTACGTGTAATTTGATCAGCGACATGAAGAGCCATCATAAGAAAGTGCATGTTTCCCAAATATCTTGGTGCTATAGGCTGAGTTGACTGAGCTGTGCAGCTTGTACATACCTTTATATTAAGCGAATAGAAAGACAAAATAAGTTATCTTTACCGCTTATTTGCAAATAAACATTTGTGGAGTGGTCATTAAAAAATAGAACCCTTTTGCTTTCAATAGTCTCAGTGAAATAGGCTTAAACTAAATAACGGGCATAGTCGAGTGATATGTAGAGACAAAGAGGTCGCAGGCAGACGGATAGAAGAGAGCTACTGGGCAAAACTTATCACTTACTGGTACTTATTAATACGTGGTATTAGTCAACAGATCGAACTGTATGAATTTCCTTGTGTTAGGAGTATGCATCTAAGTTAATAAATTCGGTACTCGGGATTTCGTTGATCTAGCAACTCACAATAAAATTGAATGTTCCTGTTTGGCCATGATTTTTAACTTGGAACAAGAGCTCTTCTTCATCTCCATAGTGAATTATAAGGTAAGGAATATGATCCAAATCGGCTGTAACATTCCATCCAAGTGATGGCCCAGTTGCTTCTGCTTCAACAATCACGTCCACTTCCAGTAAACGTATTTCTGTAGCGTCGATATCAGCCGCAAGAGGTACAGCGTCGACTAAAAGGCTTGTCTTATTAGACCCAGTCTTTTTGCTTCCTATCAGGACAACTTCACATCGCACAACTTCTTTATGATCCATGTTAATGTTTATCGGAGTGACGAAACCAATGCAATACTCACTATCCGATACTTGTAAAGAGAACGAGCTTTTCGTTCCGAGGTTTGTAATGTTAAATTCAAGTTTAGACTTTTTTCCAACGAGGACGTTCTGTTCGCTGAATTTTATATTGGGTTTGATGTTTATGATTGGTTTCATTGCACTTAATTCACAGACAGCTGTGTTACCGTTCTGGTCTACGACGATTATACTTGCTGTAGGATGGCAACATGTCGATGTGTAGACACCTGATACTGATGAGTTAAACATTCCTGTCTCATAGGGACTAACTGTTGGTTAAAAAAAGACAGATTTGATTACGATAAGATAGCATTTTTTCCACAATATTTATTAAATGATAAATTGACAGTGACTGTGATTCTAAAATGGAACAAACGAGCAAAGATGCTCTGACATTTTTCAGTTATTCACGGGATCAATCGTACAGCCAGGAAACCCAAATTTCGCCGACTCCATGTTTGTGTGAGTCGTGATTATGAGACGTGGACCATGATATTAAACCTTAGATAACGTCTCACAAAGCATTAGCATGAAGAGATAAATACAAATTAAACTCTTAAGATCATATTTCTTAGTTTGAATAACATTATTAACACAATGGATTAAGACGGATCGAGCATATATTGCTGACTGCTGGAATAATCGTAATGCAGTTTCCCTCAGAGTCCGTTTTCGCGAAACATAGAGATTCTTCACCTCGGCATTAGATATTTAAGAATGGCTGCCTGTTGGCTTGTATTCTACAAAATATTGAGTAATAGGGAAGTCGTACATTCGGAGTTGTGTGAGAGCTGAGAGAAAATGAAATCACCGTCGAAAATGTTCTTACAGTCATTTTATCAATTACCATTATATGTATTACGATTAAGAAAATTGTGTGTGACTATCTCTTGATCAGTCTGTTGAATGACTTTTAAACATTTCAGCTGCAAGGGCTTTGTTATAGTTTGTTTTAGATATATATGTATATATATAAATCAAGAATTCCAGCGAATAAGGAAGGAGAACAGCACTCTTTACGAGTAGTCCAGTGTATTAACGCGAATTGTTCCTAATTAACCGACATCCGGTCCCAACAAACACTGGCCGCACCACATGAGACCCTAAATGGGCTGTCATCATGAAATATACCAAAGACTAAAAACAAAAACTTCACTCAAGGTCTGATAACTACACGGTAACACTTTTATACTTCAATCTCTGATTTACTTTCACTGAGCTTCCAACATTTCGCATCATTCAATCACAATTTTCACTCTTGGTGAGGCCTGCGCGTCATCACTGCCCATGAAGCTCTTGCGTAAATGGTCTAAATTTCGTAACAGATCTAAGGAAAGTTATTTCATGGATGAGTCTTGAGCTTTCATACGTGCTCTCATCAGAAGTTATTATTTCTTGTCATTTCATGGCTCTCTGTAGCTATATAACGCTAGTTTGTAAGGTGACCCCTTGCCGGCGATCTCCTGATTATCCTGGTCAGGTGGAATGCATTACACTCGAGGATTGCACGAAAGATGTAACTGGACATCTATCGACTCTTGGATTGAGTGCAGATGAAGGTTCTAGAACTGAAATGAAGCTGCTATTAGCCAGAGCCGGTAAATATTGATTTTGTGTGTTTCCAGGTAACTTTACTGTGCTTATGAATGAGTCCTGCAACAGATTTAAGTGGTTTTATATTTTTTACAAGTGTTTTCTCATTTGAGCAAAAACATCTTGCCCTGACTATTTGCCCACGCCATAGGGCAGACTTTAGCATACGTTGGAGGACTAGGAAAGCCCTTTGTGCAATTCCCAAGGATCTAGCAACACATAAGTCCTCGAGTGCCAAAGGAAGCAACCGTGTGGATAGCCGAAAATCGATGTATATTTTTTGCAACTCCTACACCTTAGTTCCAGTTGGGTCGCGTAGGTTGAATTGCTTCTGTTGATAAATGTTCTCATAAAATTGTTTTTTCTCACGTTTATTTGTAATACCTTACACAAAAAAAAACACTATAAGTTTCAACTTTCTCAAGCTAGCAAATTTTATATCAGTGAGGAAACTTTGCAATTTATATTACCAACGTTTTTTTCTCGTCTGAGTAGCTGATTATCCATTGATTGATGACTGATTGATTACTTTATACTTAGGAATAGTAATTGATATGAGTTATTTAATTTCTTTTTTTTTAAAGCAATTTGTACCCGATGCGACGAGTTCATCTGCGGGCAAGTTGCAAATGAACAGACGCCGGTCTTTAAAAGTACCCCCCACAAATCGTCAGGGAAAGAAAATGTGGCTGAAGAGATAGCTTCCATATAACGTGGCCAGGCAGCAGGGGTGTATTCATGTCCTCAAGACGACTGCACTCGTGTTTTTCAAAGGCTGTCAGCCTTAGAAAAGCACTTGTCACTCGAAAAATGTAGCAGGGTACCAGAAAAATATTCTCTAATGGACTTGGCAAAAATTGCCTACAAATCATATTTGGAGGAAGGTGCGGGAAAGCTGCGATCGCTTCAAGCCCCTGTGCGACAGGAAGATTCTCGTGTTTCTCTGAAAGAAGGCTAGGCTCTTAGAGTAGTGAGGAAGGCTTACAGATTCAGTGACAAGCAAAAGTCGTACCTTTTATCTAAATTTCGAATAGGGCAGACGACAGACCACAAGCCTGACACAGAGGTAATTGCTCGAGAAATGCGGCGTGCCCGGGGCACCGATGGTGCACGACTAATCCAGTCATCGGAATTCCTCACAACCACCCAGATCACCTCTTTCTTCTCAAGACAGAGTGCCTTAGTACGCCAGAGAGATCCTGACGAGGCTGATATCCGAACAGCTCAAGAGGAGAGTAATTTTAGCGAGGCAAAGGAGACTGTCGCGTCAATACAACTTGACCATCCCTTGATCTACGATCAGTACGATCTTTGTGAAATGGCGCTAAATGACTCTTTGAAGATCTTGAAGCTACCCATGTTGCAGTACATGTGTGAAGACCTTGGCTTCGATATTCCATCAAAGCCCATGCGTAAAAAGGCCCCTTACTTAGCTCTACTGAAAGAGATTGTCAGTAAATGTACTTGCCAAAAGTCATCGTGATGCTGACTTTCTCTTTAGTTCAGCAGAAGATAAAAGTGAGGAAGAAACGAATGAACGGTGACTCGTTCCTATTCGTCAGTTACTAGTTATCTCATTTTTATAAAAGCACGTAAAGTAATTAGAAGTTCTTCCGTTTTGTTCTTTTTTTCTTTTAATTATGCCAATGTTGACCCTCACTTTCCTTTTATGGTCTTCATATCGGTAATGAAGTTTACTCATCTGGTAGCCGACACATGCAAACTGACGGACGTGAGAGTATTCAACCTACATTTCTTTCCGCTCATTTTGAAGTGCGGGATTTCTCTCTCTAATTTAATTTATCATTATTTCATTTGCGGTTTCTACGCGGGTATGTTTCAGCACCCCTGATACGTTTTCAATGGCGTTACGTTGCGTGACATTGATAATTACAAGGATAAGAAGAACTGTCGTCTTGCATTTAATTATTTTGAAGGTCAAAAGTCGTCTTTCGATGTATTTATACCTGCAGAAAATGAGTTCCAAAGTAAAAGATAAAAAAAAAATCTTATTTATCAGCATGGAATCAAATACTAATCTACTAAGTAGCTTCTCTCGAATGTATCTTTTGCATTACTTGAATATGAGATGGTGCTAATGTAATATGTACTTCACTTGCAGATTTTTAGCCCAAAAATATTTTGTAGAACCTTTTCAAATATCCTACGGAATAGTTTACTTGTCTTTACATTTTCCAAGCTACAAGCCGACACAGCGGAGACCGGATTTAATTTGGAGATTTAACAACTCAGTGTGATTAAATTACCTTGTGGTTTGTTTACACACTTTGCATCATTTTTCTCGCTCAAAGTCACAAACACTTCTGCCATTTTCGAAGGGAAGTAATGCGATTCCGGACATCACACTTTTCACAGTGAATGTAAAATAGCAATATTTCACGAATATGTTGTGGAAAATCCAAAATATGTGGTACCAGGTACATTTTTTTCGCGTGAAATATCACCCGTTTTTCGCCGCCATTTTACGCTGTCTGTGAGGATGTTCTTTCAAGGGCTTAAATAATCCCAAAATCGATGTGCCCCAAAAAAGTTTATTCACTAGAATTGAATAAGAATAGCTGTCCTAATATCGTGTGAAGTTTGGTGTTGATTGATTACATTTTAATCCTTAAACGGGGCTTGGTTTTTGCAGTTAATTTTTGACTGTGCGTCATGCGGAGCCTGAGCTCCGGAAGCCTGAAAACCGCGTTTTCAGATTTTGGCAAATTTATGAAAATTTAAGAATCGCTGAAACTTAAAAACATGATTTTTGAAAATAGTTTATAAAAGGGTATCTTTGAGCAAAATATGAGCAATTCACCAAAATGGTCGTTGACGGACGATTCTCGATCCTGAGAGGCAGCCATTCTTAATAAAGCGATTTGTCACATCTATTTTGAAATCACTGTGATCCTTGCAATCTGATTGGCTCTCACCCGTGCGATTTGTTCTCAAATCGTACCATGCTCTGAATCGCATCTTTTTTCCAGCCAATAAGACAGCTTTACCAAAATATAACAACTAATCAAATTTAAAAGCTTGTGTAAAGAAATCCAATTGCAGGAAAATGAGATACCACTTTTGCAACTGCTTGCAAACCGGCTCAATATACTGTATCAATAAACATTTGTACAGACTAAAAAAAAACTTGTGGGAGGCGACGGAATTTTGCGATTTCAAAATAGATGTCATAATGTGTCAATGGATGAGTTGCCAGTAATCGGATCCTTGTGTTTGCGCGAAGATTTCTGGGATCGCTAAGAGGCAAACATTGCAACTCACTAGAAAGAAATATTCGACGAAAGGTTGTTTCGACGTCAAAAAAGTGATTTGGTGATGTATCAACGCTATTTTTCCGCTGTTTTGTCACAGATGGGTGTGGGTAATATTGATACGAGGGAAACGTAAGGTTTTGTTTGAACAACCGTGAAATATGTAGTGAAATCTAACAATTAACTTTTTCCCATGCGCAAGGGTTTGGTGAAATGGACATCGCATAATGACCTCGAACTTTAGAAATATTAGTTTTAAATCGCCAAGAAATAAATCAATAGAGCCTTTTCAGTTTTGATGACTTGTGTTAAGTCTATATCTAGCTTTTTTCTTGGCTTGGTAAAAAAAAAAACCTACAACAATTGCCTCGAGGCAGCAGGTAGATATTGTCGTAGTATATTAGTGATTAAACACCTTCATTGCCCCTTTTTGGTGAACAAGAAGAACGAAACAGCGTTGATAATCGGCTCAAAACTGAATCCTTTCTTATACATCGATGAGTAGGTACCTTAATGGATCGCTTGAGGAGCGATGCACAACTAAATATATATACGTCCATATTTTTTGCCGGAGTTCCCGTGATCTTACTTTTTCTGATAAGATCCTTCAGGGAGTTCGAGGAGATAAGTGGCAGCACAAAAACTTCGACCTAGAAATTTCCTTTTGTTTTTCATTGCCTATTTCATCCTTCCAAAGAGCAACAGCTGTGTCATATAAAAACAATTTCCATCTCCGCTGACGACGAGTTCTCTCCTTTGAGGCGGTATATCAGAAATTCGTAATACACCTTTTTAATACGTTAAAAAGTATAAAAAAAGGCTGTACATACAAAAATACAACTGAAAAAACTTAAGTGTTATATCCCTGCAATTCGAAGTTAGTTTTGTAATATGTCGAGACCACTACAGGCTAAAGATTTCAAAATAATATTATAGACCTTGCGCAAGGAGAGAAGTGAATCGGTATATTTTATAACATGTTTCGTGGTAATGCTGACAAAAACTTACTCTTCTCTCATATCAACATTCTCTTAATCCATTTATGATAAAATTGCGGCGAAAAAGCGTTGATCTCTCTTCAAAATCGTTTTTTTGAACGTTGAAGCAACCTTTCGCCACACATTTCTTTCTAGTGAGTTGCAATGTTTGCCCTGTGGCGATCTCAGAAATCTTTGCGCAAACACCAGGATCCGATTACTAGCAACTCATGTATTGAACTTCGTGTCGAGCACTTTTTGGACCGAAAATATACCTCTAATTCGAAATCACGCCCACGATTTCAGACCAAAGTGAACTCCACTCAGTTTATTTTACGTGATAATCACCTCCGCGCCCTCTTCTTCCCGATTGCCTCACAATTTACAATTTAGCAACGGCTGACAATATCAACAAATTTTTGAGGGTTACTCAACCAATAAAAATTACAGTTAACTTAACTCTTCAGTTCTACTAATTACGAACAGGCTCCCATCAGGTGAAACACAAAACGTGATAAAACGTGATATGCGTATATTTACCATTTAGTTGTCCAAGCTCAAGATCCTTAGAAGTAACTGCTAGTAACTGTTTTCCCGGGCTATATATGTTAATGTATGACTTCCATGTGATTGTTGAACAATTGGAAAGGTGGTATACTGGATCACATTTCTCTATTTGATTTGTAACTTCGCATTTTGGTGGGAAAATGCTTTCCTACGAAGAAAGCAGAGCAAGAAAGGTTCGGTAAGGTATCAAAATTGATGTTCAAAAGACAGAATATAAGTGAAGTTTTCAGTAAGCATTGTATGGTCAAGGGTCTTTATGTATAGACTCCCAGCGTAATAAAAGCTCAAAATGTGCACAAGCTGATAATTCTTATCTTACTCGCGTTCCACAATGTCGACTATTCAATACTCACGATCTCTTTAACACTGACGTAAAACACCATGTAGTTCGATGGGCTCTCGCTTGACGTTGGTGATGCATATACAGTAACGGTACTTGTCTCTCCTTTGGTAGCATTAGCTGGCGCCTTCACTATTAATGAAAACTCAGCGGTATCTTTCGCAGCGACAAAGCAGTTATGAGGCTCTACTGACTGAATAAATCCCAAGTCGTCCATTGCCTTCAGGGTAAAATTTTCTGAGTTTCCCATATTTGTTATTTTTAATTTTATTTTGGAGGTAACGTTAGGAATAATTCTTCTGGAGCTGTTTAATGTTCGATCGTTTAAGTCCAATTGAACTTCTTCTGTTTTGATTTCGGTTGGTTTTATTCTTCTTAGTGTAAATCCTTCCGTTGTCTTGCCGTTCAACTGAAAGCGAAATCGTTCAAACGAGGGGGCAAAAAGGACATGAAGTGAATCTCTGTGGATTTCTTTTCCTTTTTTTACAGTAAACGACTCCATTTCTACGCCACTTGAGTTTATGAGTGATAGTGAATTAACTTCTTTGATGAGTTCTGGTTTGGTAAAAGCCAAGGTTAGTAGCAACGTTTGTCCTGTGAAATCAGAATTAGTGTCATCAGTGCTTGCCATTTGAGTTTCAGTATTTCTCTAGGTATATTGTTTTGACTTGAGATAAATATTAGTAGATTAATAGACCTTTGAATATCAACGACGGTATCATCTGGTTATATGGATATGAAAGCGATCTTCGCAGTTATGAACACTACTTAAGCAGTGGTGAAAAGAAGGCCTGAAAAAAAAATCAGGCCTTTACGAGATTTTAACCCGTGACCTTTGCGATACCGGTGCAGTGCTCTACCAACTGAGCTAACAAGCCAACTGGGAGCTGGTCATTGTGTTGGTTCCAAATAAACCCGTGAGTGGTTCAAATCCCGTACAGGCCTGAATCTTTTTCAGGCCTTCTTTTCACTACTGCTTAAGTAGTGTTTATGACTGCGAAGATCACTTTCATATCCACGTCTTTATCCGATGTTCAAATATATGACTTTCATATATTCACAGCCGTTTATCTGGTTATACTTTTGTTGACATTGATACAAAAAGGGACCCTCCTAGAAATGAAGTTACAATGAACTGGATTTAAACTTTGATGAAAGATCTTGAATGAAAGAAAGCCAAATGTGAAGGGCAATGGAAAGAGGTTTGTTATATAATAGTACTGATAGTAAACTGGTCTTGTAACAGCTTATCTCGTTTTAGATAAGATTACCTAATTACCTTTAACTGGGCTTCCGAAAAGTTGTTTCCTCTCCCCACTCTCCAGATTTTCAACAGACGACAGCTGGTTGGTAAAGTCCAAAACACTCCGTCCAGTAACCTGCAGACTATAGGGTCCAGTGCATCGCACACGAATCATTAGTTGACCGCCGTGGAATTTTTTGACTTCAGTCACATGAATATGATCAAACTGACTATGTATTGCTGCCTTTAACGGCTGGTCGTCTGAAAAGAGAGCAAATGAAAAGTTGAACTATTGTACGGATAAATATATTTTCATTAAGGATTTCATTTTTATTTCTTTTCTCTGTTTGTTAATGGTTGTATCCTCATGCGATGTACGAATCGCAACGGAAAGTATTTCCAAGAATATATTTATATTCTCTCGTTTAATGACACGGACATTCGACAGAGAGAAAAACAATTTCAAACAGCATTATCAAAATGATTATTAAATTTGAAAGTGTGATGTAAGTAAGCATTGCGTTAAACATGTGAGCACTCTTTATGCATTACATGCAACTCTAATTTTTACCAGTTGGATTTAACAGGGTAATCCCAAGATCGCCTTCCGCAGAAAGCACTATTAATACATCTTTAAGGGTGTTATCCACGTCGATCATAAAAGGCGTGTCTTCCTCGTCTTGCTTAGAGTCGCTGCTCACGTGTAGAAGGATAACCTGAAAAGTATGTATCAGTGAATTACGTAACTTTCTTAAATAATTCAGTTGCCTTGTGAAACAAGATCCTTGGGGAGACATAAAAGTAAGCAACGACAAAAACAACAAAAGAACATTAATACTAGAGAATAAGCCATTGATATTTAGTTACCTCTGTTAGATCCCTGTTGTCACTGGCGTAACTTTTTGAGCCAATAATGTCCACAAGAACGGAAACCTTATTCTTTTTTGTCTTCAAAACCTGGCCTCCTGTGGCTGCAGCCAAACTTCGGAACAGATCCTGTGATCCTAGTCTTGGTTCCTCCCTTGTTGATCTACGCCGTCGACTGAATCTGCAACGCCCACTCAATATGAAGTTAATTTTCACTCTCTTTTGTTTTGCCAATATAAGAACTACTTGAGCTAGTTCAAAGTCTTTCACGTCTGCGTCAGAGAAGTAATGGATGACCGAGTCTTGAACGCTTTGCAGAAGCGCTTTATACAATCCAGTCATGCCTTGTTCTGGACAGTCGCCTCCTTTATTGGCTTCAAGGGAGTTGACGGCTTCGATGACTTCATTTGCGTCACTTGTGGCCGTCACTGGGCCCACTCCTGTGAAAATAACGACCAAGACACGCTACAACGCAACCAACACCTTAGATTGTGCAGCCCTACCTATTCAGTGATTCAAACAATTTCCAAAACGTACCAATGGGGTTTTGTGGCCACCAAAGTCTCTAGCTGAGAGTGCCCTCTCAAAAGTGCCCTAAAATGGTATTTAAGGCCTTACAGGGTATGATGATTGTAACTCTTAATTATGCCACAGTTTCTCAGTTAGCTAATTCTAGTTTTTCAGCCATTGATATTCCTAGTGAAGGAATCATTCTATGAGAATATTTGAGTTTAACTGCAGCGCTTTTACTTACGTGGATCGTTGAATGGTACAAGAATGTACATAAAAGCCATGTTGGCCGTAGGATTCTTTGTTTTCTGTACAAAATTTATGGATAATTTTTTTACAGACTTGATTTCTTCTGCAAAAAATGATATTAGAAGGAATCGTTAGCTGTTAATGTCAAGTCAGGTAACTTCCAACTTCTGTCTTGGCTGTCGCAAAAATTGATTTCCCCTCCTGAGTTTGTGTCTTTATGGTAAACCAAAGTTTTTCACTTTGTTGCTGATGTTGCTTTTGTTTGTTCATTTTTTTATTTTCCAGTGTCATTTATCTATCGTCCTGGAATAAGGGTTTTTGGAGCGTAATACTTGTAATTAATTCATTTTTAAGACTGTTTTATTGAGCAACTAATCTCAGCAAACAAATGAGAGTTTAGCCCGTTTCAGACCTGTAGGACCAGAGCTCAGCATGAGCCATTTACTCATGTCCCATCTACAAGCATACCATGTACAGAGTAAGACGAGAGGCTGAGCACAGGTAACCCATCAGTACCTGACAGCCACTCACTCAATTTGCTCTCGGTTTCCTTTAGTTAAAACTCCCGGTTCGCTCTCTATGTAAGCTTCCATCAGGTTTGGACTCCTTTAAGTTTTAACTTTAACACCTGTAGAACTACAAAGAACTAATTCATTCGTCCTACCTCCCATACTGCCGGTATCATCTATAACAAGCGCTAGTGTCCTTACGGCTTGGAGATTTAGAAAACGAGCAAAAGTCTTGTCACCCACGACAGCACGAAGATTTTCGAAAAACTGTTTAGTGGCTTCTATTGCGTGTTCAGCGGCCAGTGCATGGAACCTGAAGGAAAATATATGAATTTTGGAACACAAAGTTCAGCTCATGAAAGAAATTTTTGCCGATCTTACAAATAGTAATGTGGAATCCATTCGCTCTCATTAAAATATTGGTTTTTTAATCCAGGGTGATATTTAAAATAGAGAGAACTTCATTGTGCACCGTTGAATCGGCTCATTGTAGCATAATTGGTTTTTTAAGCTGTCTTGTTATCTGATGAAACGGCGATTATCTGAACCAAACAGCAAGGTTGTCTAGAATATTAATGTTACGAGATTTCCATACGAAAGATAAGCAGGAACTAGCGTTGATAGTATTTGTTGTTTACAACCGTCTTGTTTGGCTTTTATTGAACACGTTATTAGCCTTCTGTCGATGAAAAAAAGAAGATCGATTAAAAAGCACAAAACAAGCTGTCGTCTGTCGGGGTCATACTGAGCATAAAAATATTCCGCGAGTTGAGTTTCTTACAAGGCGATACACTTAGTTTGATTCAAAGCAGTATAATAATTTTTTTCACTAAACGTCTTTCCAGTCAATTGCTGTTTGATGTTGTGAGATTTTCAACAAGATACATTTTTTTTCGTTTAGTTTGACGCCGTGCAAAGATTTTTTGTCCATTCTCTTGATAACCGCAGAATATACAAATCTCACCAAAACAAGCTAATTTTCTCAGCTGGTATTAATGCTAAGAATTGTAATTAGACTGAAATCCAACAGAAACCGCTAGGATTTAACAACAGTTTCTTTGATGTATCCCACAAAACCTCGGCGAATTGACAGAGTAGTCTCACTGATGCAAATTCTATCGATGTGGTTCATTTTCACCTTTTCTTGATTGTAAACTGCGATCTAGGTTCAAATGTAAATTTAGAAAAATACATTACAAAGGCTCATTGTCCGCGACCACCCGTTAGAAATTTAAGACTGACGCTTTACAAATTGTCTTCTGCGGACAGGACTAGGCTTTGATTTCTCACGAAAATTTTTTTAAGTAACTCTTCGTTTTGAAAAGTGAAAAAAATACTATGCTGTTTTATTGAGTTTAATAGGTAAAAATATTCTAACAATGCGAAAATGAACTCCATATCAATATTGACATATACCAAGAAGAGCTTTCGCTGACACCTTTCGCTTATTTTCGAATATCCTAAAATTGTCTACTTGTGCTATGCTTTTTTTCCCTTTACGGAAGAGAGCAAGAAAAGACAAAGAAAAAAGGAATGCGACAATCTATTTCATTATCCATAGACGCGAGATGTTCCTTTTAAATTATTCAAATGTTCTATGTTTGAATTCAATTTTCATTCAATACTTAGGAGATCATTGCTAAGCAAAGGCGAATTTTATGGTCCTTATCTGCCTTCGACTTTGGTTCATTGGCTTTCTGTTGGTAAATAAGTCATAATGCATTTAAGACAAATTCCCAAGAAATGGATCAGGAGGGTTATGTTTGCGGAATGGAAATAATTTGCGCATTCAGTGTATAATTGAGCGCTTCTCGTACGCCGAAAAACTCGTGTCGCGCTAAAAGAAAAACACAAATAATTTAGTCTTTTTGGGAGAAAAGGCAACGCTCCTTTCACTTACTTGTAGTGAGGCGACAACTTCCTTGACGCAGACTCTTTATTTATTCCTCCTCTTGTTCCTTTTCCGCGACTACTATCTAGAATGCCGCCGTGGCTGCATTTGCTGACGTTTGTCGGTTTTGTAATGTCTTGACCTCCGTAGTATCCACTCGTTATTTTGTTTGTTATCAAGTTGTTATCGCAATCATCCTCCTGACCTGCGGTTGACTGGCAAGGAACACAAGTTGCTTCGTTTGGTTTAGCGAGAAATTGAGGTGAAAATAAATCTGCTTGATTTGATGAAAAAGAGAATTTCCTTACTGAATGTCCAAGTTCAACCCAGTTTGAGTGGCTGTAAAAGTCTTGTAATGTGTGTAAATATTGACCAACAAGTTGACGAGCGTGTTCATATTTCACGCTCTTCAATAGGGTCGTGATTATTTCAGAATTCAATTCATAAAGACGCTTTGCGCCATCTTTGAACTGCTCTCCGCTAAAGTGAGCGGAAGCCACCATCTTTAGGGGGGCTGAGTTTACTTCCGCGTTTGAGCTTTGTATCTCGGTTAAAGCGTTTTGAAGGCGCATTTTGGAAACCATCACACTGATGAGTCTTTGGACTGTCTTTGGGTCATCCGCAGTGACGGTAATCCTTTGAAGATCTTCGAAGTCTTTGACCATTTTTTCGTGGACATACCGTGGGTTATCTTTAACGAATTCTACCAGACATCGAAACAGTCCAAGTTTTGTAATGAGATCATGATCGCGAGTCTGAACGGCACTTTCACTATCTACATCCAGTGTTGCAGATGAGAAAAACGCCTCTGAGATGGTGAAAAAGGTCAACAAAACCACAAGACCACGAGCAAACGCCATGTATCATGAAAAGTCTTTGTGTGTAGCTACGAGATAATGGCGTCGGTGAGCGAACGCAGCTGGTTAGGACTTGATGGAATTAAAAGCTTACTATCAGGCAGCATGCGCTTGTATTGTATATTGTTAACGAGTAATTTCTTTCAGCAAAGCAGCAAAGGAGGTTTGAATATTTATAAACCTCGCTGTTTTGCTTTTTAGTGCGAATCTATGAATAAGTAATCTGCGGAGCTTTTTTAAAAATAAAGTGACTAAAACATAGGTCATCATAGATAAAAATCAAATGGAAAATGTTTTGATTTGTGTTTTTTTTCCGTGGTGCTATTGCAAGAAATTTGAAATGCTCGTGTGTGTGGCTAATCCCTCAATTCTTTCTTGCGTTTTATTTTACCTCGTGGTCGTATGTAGATAGACATATATACTTCCTTTAATATTACACTTTCCTAACATTAAAAAAAAAAGATTTCCATGTAAGTGAAAATTAGTTTTCTTGTTGTGTTTCGTTTTTCGGTGGTATAGGCGTGAACCTGAATCAAGCAAATCATTTTAGTCTCCTGATCTGCATTTGTTTTCGGTTCATGTACCAACAGTGACAGGCTTTTATCGTAGCACTTTGTTTACTCTCTGTGGCATTTATCTTAATTACTTTGGTTGGTGCATCGTTTTTTTCCTTCAGAAAACGGTAGAATCCACAAGCTAAATATACCCATTAGGATTTGTAATTTCTTTAAGAATGTTATTAGTCTTATTATACAACTCAAAAATGAGACGGCCCGTCAGATTTTTGCTTGCAGTTCGTAATGTGTGCTGGCTACCTTATTGCTAGCTATTGAGCACCAAAATAATCGGTCTGTTGAGGGGAATATGGAGGGAAACTGTACATCACATTCTACTGGTGAATGACTGCGACTTTTATGAATAACACACAATCACAATCTCGACACAATACAAACATTATATACGTCGTTTGACTCTTAATCATAACTACTACAATTTCCTCCAATGTGATTGGTGCGTTAGCTGCTTTACTTTTCACTGATTATTCTGTAATAGTACGGTTTAAGCAGCCAAGCAGAGCAAGTCCATTCAGCTAAATCCACCAATCACAGAATTGATTACAATAACCATAGCAACAACCACTTACCCTACAAAACTTGGGAATTTCAAAATGGAGGAACTTTTTACTTTAGGCAATGTCTCTAAGGGAAATATCTCCCCAAATAAATGTATTGTTTTTTTCGGAAATTGTAATGGTTATGATAAATTGGTAACAGGACTTCGTGTCACGCAATTCTGTGAATAATCACACTCTTTATTAAAAAGTAAAACTCTTGCTTCGCCGTCGTCCGATTTTGTAATCGCTCGTATGATCTCAGACCGAGTTGAAGTCCACGCTGTCCTATTACTGTTAAAGTCGAGCCTGTATTAAGCGGTCACCCTGTATAAGTGGTCGGTTATCAAAGGCCCGGTTTTTTCCCAATAAAATACTGTAATTTTCACCTCTTTTAAGAGGTCGTGAACAACCTTTACGTGAGTTCCAATGGCCTGTTTGTCTTCCACCTGTATTGAACGGGTTCTTTACCCTTTAACTCCCAGTTCAAATTTGTCATTCTCCTCACTGTCACATTATGTGTGTTCAGTGAATTTGGTATTGGATCAACTTATTATCCCTAAAGTGATATATTTTTTTATTCTCTTCTCTTTTCTGGTTGATATGGTATTGATATTGTAAGGAGAAATTCTGTCTTGGTCACACGTGGAGTTAAAGGGTTAAGTGGAACCGCTCAAATAAAAATAAGAATAATCTTTTGAGTAAAACTGTAGTCCAAATTTATCTCCCGAAATCAATGTAAGTAGTAGTAGATTTGAGGGGAGTTTTGTACATTTAAATGTCAATTATGGGATGAAATGCATGAGTTTTTTCATCGTTTTAACAACCCTGCTATTCCGTGGAACCTGTATTTAGTGGTCAACCTATATAAATTAAATCAGCTCGTCATGAAGAGATGGTCGAACCTGGGGCCCGCCTTTCTGAAGTCCCGGTGAATTAACAGGCCCAAAGCTATATTTTAGAATCTAAATTCAAAGAATAGAGAAGCAGGCTCTGGCTCCTTGACCAGTCAGTTTTGTTTCTTTAGCTAGAATTTCTATTGTATAATTTTCAAATCTTCATCTTGAATGAAAACAGAACAGCTTTACGGGCCCAATGAGTTACCGGGACCTTCGAGAAAAGGCCTCCTGGAGTGACCTTAATAGTTATGTACTGCTCATTTCTCATTCTTAACAAGTTTACACCCGTAAAATGTAAGTACATCAACCGAACTACTTAATAAACTAGATTTTAAAATTGGTCCGTTTTTGATGCATCGACCGCTGAGCATCTCCACCCGCAGAATTACACCACTAATTAATGAACTTTGGCTGTTAAATTTCCGCCTCTTTGATAATCTCCAACAAAATAAAGCTACCTGTTGTCTTGTCTGTGTTCATTTTTCTTCAACTTACTGGTTAGAAACAGAGAAGTTGATTTTCAAATTTTTATTTCCCTTAAAGGTGGTTTTAACAAATACACTGAGTAATAATGAAATAATCACTTCATAAAGGACACTCCGGCTTGTCATCTTGGCTCACATCAGTGTTGCCAGTAGAAAACATCTGCAAGGTTTAGCAACATTGAACATGCCTTAGCTATGGTTATATGAAAACGTAGCTATTTATCATAATTATCAATTTCCTACTTTCAACTGTGTAGGTGCAGCTGATAACTTATCGGTTTTAGGCAATGTTCCTTGGTTTCACTTGAATGGCAAGCTATGTAGTTAGATAGATCCCGTCAAGATACGGAATGTATGTTAAAGGTTATGTAAGCCCAGAAAACGTTTCTTTTCTTTTCAAATAGCTCTTTGGTGAATATATCTCAAGTACACCAAAGTTGTAATTCGTTTTTACTCAAAAGTACATTTTCCTTTTGTAAAAGCTCTTCCAAATTCGATTGATTTGTTTGAACCATGTAGCAATTGGTGCGACATTATAGTTTTTGCGTTGCTACCATCTTCAAGGCTATCAATCTGATAAAATCAATCTGGATCAAGATTAAGGGTAAAAAAAAGCAATGTTTGTTTCTCTGGCTTGTATACTTGTGCAGATAACTTCTTTGGCGTTTAGAGGCATACGCTGCTGGGTTACATGAGTAGAAGCTGGTGGGCTGCAAGAGTAGAGGCTCCCCTTGCACTTACCAACATAGGGCGCACATTCGTCTGCAGCCGATTTTGAAGTACAGCTTGCTGCAGTTAGAAGGCATACGGCGAGCCCTGATACAGGTTCGGAAGCGAAACTTGTCACCACATGAACGACTCTCTCGAACTACTGTGGAAACAGGTAAGGAATACAATAATGAATGGAAGTACAAAATCAAACAAGTTTTAGCAGATTTAGATTAGATTTTCGACCAGATTTTAGAGTAACATTACGTTTTGGGGTGTAGGATATGACGTGCCATTATAAGTATAATATAAGTTTTATATTTTCACTTATAAGTATAACCATATGATCGCGAGCTATTCGACAAACATATAAAAACTAGTTGACGTCTTCTCTGATTCTCTTGTCGATGTCATTTTACAACTAAGAATAATTGTTGTCTTCTCTTAATTAATGTGAATAAATAGCATATTTAACTTTGCAAAATAATCAGAACAAGCTGCTATTAATTTTGATCAAAAAACACCTTCTCCGATGGTGAACTCGGCATGAAAACAGTTGTTCTTTCGGTTTATAATATTCTTATTATACTTTTTGAAAAAATTTTATCCGCCTAAGAGTGGAGAAATTAATTGCTCCGGTCAAAGTTGATTTCTTTGCAGGTTTTTCATGGAAAACACCCTTTTTAACTCGTGAATTGCGCGCATGCGTAAGAGCGAGTTGTAGATATGATGTGGAGAATGGCACTCGCTCGATTGGTTGATTCCTGTAAACTTTTTTTGATTTTAGGCTTTTGAGTGCATTTGATAGTTTTTGGCGAGTAATAAACAAACGAAATGGCGACCTTTGTTGCTAAGAATAGTGGTGGGGTGAAAAAGAAGTCAATCATAATCTTAAAAGTTTTTTCTTTTTTCGTTTTAGTTTCAACAAGCGGCGCCAGCGACTGGCAGGCGTGCGAGGATTCACACAGAAATAAGAGAACAACCCTCGTTTTTCATAAAATTGTAATTTACAATCCTTGAACTTGAAAATAATCCGAAGATTCATTAAAAATATCACTTACTCCGAAGCGCTCGGAGTTTACAGGTGTTCAAAAGCTTTTCTGTCATGGCGTGAGATTAGGGACAAAATCGATCGTTACATTTCGTATCGTGTGTTTTTTCTGTGTGAAGCAACAAAAGGTGCCGGCGACTGACGAAATTACAGGTTAACACGAAAATCAAATAACACCTAAACAAATAATTTTGGCTACCGATTTTCAGTGAATTTTTAAAGAACAATTTTCTTTTTAGTTTCAAGACAATTTGAAGATTCAAAATAAATATTAGGTACTAAAATGCGAAAGTAATACACCACTAAATTGATAAATAGGCCTGAAATGAAATTCTATCTTGTTCTTTATTATACGTTGCCTGGCACGTAACCAAAATCTACAAAATCTAAGTGTAATTCTGATTTCATCAGTAGGATCCTTACAACTTTACATTGTCAATCTTGCTTTTGTTTTGCGGAATCATAACTGGGAATGTGTGAAGACTAAGGTAGAACGTCATTACATAGGGAAAATACTTAATGCAAGATCTATTCTATGGAGTTTAATGTGATCCGCTTGTTAAGTGTGACATGATGGACGATGGACATGGATTGACAATCAAGTCACTCTCACCTAAAGAAACTGACGAAGAACATTTCGCAGTTGATATGAGTTACCCTTCCCGACCTTCCCTGTTGTAATGCAATTTAACAGGTTGTAGTGAATAAGAAGGTTAACCGAAGAGCCAGAGAAAAGAGAGAAAACCTTG